CCTTAGCACGCAAGGAACATAAGCAGCCATGTGGGGCTAGCAGCTTGGCTGACTCAAGAAACGGCACTGCTCAACTATGCAACGCAGCTCGCGGTGAGTGAAACTGCATGTGGAAATCAATTCCATGGACCTTGTTTGTCCAAGCATTCTTGCCCTACAAGGGCCGACAGGTGGAGGATGTGGAGGTTCCAGAACCGTAGTTTCTTCGTTGAATGTAGGAGCAAATGGTGAAACGGTGAAAGTACTCGTGTGTCTGCTCCTCTGGAAACAAACACGAGTTTGCACCAAGTGCTTGGTGGAATGAGTTCGCTGGTAGATGCGTACGCCTCGTACTGCTTTTGCTTGATGTATATTCGACTCGTTCCAACAACATGCACTTGGTCCATGCGTCTGCTGATGGCATGCTGCCACGAATACTGGTACGTCTAAGCTAAACTTCTGTGCAATGCCAAGCTCCAAGACAGCTGCAACAAGAGATCGAATCAATATAACGCATCTTGGCATATCACGGCCCGTGGAGGTGGCTGTCATTTGGAAGTACTCACATATCGCCATCCATGTCCTTTCGCCACAAATGCCAACCAAAGACCTACTTACTGAAGCCGGTCATGTTTTGCACCCCGATCCTCCTCGAGTACTGGTGCCATGTCTTGTGCCTTCTTGAGGTTCTCATCCCGAGTTTGGAGTGTCTGTTCAACCAGATGAAGGAGTGGCCTGCCGGAAAATTGGAAGAACAACACTTAGCTGACTTAGCTCCTCAACTTCTTTGTAAAGGAATGCTCCGGCCTGTTCAGCTGAATCTCAGCTTCACCTTACAGCGAAGCGAGACGGGTTTCTCCACTGCAACGGAATCAGGAACGACGAAGCTTACAATGACCATGAAGAGGCAACTGCTCACTTGGGAGGGCGTGCATGGCAACCGATGAAACTTGCAGCCGAGAGCACTCATTTCTGGTACAGACTGGCGGGCTTTATACTCCATCTGTCGCTCAATATCCTGCCACTGCACATGATGCGGAGCTTGCGACGGAGCCTCTGAAATCTTGCCTTGCGATGCTCGATGTTGCGGAGACGGCGATCGACTACTTTCTGCTTCTCCACTGCGTTGTATTCCTGAAGCAATCACTGCAGCTGGCCGCCAGCTTCTCTTCACTTGCTGCCGACCTCTGCATCTCGCTCGAGGATCTGGGCTTGAATCTGCTGGAGATATTTCTCCTGAAGGCATGTTTGGACGAGCCATCGCAATGTCAGACTAGGAATGTGGCGTGCCTCGTTTTTTCGTGAATCCTTTTCCTCCATTTGCTTCAGCAAATAGGCTTGATTCTCATGCCTCATCCTCACGTGCCAATTCCAGCATGCTCACATTCCGACGAGGATGGAAATCCAAGCACGGCACTGCTGCAAGCGGTTTTGCTTCACAGATTCTGCTTCGAAGTAGTGCCTATGCGAGCCAGCCACGAAATCTTCAGCTAATGATGCTCATGAACCGTTGCGAGTCGGCCTGTCTTGCTCTTCTGCCTGCAAGGAAGCTCGCTGCGCGTCATTGTCGCCAGCTCCTTTTTTCACTGAATCCTTGGGGCATGGCTCACACATTAAAACGTCGCTTGTGCGGATGCCTGGAGCAAAGCTTCATCTCAGGAAAACGCTACATTCTCCAGCAGCTTCTTCATCAACTCTCCCTGTCCTTGGGGATTCTGCAGCAACTTGACTTTCTGAAGACTTTCTTGAGCTTCTTACGTTCCAGGTCTTCTCTGCATCGGTTTCCTTTGGGTTTGTAAAGGGAATGTCGTTGTTTCCTTTTGTAGATGAATAGAAGAACTTCCTTTAGTTCTACCTTTAACATAGCCTTCCTCCTCGGTTTCCTTGGATGTGAAGAGGAGAATCCTTTTTTGTAGACTCTGCGCGTCAGCCGCCTCGGCCCGGGTCTGTTGTCTAGTTCAGGGTTGGAATCGAGAGTTAGGGGTTTTTTTGGTGTTTTGGGCTTGAGGTCTTACGTACTTGAGGCTATTCGGGATTTGGGGACTGTTTGGGCGTGTCCGGTCGGTCCACTCGTCGATTGCCCGGAACCTCCCCACTCCCGGGGCTGCCGGGGGCGTGGCGCTGTTTGGAAGGTTCGGCTTCGGCTGTTCAAAGAGGATTTAATGCCGTGCTTTGGTCGGACCAAGGCACCCAAGTCCAGCATGTGAAATGTCGATTCGTTCATGTCGAGAGTTTGGAGCTTTGGGGCAGGTGGCGAGGACTTGTGCTCCATGCGACATTCTCATAGACCCTCTGTTTCTTTGCGAGCTTGATCCTCCATCTCCTCGATATGCTCTCTGAATCCCAAAAACAAAGACCCCTCCTTTCCTTTAGTTCACTAAGCCTGGGTCTCATAGGTTTCATTCGCCATTTGCTCCTGCTTATTCTTCTTTTCACAAGTTTTCCATTTTGTGGGGGGAGCGGCTTCTTGGAGTTCCGGGCTGTCCTGCCAACATTCCTTGTGCTGTATCTTCTCGCCTACGGCCCTCAGATCAAGCGGTGGGAAACGTTCGAGAAGGTAGGGCGGGTTGATCAAAGATATCAAGGCAGGACGGCGGGGCTGCTGCTCGAATCTAGCCAGGTTAACACCAGTTCAACCTGGGACGAAAACCAGTTTCAAGCCGAAAGAGCGGCTCTTTGGGGACTTGATATCAATTTCAAGCCCATTGCAGGTACCAGTGGTGCCGTATTTTGCCCATATTGTGCTGTGGGGGATTAAAATTTACTCAGGGCCCTTCTGTGGACACCTAGGTTACACATGATGTCAAACCGATTCCTCGTGCAAGCGTGTACTGATAACCCCTTCCTGTCTGTAGGCACCTGGGTTAGAATCGAAATCTTTCACTGCTTTGATTATTGTCTAAAGTTTCCCATCCAGGCTTGTAAGCTTTGACTTCGTGTCAGGCTCGGGTCTGGTGGTGTCAATGAAAGCAAAGCATGGCCAGAGCTGAAGGTGAGGAAGCCAGCCCGAACTTCAACTACTCTCTCCATGTTTGGGAGCTTGGGGCTGGTAGTTTCTAGCTTCCGTTGGGCTGAGGTTCGATCTTGACTTCGGGCCGAGGTAGGGAAACCCCAAAATTTCTGGGGTTGTCCCAAATCACGGTACCCTTCCATGCTGTTTTCGGAACGTTGGTTGATGCCCTTTGGCTGCAAGTGCAATACGAACAAGAGTACTGCGGATGCACCATGGACTGAGCAAAGTGGATTTGACAAGTTGCGAACGCGATGTACCAAGGAGTCGAGTTCTTGAAGAATCTGGATTTGGGCACGGGGGAACCCCTTGGAGCACTGAGTCCGTGGAACAATACGTGAGGAACAACATTCCACGGCTTGAGGCTTCAGGTGCTTTGGCCATTGCCTTAGATGCCAGAAAGCACGAACTTTCAAGGGCCCTACTTGACCTGCCAAGAGGCTGCAGACTCCAGAGTTCTGGCTTCGAACAGCAGAAAAGCTTCAGACTTCTTAGGCCTGCTTCACGCTTTAAGCACCCTGGCTTCAGACCAGGCAAGAAATTTAAGTCTTGCATCTGAAACCTCGCACCAGAACCTTCACTGTCATCTGCTGTGCCGAAAGTCCAAAGAAGGTGTATTGAGTAGGCTAATTTACAGCTGCAATGAACCAAACCTGCGTACCGTGCTTTAGGCCATGCATTCGGAAAAATGTCCTTTGAAGGATTCGTTGCCATCTTTGTCGACAACTCTTTAAGAACCCTCGCAGATGTGTCCACGTTGTGCTGAAGTTGCTTACGGTGGAATTTGTTGTCAATGCATGGAAGGAAAAACAATTCTGACCCGGTCGGGTCTAGGACCGAGCTTAGACTTAGTCTTGTCATGGCAAACCCGTTACACAACCCTTCGGATTCACAGTGCAGGTGTTGAACATCCTTAAGTGTCGGCAAAATCCACTGGAATCTCGTGAAGCACAAGTGCCCTTTCAATCCCTGGAACGCCCGCAATTACATGCTGCGGACGTCTTGTGCAGAACCTTATGAATATCTATGCCACTTCTTTTCTCTCTACACACTCTTACGAAATGCCACGATCTCTTCGGTGAAAGTATGCATCATGGCGGAATGCTCTCGTTTTTCACTCACCTTATGCAGCCCTGTTCTTTGCATGGTAAACATGCAGCCCTATGAAACCCAAATCCTCTTACCCATTGCATTGGGAAGTTTTCTCTCAAAATCTAAAGTAAGTAGAGGTTCCGTTTGTCCTCTGAGGATCTAGAAGACATTGTGAACAAAGAGGAAACGGAAACATTCATAGCAAAACAAAGGCTCCGTCTATAAAAACGAAATATGGGACCCCAAGTTCCGACTGCCAGTTCGTCTACAGACCTTCACATTCCTTGACCACCTATACCTTGATCCCAATTGAGCCTGAAAGAATGCAGCACTGAGAGTGGATGGCAGGTAACTTGCGGATGCTTGTGGTGGCTCATGCTTGGGTCGCTGCGCTCCATACGGGCGGCAAGCTCCTGTGCACGCTGCTCTTCCTGCTCGTCTAGTAGCCGGTTGTATTCCTTCATCGTCTCAGCCTGACGTTTGTCGAGAGGTTCTGAGTCCGCAAACAATGCGAGTTCGACTGAGATGCGTGAGGGCCTGAGAAATGCCGCTCGCGGGCAAATGACTAAACACTTACAAGCTCCCTGATACCTTCTAAAGCACACCGGCATTGCCCCGGTGATGCTGAAGTCGTGTGCCGTGGATACTTTCAAGGCCTCCTTCTCTGTAGCTTCTTTCTTGGCCCTGTCGCGCTTTCGCTGATCCTGGTTTGAAGTTAGTCTGAAGCCCACACTATGTTGGAAAGTGACGAGTTTCTGTGCATTTCGCTCGGTAGAGCCTCCATGTTCTCCTCGAAAACTTTTCGCATAGCCTTTTTTGTTTGCTCCTCAGATCAACAGACAATGGAAGCATCTTAGGAAAGCCACGTCATGCCACCACAATCGCGCCTTCTTCCTTTCATAGCCTGCAGCTCTCGGTCAGTTTGGCTGCAAGCATTCAAGACTTTTGTGTCCAGGTACAGTGGATTGCTGGAGCTCCGTGTGCTTTTGCAGTCTAGCCACGCCGCTGCTCTGCTTCCATCTCATTCACAATCTTCTCCACAAGTGACCTTAAAGCGTTATGCAGTTGTCGATCTCTTCAGAACGAACAATCCGGAAGACAAGAGCAACAACTACAACAGATTGCGTGTGAAAGGGCCTGAACCAAGGACTTATGCCTTACACGTGGCCACGCCATGCCCCTTGTGGTTGACAGGCCGAACAAAAGGCTACGAAGACTACTACGGCTGAGGGGCACGGACTGGACTACGGGCTCAAAGCTTGACAGACGCAAGCGGACGCCGGCTGCTGAAGCTAGTGGCCACTCTCGGGCAGGGCACCCTGAGTTTTCTTCATTTCTTCCTAACCCAACAGCTCTGCGAGCTCCAGATATTTGGTGCCCCTGCGCTTCCTCGTCTTTCTTCTTTTGGAGCTCCTCATCTTTCAGTTTACGCCTCGGAGAAATGACGAAGCATCACGATCCTAAGCTCTGATGGGCAGACTCGCTGTGGGAGCGTGGCTCGTACTGCAGCTGTGCATCTCTGTCGGACTTCTCCTTTTCGAAGTTGGAACAAGGAGAGAGCAAGGGTCAGAGCACAAGGGTCGAACATGCACTTCCAGCTTTGGCTCAGTGGAGCCTTCATCACTCGCTCTTGCTTTTCGTCCTGGACAGTGATCTCGAAGCCCGGTGTCGTCAGTCCATCATAAATTGAAGGGTAGGGAGCCCTCAACGCAAGCAGGTATTCGAGAGTTTCATCTCAGGTTTCAGCAAGCCCCCGTGACGTGAACTACGAGAGCGCTTCAGTACTCTGCGGGGGTTGCGAAAAATAGAGACCTCAACAAAAACGGCATGGAAACCATTAGGTTGCCTCCATCTACCACCCATCACCTTGGCCTTGGTACAAATAGGCACAGCAGCCAAAGGCCAAAAAGAGTTGTTTTGTCGGGGGAGCCAAGGAAAGTCCCTGACTGTGGATCGGCAGAATTGGGGGTCCTAGACTGAAGGTCATACATGCAACGGCGATGCGCCTGCCGGACCTGCTCTTGCTCCTTCCACCGCTCGAGTTCCATGAGGGAGTTCCTCAAGCGCTTACGGAGAGTGAATGCTTGGAGAATGCCTTTGCTTCTCTCACAAGCACACTGGATGTGTCTGGGATCCAGGCTCATGGTAACGGCGTTCCTCGTCCACAGCATCCACCTTCTTCTTCACCTTCTCTGCCACCTCCAAGTAAGTCGACATGCAATCACTCACCATCAAGTAGCTGACATGCCGAACATGTGCATGCTGTCCCAAACTCTCCTGAGCTTGCCTGCTGATCGAGATCCATTCTCATCTTTCGCTGCAGCGCTTTCACGCCCAGCTGTTGGCGCAGGGCATCTTGTTCATGCAAGTAGGACCTTGCACAACCATGGTTGTGTCACAGGACCCTTGTGTAACTCGTGCTAGGCCTTGCTACCACATTGAGACCAGCTGCGCGTACTCATCCAATCGCGTCCAGTCATAGGATGAAGGCAGCTCGGGCTTACCTCCAACCATTTCCCTGCCGGAAATAGAAGTTGGACAAACTCGCATTTGTAACACGAAGTGTCACGCAGTATAACGCAGTATGCAAGACGACACGGTGTTCACATGGTTGTTCGCTGGAGTGGCCTTCCTGCAAGAGAGGTCGCGCTGCGAGAACGCGACATGCCAGTGTAGGCAGATACGCCCGAAATCATCTCGGCAGAGCTCTAAATCGCAATGATAACACTGCTGCAGACAAATACCCAATGCAACTCGAGCCATGCTTAGAGAACACCCTTCGGTCAGAATCAGGGCCCAGGCAGACTGGCTGTCATCGGCGACACGCTTCTGAGCTCGACCGTGCAAGCGCCTGCGTGCTGAGGGCTCGTGGTACATGAACGTTTCTCGGCCCTTGCCAGCCACTGAAGCACAGGTCCTCTCCAGCCGCATGAGGTTGGCTTCTGTCACTGCTGCCGTTTTGGCAAAGCGATCCACCTGTTCTGAGCTTTGACTACTGCACCAAGCTGAGAAAGTGAATCGCGCACCTCGTTCCTGATTGCGGCCTTGGCTTTACACAAGGCCAAGCTCTGCTAACCAAGCGCACTGACCTAGAACAGATCGGTATCACTCTCAGCCGTGCTGCTGAAGAGACTGACATCTCGTCCACATCCTTCAAGACGGAGTTTCGCCCGAAGCGAGTCTGGCATGGTTGCAATTCTGGGCCGCTGGACGAGTTCTCAGAATGCGATGGTGCTCTTTTGTCGCCTTGAACTTATCGATCAATGCATCCTTCAGCTCCTCGCGTCGCTTCAGGTCCATCAGCTTCGCCTGGGTGGCAAAACCCCACCAAGGCTAACTTGACTACAGGGACTACAGAGATTGGATTGTGGTTGACAGCTTCAAATAGCTTCAATGGGGCAACAAGAGATGTGCTCTTTGTCATCGCGGCTCAGGACTCTACATGCACAGAAAACAAGAACTGACAGTCATGCAGATGTTGCTGTATCCATATATGCTAAACCATCTAAACCCTCCAGGGTTATCTGCCGATTTCGGCTTCGGGGGCTTCGACTCGATACTTTGTCTAGGATTCGCACGTCTTTAGTCTGCAAAGCCCTGAGGGTAAAGTCTAGAGTAGGGTTTCGACTCTCGCACTAGCAGAAGCGGGTGCGGCTCACGGTTCTCGTCGCTCCCACTTGCGAGTTACGTGCGCCACTAACTGCACGTCTGCAGAACTTAAACTCCTTTGCGTTGCGCGGACGCAGCCTGCAGAAAACGAGGGGTGGAAGTTCGAAGCGGGTCAGGTGCTTGACACCTAAGAAGTCCCACCCGGTGATAGCAAAGTGTTCTGGGCAAGTGCAATGTGTTGGTGAGCAGGTTTACCATTTGGACTGCTGCCAAGAGAGAAACAATAGGGTCGAGGATGGCATCTGTCTAGATTTGGTAAATTCGACTCTGTCCTTGCAGCTTGGGCTAAACACCACGTGATGTAGGGCATCCGTATGTGTCTGAGGGAAGTGTGTTCGATGTTTTGCTGATATGGGAGTGGATGTTGTCAGGTTATCCAGACCGACTTGCTTGGTTTGTGCCAGTAGTATGAAGCTTTTGTTCCGAGGTCCCGCCTTCGGTACGGAAAAAAAACAAGTGTGGATGGAGCACAGATCTTGATCTTCCAATGCTAGGGAGACCATATATAATGACCGGGAGCACATAAGCGTGGAACAGCCTAGGTTTAGTTTGCAAACATATCTTGTTACACAACAGGCGTTGAAGCTTCATATCGGCAAAGTGAGCCTCTGCTGTTTTTGTGGCGCGGGTCCAGGATACCTGGGTGCCTAGATACTTGGTGAATGAACAACTGGGACTTTGGTCCCGTCTGCAAACTGATTTCAGGTGCGGGGTGATTCGGGTGTGCAAACAAGTCTGCTTTGGCGGACTTGATGTGCGCATTGAAAAGGCTTGCTTCAATGAACTTGCAGTGCGCGGAGTAGCTCTTGAAGTTGCGCTGTGGTCAAGCCCATGAGCATGGTGGAGTCACGAGCTTTTGCCTTCGGTTTTGGTTTGCTGACACCAACTGTGCCCCAAAACTTGGACTGAACGTCGCGACCCAGGAATAGCGCTGCAAGCAACTGGGCAGACGATGGATGTTGTATGGTTTGGGGGGTCTAGGGTACCCCTCTTGAAATGTCACCACCGATTTGGGGCCCGAGCTGCCAACTTCGGGGAATTCTTATGCACGTTGTGGGTTGTTGCAGAGGTGTGCGATTGGGTTCCGTTTGGGGGGCGGGCTTGCATACATAGACATACCCTTATGCTAAAGACCAAGAGATCGCGAAGTACACTGCACGAAGTGCCACAAAATCACGAGAGGATTGTCTGTGAGTAGATGGCTATGCATGCAAGCAGCAGGAATACTTCGTGGACACGAATGTGCAGGTGGGATCTTCGAACAAACCTAAAGAACTTGATTTTTGCGACAAGTAAGATGTTATGAGGCGAGGCTGCCAAAAAAAAGTGTAGCTTGCGCGTAACGTGAATGTCCCAAGGGGTGTCCGTTAGCTTTCTTGGGGTACAGCTTCCCCACAGACATAGACAGGTGCTCTGAATAAAACCTCCTGTGTCCAAAAGCATCGGATTTGACTTGTTTTGGGGGCTGTCTTTTCCATCTAGATTTGTGCAATCGTCAGACGCGGGTTTGTCTTTTTTGCATCTAGTCCACATCAGAACTCACCAGGATGAAGAAATCGGGAGAGCACTCGGCTAGTCTGCTTCTTGAACGTGTTTGTCTGGCACGTTCTCTCATTAAGAACCCAATGCGTCTGCTCTTTGCAGGAGATGTGAGGTTCTTCTCGTGTGTCTGTATCGCAAGGAGTAGGGAGATGATCGCTTGATGAGTAAGATCCGAAGATTTTTGACTTCGAAGGTAATGCTGTTGTCTTGTGTGCTTCGTTTCGCAGAGAATCGCTGTCACTGTAGACAAAGTTGGTAGGACCAACTTTTGCCAAGTCCGGGAATCGACAGCAGTTGGTTTTACCAACATTTTTCACAGCCTTGGATATTTCGAAGGATTTCGCCGAAAGCAACATACCTTCGGACAACACCGGTAGACTACTTTTCCATGCCCGGGCATCGAACACAGTTGGCCCTAGCAACCTCTAGAGGATTCAGGGCGAGAATCATGTAAGCCCCGAGAACCCTGAACCCTTAGCCTACAGGAAGGCTGAGGCAGGTATGACGGTATGACGCAAAAGGTGCAGCTCCAGGTTCTCTGTGATTGTGCTTTGTCGGGTTTGGGGCCGCAGCCCGGCGCGACTCCGACATCCTCGAAGCATTGGACCTTTCGGGGATCGTGGTGGACTATCAAAGGAGATTCGGCCAACTCCACAACAGCTGCCAACTGCTGAGTCCTTGACTGTGCAGTGCCCAAGCGCTCTTCACTGCATGCCATCCTCGCACGATCGCACTGGCATGATTGCACTGCCTAATTCTCCCCTCTGAGTAGCCAAACAAGTGACCGAGCCAGGGGCTTGCGAAAGGGTCAAACTACGATGCGAAGGGGGCGAACGCAACCCCCCACTATGACCCCTGCTTGAGCAACTTCGACAGTACCCGTGCATGGCATGCCCTCTGTTTGATTTTGAAGCCTGTAGCAATTTTTCACCGTCTGCGCACTGCCTACTCGGGCGTCGGTCCACTGGGCATTTGGGTTTCAGTGCTGTCCCGGTGTGCGAATGGTAGCGTTGATCTGCAACACCCTCCGGAGGTTCGCGCAAACCCTGATGCAGAGGATGCCCCCAGCCCATCCACGATATACCTGAGACTCCGAGCCTGACAAAACAACATTGTATGCAATTTGGCAAAAGCTGGTAAAAAAAGGACAATCTGCAGCGGCACTCCGAAGAGCTTTCGTCGTGATAATCAATCTGCAAACAGTGCAACCGACTGCAACCGAGTCTCAAACTGGACTCTGCACTGAGACTGCGCAGATAAAACACGTAGCTGTCCGTTTGTGTTGGTGCTGTTAGGTCTGCAGAGGGCCCCTTGTCAGGCTCTACCTTACTGCCTCTGCCTGTGTCTGTGGTGAATGAATGAAGCATGCCCCACAAATGATTTCCTGCTTGTAGTGATAGGTGGTGCTGCTGCTGCACTGGAAGTCAGTGCTGGTGTCGCTGCATTTGGCGTTTACAGAAAAGTCAGAGAAGCTCGGTCAGGACAACCCTGGTTGCTATCTGCTGTCTTCTCCTTTGCGGTGCTAGCGGCTTTCTGTCCCGGCATGCCTTGGTATCCTTGCAGCTGATCGCTTGTGCAAATGCAAAGTGCCTCACTTTGGACTGAGGCTCTTGCAAAAGCCAGGGCGCAGAAATGAGCTCCTTTGGCGGCCTCTGCCACGCCTTATGCCGTGCCCATTGCAGACACTACTTGGCAAGGATGCAATTCGTTAATGCAAATGGTCCGTGGAGAATGCGCAGGCCCCCACTCAAGCGGCGCTCCCAAACCTCGGAGGCCAAGGCTCCATTAAAAAACCAAGAAGCTCCGCACCGCGACCAACCTCTGTCACCATGAACGAGGTTCACTCTAAACGCTTCTTTTTGGATACGTTTGACGCAGGTGACAAAGTTGCAACATGTTGCAACCGCAGCCATCCGCAACCCCACCCTGTTTACACATGTGGAACTAACAGCACAAGCTTGCAGCAGAACAATTACAGCAGAACCCTGATTGTTGAGTGCCAAGTCCTGGCTTTGCCGGACCTTGCCTGCCACGCAACGGCATGGCAAAATATGGCAAAATCATGCCAAATCTCGCAAGGTTCGCAGCCGTCCAAGCCCTGTGCAATGTGACCCTATGTTCTGTGCCTTGATTGCTAGATGGCAGAGACTGTACCCACAGCCCTGCAAACACTTCGTCAACGTCCGGAAACAATTCCAAGTTCAGAAGGCTGGCTTCGAGAGCTTATGATCTTGCTGGGTCCGAGAAGTGCGCTTAACGCTCGGGGTGAAGGGTGTAGGCCTGGATTTCTCATCCCCTTTTGCTCCTTAAGAAGGAAGAGAGGGATAGAGCGACAGAGAGAAAGAGATACTGCAACTATGCCACATCCGGCACATTGGTCACGAACTTTCGTGCTATGCCTAGGCCAAGCCTGGATTAGTGCAATCGCCTACATGGACTTGGGGCTTGACCTGTGTGCTATCCCCTGCATCTGGCAGGACACCGGCTAAACCCTAGTCACGCATGCTGTTGAAGCATGTTGCTGCAGGCTGCCGTGAAGAAGCAATTCGGCAAGTTCATACAGACAGTATGCATGACACGGGTGACGAAGCTCCGAAGCTGTACAATTGCAAAATGTGGCAGCTGCCTGGCCCGAAATTGATTCGGAGTTTACCAGCACATCTGCGGACATCAACCGAACAAACATCAACCAAACAAAAACAAATAATAGACAAACATACATCAATCGCCTGCAACACCTGCTTTGCAGGGCGTTGGAGGCTCTCCACGTTAGATGGACACATCTCAGGCAGCCTTTTCAATACTCTTTTCCAGGGCAGCAAGGTCTGCTTTCACCTGCTCGAGGACGTTCGGCGTTATCTTGGAGGGTGCCAAGTTCAGCATGCTCTCCAGCGCAGCTTTTTTGTTCACCTCAGAGTGCGGAGCAACAATGCCGGCTGCATGCTCCGATACGTGCATGCTGACACACCGCAGCTCCTTTCTACATGCGGCATTATGCATGTCAGCTCTGGAAGCTTACCTGCAAGGCTGCGGGACCAGTATTGTGGTGGCAACTTGCAGCCCAGCTTCGTGCGCCGGAGTCGGGGCCACAGACGGGTTCTTGACAAAGGGTGGCAAGAACACAACTCATCCGACATTGTGCAACTTTACGCACCGTACCTTTCACGCCTGCCTGACTACTAGAGGGTAGGCTATTGAAGCAGAATCCTTTGTGGAAGGAGGGTGCTCGCATCGATCTGCCCTACAGATTTAAGATCCGACTCGGAGAGTTCGTGCTGAAGTCCAATCGGTTTGGCCTTCTTCCGCTCGATGATTTCGAGCTTGGCAGCTAAAACCTCTGCTCGCCTTGGACATGTGCAAATGCCGCAATGCTCCCAGCATCCGTGACGAAATGGCAAATGACATGCTCCATAAAGCCAAGTCACTCTTGGTGGGAGAGCAAAGCCCATTTTTGCAAGGCACTTGGCCCATCTCTACTAAGTGCCAGCAGACCTAACATGAACAACGCGCATTGAAGCTGCTTTGTGAGTGGCTATGACGCAAAGTTCTCAGCCTTTTGAGACACTGGTGTGCTGCATCTTGATCGTGACTTCAGCGAGATCCGGAGACAGCTTCTTTAGGAAAGCCAGGACGCCTTCCATCGAGGCTTTGTGGCAGGTTCTACAGTGCTACAGTATGCAAAAACACGAAGCAACTGGAGATGGAGCACATGTGCACAGATTGCCTCTGTCGGTTATGTGGCAGCCCGAAAGGTCCAGGGTAAGGTTCTGAAGACGCTCTGGCAAGTCTTGTGCCACCGGTGTGAGGCTCATGTCGTCCAGTCCCGTAAACCTCAAAAGGGTCAAAAGGGTGTGGCCAGGCACATTCGCCCCCACGCTCCAGTCTGAGACCGTCTGAGTAAGTCTGAGCCTGCCACTGCAAGTCCAACTTCAAGGTCTCCAGGCTCTTTGGCAGGCTCTGCCTTCGGGATCCACGCCCGGATCTTGCATCGAAGGCAGTATCATTTTGTGCGCATCGCGTGCAGTGTCCTTTGCGCATTCCAGCTGGGTCCTGCTGGTCGCATCCAGTGCTGCCAAGTTTCAGGCCCATAGCCAACACCTCCTTATTGGAGAAGTCGCAGCCGGCTAGGCTCAACCGTAAGGACTTGCGCCACCAATCCCCTGCAAAAAGGTAAGTTGACTGATTGGCTTAACATGTGATGTCATGTGCTCAAATCACGTGATCATGCCCACACATAATGGAACTGCAGCCTTGTATGGCTTTGGCCACATCGCCGAGCACACGCCTCAAGAATTGACCAAGATGCCGACGTTGCTTTCCCCGTGGCCAGACAATCTGACACGCGCCGTAACTGGCTCGGAAGCTGGCATGTAATCCTTGTCCTGGGAAGCCTGGAAGAGGACGTTCGGCCAGAGCAGAAGAAGCAGGAAGCTTCGCAAGCGCCTCTCAACATGCCGAAAGCATCAACATGTAGAATGTTTAGGTTTGCATGGTGAGCCTCGTCATCTTCTGTATGCCGTCCGTGTCCTCCTCCAGGGGCTGTGCAAGCCCAATGAAGGCATGCGTCAGGCGCTGTCGATCGACCTGGCAGTTGATCAGAATTACTTTGTCCCGGAAGCGTATCTGTCGCCAAATTTAAACTTCCTTTCATGGAACTTTGGCGCGCCTCATCGCGCGCACTCCTGAACCCCAAGACCTATAATCCCATCCATGGCGCCTACGTACTACAGCTGCCCACACGAGCACTTCTTAAGCAGATGCCACGTGGGCTGGGCCCTTCATGGGATACGTTAGACATCCCTCCTCCGGAGGATGTTGCCCACAGCTTTGGGCTCCATCCCACAACTCGGAGGGCAGACTGATGGGGGACCAGCTGGGAAAGGGGGTGGCATCGTGTTGCCATTGGCGGATTCAGGCCCTTGTGTGCCGGAATGAAGGTTTGAGGCTGTGAGTGAGTGGGTCCGGGTGCATGAAGGTCGCGTTGGGCACCTAGTATCCGCAGAGGGATCTGCGGAGAAGAGTGCTAGCTGAAATGGCACGCGTCGTGCACTGCCCGTTGCAGAGGTGATGGTGATTACTTGGCCTAGTACCTCGGAGGGTGACCTTCGCGGGAAGAGCTGCGTTGGATGAGGCTATCGCGAGGATGGCAAGCTGTCTTGCCTTTATGCCTGCCCAGCCGAGCAGTACTCTGCTCGGTTGGTGTAGGTGGCGGGCTTGCCTAGTGACTGCTTCGTTCGGAAGGTAACACGCCCTCTTGCTGGACTGGGCCGGTTTCGTTCGTGTCCGCGCGTGGTTGCGTCTTTGTTTTGTTTGTTTGTTTGTTTGTCGTTTCTGTTGGGGCTGACACTTTAAGCCTTCGGGCCGGAGGTGTCGCCTTTTGCTAGGCCAGGCAAGTGCTACCAGCCGGCATGTGCCTCGGTCGACTCACTCACTCACTCACTCGCTCACTCACTCACGGATACGTTAGACTTTCGTGGGACTTTCGCGCAGCTTGCGCCAGTCTTTCGCAAAATGTTAGGCTTTCGGAAACGGATTTCCTAAACCCTAAACCCTAAACCCTAAATCCTCGAAGCCTAAACACATTAAATAAACCCTAGACCCTCGCTACGTGCAGTGTGGTCCAACGGAGGCTTTCAGCCAGCTGCGCGTGACAGACGAGAGCGAGCCTTATGCCGCGGATGCATAGCAAACAGGCGCCTTACGTCAAAACTTCCGCCAAAAGACAGTTTCCTTTCGCACACCCTCTTCGCGGATCTTTCGTGGACACTTAACATGCTTGACATGTAGGTTTTATGCAAAATTATGTAAAATTCCTTACAAGGACCTTTTGATCACACCCACCTCAGTTTTGACTCTGAGCGTATGCCAAGCGTCCCATCTATGTTTTCAGTGCAGGTTTTTGTTCGGCAAGATCGTTGTGCACGGCCTCGTCGCTCGCCTCAGCCTTGTTGAGGTTGAAGGCCAAGGCTTCCTTCCGTTGATGAACTCACCGAGCATTTTGAGATAGATAGTGTCACTCGGTAGTAGCCAAGATTCCTTCACCACGTGCAATGGAAAGCCTGCTTCTCGATGGTTCTTGGCGGTGACCCCGCTGCCTGGATAGTACCTTAAGCAAGAACATGGTTGACGATATTGTCGTTGTTTCATGTTGCTTCCATGCTTGGATTCGATTGCAACTCTGGAGCTTATTGGAGCAAACTTCGGACGTGGTCAGTCCACTTGTGATGATCTCTACGTCCTGCCATCAGACGGAGCTTTCTATACTCAGCATTACTCAGCCTTCTCCAGCCTGTGCTGTGGAAAGTGCAGCACTCTGTTGTGAAGTCCTGACCCAGAGTTGCGACATCAACCGAGAGTGTCGCGCTGTCCAAGCAGAGCGCCTGGGGACAAATATTCATCCGCTCTCCAAATTTGTTTGCACTTTCTAAGAATGTTGGTTGACGACAACCTCCTGCTCTCTGCACACAAAAGAAAGCTCCCAGGGATCCGCACCCATTCGTAAGCACACCAGGCACGCGAGAAGGAGAGATGCACATCTGGCGAATCTCCCAAGACCATCAGCATCCGGAAATTGCTTGCCTTGGCAACTCGGGTTCGAAGCAGTCGCGAGATTCTTGAAGCACATTGTGACGCATGCTATTTGCCAGCAAAGGCTGCTCGAATAGCTGCATGCGAATCTGACAGGCTGGACATACTGCTGGGCGTCAGATCCTCAAGCATTGCAGAGCGATGGATGCAGAGTGAGCTTGTCAAGCTTCTTCGAGAGCTTAGTGAGAAGGCTTCCATTCTGTGAGCCTCAGCCCGGTGGATCCTTGTCGCGGCCATTTTGAACTTGTGCAGCTGTCGCGGGGATGGTGGGATGAACTTCCACAGTTCTTCGACGGAATCCGGAAGATTTTGATGTGCAGTCATGGATAGAGGACCCTCAAGCGAATCCGAACGCCTGATTCCAGAATCCCGAGACTACTGGACGATTGAAGCAGGGAGGAACAGAATGCCAGCGATGATAGTGATTACGCAGTAGGATTGAGGCGAGGGTGTGCTGGAGACCGCGACTCAGTGGGGAACATGGGAGGGTTAGTAGACAGACGGGGATCGGGAGTTGGACAAGGGATTAGAGCAGTGAGGCAGTGAGGGTGCTCCTCCCGCCCCAAGTAGGGAAGGGAGAACAGGTTAGTGTTGGACAGGTAAGGCTGGACAGTACAGTGGGGTTGGCTAGGAATGGCAACCAAGTGAATCGTAGCATGGGGGGGGGGGGGGGGGGGGGGGGGGGGGGGGGGGGGGGAGGCAAGGAGGACAGCAAGAAACTGAATAAGCAGCTGATCAGAATGAAATCGCATGGTTGAACAGATGTCTGCCGACAGAAGGCAGGGGAATCAAAAGGAGGAAGTGCAACGAACTAAGGGATGGTAGGAATGACCGTGAGAAGGAATTCTAGGGACCGTTCACCCTTCTACCTTGTGTGACGCTTGGTGGTTGCATGGTTGGCTGCTTGTCGTTGTCGATTTCGTCGCCGTCGTTGTCGTCGTGGTGGTTGTCGTTGTTGTCTGATTTAAGCCTTCGGGCCGGAGGCGTCGCTATGTTTTGCTCCAGCCGTGTGTCTGCTGTCAATTGAACGATGCTGTCGTTTAGTTGTTCAATATCCAGATGCTTATACCTTCTTATTTGTCCATGTATACCTATGTAGCACCGAAATAGTGCTATAGAACCCATACAGCCCATAAAACGGCCCCTCCTTGGCGTAGTACATGTCCCGCAGTACTATTCTGCACTTCTTGGATGTTTAGATTCTTCCATACCTCATGCTGCGTTCTGTGGCTTATTGCCACTGTCTTTTTCAAGGCTGCAACCGCAGCAGCAACAAACCCGGGCCAAAGTCCACCACAATACAAAAGCACATGCCAAGATGTGGAATTCCGAGCACTTGTTTGCGTGCTCTTGTGCTCAAGAGGTTTCGCATGATTCTGGTGTTGGCAGATTTGAACTTTTGGAAGGGATGCTTTTTGGGGATGCGGAGCGAGGCAGGATCTGATTTCAAATGATACCGCGAGGGAAAGTTCAGGAAAAGAACTCGGTGCGTCCACAAGCAACTCATCCTTGCTAAGATTGGTAATCGCATGTGTTCGGGCTAGTACAATGTTCTCTGGCCGGCAACCTGCAACATAGCGGAATGCATGCTCAGTCATGGCGCATGGTGTCGGTTCGCAAAGGCAAACAGCCAGTATCCAGTTCTTGCGCTCAGTCCACGCACGGCAAGATGCTGCCTCGGCTCTTGTCATGGAACAAGCCATTGCATGTAGCTCATCATAGCTCATCACTTCCACCACATGACCTCAACACTTAGCCGTGATGCCTCAAGCATTCCAAGAACTTCTGCATCCGATCTCCCCAGAAGTGGCTGACAAACCTCAGGTTTCTGCCACTGGGCTGCGCCCCTTGCTGCACAGCAGCTGACTGCGAACTTGAAAAAGTTGGCCAAGCCCAGACGGCGGAGAGCTAGCTGCATATGTGTTGTAAACGAGGGAAGAAATTGGACAGGTAAAGAAATTTCCAAATCAAGATCTTGCAGGTACCCAGGACAGCCTCTGCAGGCACCTTGCCGCAACGTTATATATTAGCTGGAATGGGTGCTTTCTTACTGTTTCCTGCTGCGGCAGGAGAGTCTAAAGTTTTACGGAACGGTCGTTTCTTAGGGCACCCAGAGCCGCACAAACCAGCTGCGGAATCCTGAGTTTTTTTAGCGGGATCCTTACGTGGTATTGCCTTTTCCTTGGTTTTTGGCACCCACATAAAGATCCTACAAAATTTTGTTCGCTTGTGTTTTACTTACCACATAAAGATCCTACGATTTTTTCCCCGTCAAGAATCCCCTGCCTGGTGGTGATGCAATTAAGGCACGACACCTACGGAATCCCCACCGGCAGTCATGATACCCCCTAGGCCCTAAAATGAGCCCGACACACTAACAAGAGATGCAAATGCTCGCATGTAGATGAGATAGGTCCTTCCTGGAAAGCGTGGATGATGGTGTCATCGGATCTTTATGTTTATATGTCCTGTTGGTCCCTGATAAACATCCAACTAAAGTTACGAATCGCAATGGGCACCCGGCACCAGGATCATGCAGTGGGCATGCTGCAGCCAGGGGACCAGTTGGGAACTAACTTCCTGTCCGAGAGGTGCTCCATCATCGAACTGTTGTACTCCCTGGCAGACAAGAAGCACTTCAAAACATCGTCGTGAAGATGGCAGCTCAAGGCAGGAGGTTTAGCCCTCTTGCCGTTGGGCCTCGTTGCTGGCTTCACGATCCACTCATGAATGCTGTGGAAGTTCAGCGCAGAAGGCTGCATGCCCCAGCTGTAGCACTGTCGCACCTTCACAGCGGACAGTCTTTCAGACATCAAGGCGGTGAAGCTTCGGAAGCGGGGCGTGGGGAGTGTGGGATCCGGGAAACGACGGAACCCAGCAACACCCGGACGTGAATGCCCTTCTAGTGGGCAAAGAGCGCATCCCTTCGATGTTTTTCCCAGCTTTGAGAGCTGAGCCACAAAGCTTTTCGTTGTGTTCAATGCTGAAGGTACAGGGCGCACCATGGGCACAGGTTGGCATTTCTTGATCTCCCATTTGAAACCACATTACTGGCTCTACAAAAGCAGTAATGCTGTGGCATCGGAGGGCTTCAATCCGGCGCGCTGGAACTAATTATATAAAGGCTCGCCAATTAAGTATTGTGCTCGTGCCAGAATCCGGGTGAACGTGCGATAAGTATTCCTCCAAAATCCAACTAGTCGGGCAAATATCTAAAGCAGCCCCCACACCCTCCGTTTTTTTGCATTGCACTATGCGGCAATGAAAAAGACACAAGTCTTACCTTCCAGGGTCAAAGAAGTCCGGCTGGCCGGAGAGAAATCGTTCCCCTATTTGGGGGATGACGCTTCCAGGCCAAACCCTGCGCTGAGGCTTCATCCATCCATCACCGGGCAACGTTTATGGAACAGGACATTCTTGATTCCAGCAGCTTTTTGAGACCCAGTGCATTTGTCGACAAGCGGTCTTGTGGAGATTCTCAACACCAGTACCTATCCCCCCACTCCTCCCTCAATTTCAATCACAGTGATAGCGATTACTCTGCACCAAATACTGGGTAATTCAGACAAAGCACGGCAAAGCTGCTGATCTGCACCAGCTGTGGCATTGTAACACTTCGGTTCTCAAGCCCGTCGATGTAACTCTGAAACTTGAACCACTTGCCGACCTCAAACAGAGAACAGAGAAGTTTTCACGGCTTTCAAAGAGCAAAGCGTCAAAGCAGAGCCCCGTTTCTGTCAGAAAGAGAAGACTTAGGCCGGAGCCGCCTTCACGTTGCTTCCTTGCGAGAGCAGCCGGTCTCTCAACCGTTCTTCCTTAAACAATCGTAAGAATATTTTGCCCATCTTGCTTTTGTGTGCTGTGAGTGCCTTGCCCTTGTGGTGGAACAAAGCTAAACTCTGTGTGCTCTAGTTCACAAAAGCATGGCCAGGAAACCTACACGATTTCCCTGCGCTGGGTCCGCTGAGGTCAACGTGCTTCAAAAGAATATCGCGGAAAACTAGTCGGTCTACCGTCCAATACGCATTAGGCTTGAGGTTGAGAATTCGGGTGTTGGGTTGAAGATGCTACGAAAGATACTATGTCGGGATGGCGCGAAGCGGGCTGCGACGGAGTGGGCCTCACGTGGAACGTTTGCTTTTCTGAGATTCAGGGATTCGGAACATTGCTGCGACAGATTGATGTCAGGCCACCAACAGATTTGTAAACGACGACTACAGCAAGCTGCAAGGAGGACACAACTTTCGTGCTTGAGTTACTTGGAAGTTCAAAAGCCCTCTCAACCAGAGATCCTGGCTGGACACATTGAGAAACAGCCAGCCTGCTGTTCACCGTCACGATGACCATGACAACATTTAATGCCCACTGCATCACAAGAAGCCAAGGCAAAATGGCTTGCTGAGCGCGCCAACTTGGAACAACTCCTTGCAAAGTAAGGCTCGTCCCATGGGTCCCGTAGCCGGAGCTGAGTGACGTTGGAACTCTAGTCGGACAGGTGCCGGCATCCTCCTGGGCTCCGGTTTTGATGGCGTTGACAGGAACAGATTCTTGTCTGCGATCAAGCTGCGACAATGACTCCGTTCTTGACAGGGCTTGTGACTTCAAGCTGCCTCGGCTTCGTCCCTACAATCTCTATCACTTGCCAACGCTCATTCTTCTGTTGGGCCATACGGGCGCCGTGCTGCTTCCGGGTCTGTCGGCCAAGTCTGCACGGCTTGGCCGCAGCTTCGGCATGCTCTGAGATCGGTTCATGGCTCATGAGCTAAACGCGACTGCCAAGGTACTCCTAAAAGCTCACTGGCTCGTAGCCGAAGGTCAAACGTCTTATGTACACGGTCGTTTGCATTTGAGTCGGTTCAATCTGATACGCGATGCAGAGAGTTGATTGCATTCTGATGCTCGGATGGTGAAAGCCTGGGACAGAAGCAAACACTAAATGAACACTTCAGGAGCACGGTAGCAGAAGCGCGGCTGTGCTGTGCGATGCTTCACCACATGTTCTGGAACATTCAGGATTTTGAGAATTCCGACAGCCAAAACCCGTTGTCAACGGAATGTCACGGGCCAGGCTTCCCACCAACAGTGACCGCAATAGTGCCGCGGCCCTGCAGCGGTCCACAAGCTTGGCAGATGCGGATTTGGCAGAGTGCTTCTCTTGGACACGGCCAAATCCAAAGCTATGGCACGGGCAGTCGCGCTAGCTGACTTGGTTCTTTATGCGATGGCCCCTTTCCGCGACAAGGGCAACGATATGAGGTGGCTACATCTTCTCCCTTGACAGTCCGCAGCTCATATCTTGGCCGCATGGCCGTGAATCATGTGTGCCAGGCCTCGGCAGCACCGCTGACGAGCCCCTTGGCCACGAGATCTGCCCAACCTTCCAGCATTGCCACGTGGAGGCTGATCATTGATCCGTGATGATCCGTGCCACCCTGAACTTCTCTTTACATCTTCCTCTGTCTGTATATGCTTCCTGAGGCGTCGCACCTTGACTCAGCAGGCACCGTGGTTCAGCCAAGGCGCCGAGCCTGTGAAGCAGACTCTCCACCCTTCTCATTTGCAACGGCCTTCTTCCACAGTCATGCAGACCAACTCCTTCTGCCTTGACAATGCATGGAGAGCTGATGCGATACCTCGTCAATAGAAAACAAGCAAAATGAAGGGACCGATGCAGCTGCGATCAGCTGCGCGATCTTAGAAACCTGCCGGCCGGACCCAAAGCCTCGGAGACAGCTGCAAAACATAACAGCGTGCCATGATTGAGCGTGCTACGGCTTGCGGGAAGGGGACAAGCCCATGGCCCAGGAAACCTGGAAACAACCTGGAAACAACATGGACATGACAGTGATGCGCCGGCCTGCGAGTTTGACACGACTTCCTCTGCAACAGCTGCAAGCAGCTCTGCACCTTGGAGGATCGGCTCAATGCCCCATCTGTGGTCCATTTTCCGACATTTTCTCTTTTGTCTTTCCTCGAAAAAAGCACGCCGTCTGTTTACGGCCCGGACTCCACTCACCAGAGCTTGCCAGCATCTGCGGCAACATGTACTCCAACTAGCAGGACTCCCACAAGCAGTGCGCAAGGGGCCTCTAGCACTTCAACTAGACGAGCAGGTTGCATGCGAAGCGGGGTGCTCCGACAGATCATGACCTGTAGAATCACCTGGCCAATCACTGTTGAAGCTTGGACAGCTGGGAATACCATTCATCCTGCAAAGGGTACACGCCTTAGCTCGGGTCAGCAGCTCGGACAGAGTCACATCACCTGCCAGCGATGTGTCTGTGTGAGTTGCAATGCTTGGCAAAGCACAAGTGACGTCAGTCATGACGAAACCTGATGGAATTTATATTCAACTTTCTATACATATATATATACACATACATATATATATATATATACAGATATAACATGCGAGACAGGCTTCGCCGCTATGGCGGGTGAACTTGTGGGATGTACGTACCAGCCTACCTAGCATGAACGATGACTACTACCCTGCTGCGCTCGGATGCCTGCTTCCACTTGCTGCAATGCCTCGACGTAATTCCGAGCGTGATAGTGTTGTCGACACCCAATGATTGTAACGGGGTGACATCGTGCTCTCACATCTTGTTGTGCGCCAGGACCCGTGCAACCAGCAAAGTGAAGAGGTCATCGTGGTGATGTCCGTGCTCGGCCACCTGCCGTGGCGGATCGCTTGCGGAACTGAGTGGACCTGGTGGCCTGAAGCACAGCGAAGCACGAGCAGAAAGCCAAGTCCTCCCCCAGCAGCCGCAGAAGACTGTAGAGTGATCGCCCCTGCTGCAACTGAAGCACGCATTGATTCTCACCTTCTTTCAGGATATCTTGGAGTAGACCATGCTCCCGTGAGCAGTGGAAGCCTCGTCACGCACGAAGCCTGCATCTGTAGCTGCCTCCAACACTGGCGTCACTGTTCCGATTGTTTTAAGTATGTTCGTTGGATAAGCTTGGCAACAGATCTATGAGGTGCATCTGTAACTTCGCCATGCTGTTGGAGGGCACCTCATCCCTCACAATTCTTTGAAAAACCTCTCGTAGAAGCGAGCTCATCAACTTTTAACAAATCAACCAAGCACGTGCATTCCTTCAGCGTGACTCAAGGCACGCTGAGGGACCTGTACATGGATCACACGTTGAGCAGAAGAGAGAGAGGCTTGCAAATCCAACAAGTGCTAGCCTCGAAACATTATCGCAATCGCGGTTTGCTGTGTTGTGCCGCGAGGCCCCACGTGGCCACGTGGAACCCTACTGCCTGCCAAAACGCCATCATGACTGGGGCGACAAACTACCAGAGCTCAGTGGAGCTTCCACCACAAGCTGGGAAAAAACGGAAGCGGCTGAAAAGGTAGCTGTTGAAGACATCTCGATGTGTCGACGTCTCGTGAAGTGTGGAAGATAAGTTCGCATGGATTTAGTTTCTTTTGTCGACGACGATTAACTTCACAGGCCTAAGCATAATCAAAGTTTTCGCAGTAGCTGCCGAGAGCCTCAGCCTGCATCTTAGCGCCGTAGTTCCAACATTTAAAGCCCCAAAGCCCCTTCGCATCTTTAAAAGTCTCCGTGCGGTCAGGTCTGCTCGCCTGCCACTTCCACCTTAGCTGAGAGAATGCTGCCTGATTATTTTGCGTGCACCTTTTACTAGCCTTCATGTCTAAACCGACTAAATCCCGGCACCAACCCCAGGGGCAAAGGAGGCTCGATGTGAAACCACTGTGCAAGTTGACAAAGGAGGGGCTTGTTGGGTTCGGGGAAGCATTTGGTAATGTGCAAGGTGACCCGGCGGTGGTAACGTACGTCGAACATGAATGGGCCCCTGAGCGCAGGAACGTGGCACATTTCTGGACTGTCCTGCATTTTCACTGTACTTAAGTGCCGATGGCAGCACTGCCCAAGCAGTCTGTTAGACGTTCGTGGACAAACCATTCGCAAAAAAAGACTTTAGGGAAAAGACGAATGAACATGGCTTGGCAAGGAAAGGTTTTTTTTGCCGAGGCAAAGTGGATCCGATAATGCCTTGCCTGAAACACTATCTTTAAGATCGGTTTCGGTTTGGCTTTGGGGGACTGGGAGATGGGACTTTCTCTGTCCCAATGCGTGGGTCGCAGCCGCGACGTGTCTCCACTGACTTTCTCCTCAAATCCACAACTGCGCCAACACGCCTCGTCATCCGCTTTTTTCCTGGTACATTGGACAGCTATGTCAAGTGCAGCATGACAAGGCTTCCCCCCCCGGCGTCAGAGGAAACAAAATAAAAGCCATGGGCGTCCCTTAAGTGCAATAACGGGTTCAAAATAACAAGCAAACCCAAGGAGTACACCGTTGCACTAACCGTTGCACAGAAATTTACTTCGTCGTCCGTCTTCAGACTCCGGGGTCGCAGATATTCCAAACGTGGAGGTTAATTTACGGAGACTTTCTTCCCGAATCATATTCTTCTATGGGGGTTGAGATGGGTAAGCAGGTTCTAGCCCGTAGGGCCCCCTCTCTGTCTCTCTCATATCGCAATTCCACTTGTGTCTGGAACCTGGTTCCGCGCTCTGAAGAGGTAGAGTCCAAGAGTCCACATCCAAAGGGTCTTCGCGGCACCGATATGGACAGGTATCGTGCGAAGCATCGATGAGCCAGTTCTTGATGCAAGCTGCCTGAGATGAGCGCACACTCTCCTGGCGAGACCATCTCAGGACCACATGCACCTTCCAGCCCACGGCAATTTCTTGCATCTTAAATCTTGATGGCCAAGTTGCATGGAACACATGCCCACAAGCTAGCCGAGCGACCTAAGCTGCAGCTATCAGTTGATAACTTTGGCCGTCCCTTCCTGTTCTTCTCTGCAATTTGATGCTGAATGTGTAGCACTTCAACGGTAAAGTAAGCATTCCAATTGCAGGTCATCCTGTCGTGGTTTCGCCTTCAGGCTTCGCGGCTTTGTACATGTCACGTCTGAACTTCTAGATGGCAAGCACGAACAGTTGCTTTTTGCTCTGCAACTCATGATGCTGGTAGGGCGTGGCATGTGATCTTGCGCAGACCTGTTGCTCATGTATCTTGTTGAGAACCGAGCGACCTTCGCGACAGATAAATAACGGGCGAGGCAAGGCCACAAGTCAGTGAACCGAAGACAAGGTCAAACAAGGTGGCGCTGCGGCCAGCGGTCGTGGACGGCTCGGGAAACTGTGTTTTAACCCACGCCTGCCAGTGCGAGAACCGCGCTATGGTCTTTTTTGAGGCATCGTTTCTTGGTTGCATCAGCATGCTACAATGTATTCGTTTGAAAATGCCACGCCTGCCAGTGCTTTTTCAGGGGTCTTTTTGGACACCGTTCTTTGTGACGGTTGACAGCAAAGCAGCGAGGAAGGAATAGTTTTTTTTGGAGGTTGCTTCAGGGCTCAAGCTTTACGTGTGCGTAGCAAGGCGTAAGAAGTCGGAGAACATTCATGGAACCCGTGACGGTTGGAGAGCTTTCAGGGTTGTCGTGACGTTCCTGGTCCCCACAACGGCTGGAAAACATTCATGGTTTCGGGCACTCTGAAGGTGCTCATCCCAACAGCAGCAATGCAAGTACATGCAATGCAAGAAGCAACAGCATACAGGCCGGACAGGCGGTCACATTGGATGCAATAATGTGAAAGAAACACCGTCAACTAGACTACTTGTTGTATCGGCTGTGCTGGCCCTGCCTTCAAATGTGGTTGACCGGAATGGGGAAGCAGGCTTGGGAGGCTCAAGGTAGGCGACTGTACCAGCAACTGTGCTCTGGTCCTCAAGTGCTCGAAGCTACTGGCTCTGGTCCTGCTGGCGGGTCGGCTGCGCAAGCCCCGTCTGACTGGTTTACACAACGGGTTCCTCCCTTTTTCAGGCCTGGCGGGGCCACTGGGGGGACTTCCTGTTCAAAAACCATTCAACAACGTATGGTTCGGCTCGTATATAAGAAACAAACACTTCGCTGTTGAGCGTCCGAGCCCCGCTGCAAGGCCTTGGCTTAACAAAAAAGCCGAACTTTCACAGGTCTGAAGGGTTTGAAGGGTTTGAAGGGTTTGAAGCTGCCCCGCAAGAGTTCGCAGCTGGTGCTCGGCTAGGGACTCATATGCATGTTTTTGCATTGTCGAGATCCAGGCTCTTGTGCAAGATTGCCCATGGAATTCGCGTTGCCAAAAAAGCTACAACATGCCCAGAACATGCCCTCTCGCCGATGCCAGTTTCTGTCCGTCGTCTTTCTTTCAGTCGGTGTAGGCTTCTTGCTACCAGTATTTCTTATGTTCTTTCTTTTTGATCTTTCTTTCGTTGGTGTTGTCTTCCTCATGTCAGTTTCATTCCGCAGACGCATCTCAAACGCATCCGCTTCCGGGGTGGTGGACAGATCTGGATGGACGACTCAGACTCAGGTGGTTCAGGGCCAGATCCCGAAATTGCTGGGTGTGGGCCGCTTGTTGATGGGTTCCGAGGGTTCCGTCTCCTTCGACGCGGACAACTATGCCTTGGACGGGAAGTTCTCGGTGGTCAAGTTGAGTTGGGCAAGCAAGGCCTTCGCCACTGCGAGTCGCGAATGGAGCATTGCTGAGGAGCTATTCAATAGTGATGGGAGTCCCTTGATGTCCCTCATGCATTCGTCCGAGCTCGCGGAAGAGGCGGTGAAGGCTAGCTTGGTGGACGCAGTGGCAAAGCACCGCCATTCTGGCTCACAGCCTGGCTTGACCCAAAGTAGCAGCATGATTCGCTCTTAACCATGACATGTGCACCCTAGGCATGCCAAACATTCCACGCAAACATGTTGTTCGTTGTGTTGTGTCCCTCTTTTGTTCATTCCCATCCTCTCCCAACGCAACCATTTGACCGTTTGAACGAGCTCTCGTTGACAGGAAGTCGGCAATAGTATGCACCACACGACGCCACAGGCACCAAGGTCAGGGCTCTGCAGTTTGGTTCGAAATCGCTTAGGCAAACGACGCAATTGTCCTGGAGCCTGCAGGGTGCAAGGATGCAGGGTTGTTCTGGCTTGTCACAGCTGATCCCTGCCTGGCCCCTGTAGGACTCTGCAAGTCTTTGTACGCAGATGTCGGCAACTTTTCCATGCAGGCACTACGAGCTTCCGCCATCTTATGACGACCTTCATCCTCAGATCAACTGGGATTTGATGAGATCACATCGCACGCAACGCAGCACGCATCGCGCGCGGGAACAGCCATGGGCTCAGACGTGTAGCACCTGCAAGATACCTGCAAGGCTGCCAAGGCTCCATCATCTGCTCTTGCATTCGGACAACTTTTGCCCATGTGCAGGAAGCGAGCGTGACCTTGCATCCAGGCGCCCAGGTCTGCACATGTCTGTACGTGCACATGTTTGCAACAGCACCTGGGCAGTCAAACTGACCTTATAAGCCCACATGCAAGGTTGCATACATCAGTGCTTTCACAGCAAGTGGCCATCGCAATATCAATGCCCAGGATTGCAAATCCAAACTCTTGGTGTGTTGGAACTTTCGAATGCCAGGTCATCCCGATAAACGTGGCGTGCAGCCCGAGGAAGATGACCTGCAGCTGTGCAGCTAGTATCTGCTAGGATGTTTGCCAACATGCTAGCATGCTTCAATGCGCAGCATGATCTGTCAGGATGGTCTCGGTTACTCTCACGGAGTTTCCGCGCCTTGATCACCAAATAGATAACGAGCATGGTTGACAAATCCTGAGCAAAGACGCAAATCTTTATTGTGCTGCTTGTCTTAGGTGAGGTATGTTGGCCGATGAGCTCTGCTTCCCTGGGCCAAGCTTCGCTGCCACCTCTAGTGAGATCGGCTGAGACCATGTGAACGGCTAGCCACAAGAGGCTGGCGAGAGTTGCCTGGGTGCACTCTACAGATTTGCTCATGTTGCTTCCGGCAGTACAACATACTGCGACGATTGAAGCCATGTTGGTTGTTTTCTCAGGCTTGGGCGAAAGATAAAATGGAAGTGATGAGAACCACCGTCGGAAAAGACACGACGACACCTTGAATTGAAAGCTCTGAACTTGCTATTCCCAGAAACTGTGAAACCAATGAGCCAAATTGTGCCCAAGCTCCGTTGCAATCCTGGCTGTTCTCTTCCCTGAATTTCCAATCTCGACACCTCGGTGCGCAGAAGCCCGTCTGAGCAAGTGGTTGTTGCCTTGAATGCCTGACCTTCATCCCTCTTCAAGCGCTTGATCCTTGTGCTTCCTTGTGGCAATGCGGCCAAGCTGCAAGGAGGCCCTGTATCGTGTGTTGACGAGCGAGCCCTCTACCATGATGGAAACAAAGCTTCCCACAGTGACAACCTCTGGATTTGCAGGTGCTAAATTGCGGTGCTAGCCTGCTAAGCAGAGGACAAGCCAGGGCTCCAACCGTGAGCAGAGCGATGACCAAACGAACCGTCCTTACATCTTTCCTGCCGAAAAAACAGGTTGGCAAACATAGGATGCAAGCAAGGAATCAATCCCATTCAATCCCTTCCGTGTTGTCGTGTCCGGTGCATATGGTGCATCCTTTGGCTCTGCTCCGAATGCCTGGCCTTCACCGCCATGTATCCCTCTAGTGCAGCAATAGTACGTGGCGCGGCTTGTCGTCATGCCGCTGCGACCCTGAAACTGGCAATTCCCTCTCTCTTCCTTTGAATCGCGACGCGATGAAGTACACTTGCCCGTGGCACCGCCTCTCTGCAATGTGCTACAATCGAACTTTCGTGTTTGCTGCACGAGGTTGTGTCAGGAGTAGTGGTGAGAGTACATCCGATACTTCTACGCCAAATAGTGCCTCAGGTCTTCGGGTGTCACTACCAGTTTGTTGCTCACAAGCAAAGCAATCCAGCTTCTAAGCATAAGTCTAGGCTGCCCAAGCCGAGCCCTTCATCTTGGCGCAAGATCCGACAAGTACGCTGAAGCACGATGTCCTGATGTTCCCCTGCCGTATACTAGCACTCGACCTGCAGGCGAAAGACAAAGAAGGACATTGCAGTGTCACTCGAGCGCCTGCTAGACGACATTCATTGCATTACGTTGCATTGCACTGACAAAGACGACAACTATTTGCCGCTACTTCTAAGGACAGAGGTTGGGCGGCTTGTGCCGGTTCGCCTTGGAGTCCAGGCTTCTGGAACCATGCCGGGTTTTTAAAGCCACAGCTTCACCACCATTGCTCTGGTCATACGGAGATGCTCGGAACTGGTGCCGTTGATCATGCAAACAGGCGAACATAGGTTTGCTGTCTACTGAATCAAACCTTACAAACCCTCAGATGTCTCGGAATGTCGACAATGCCCTCCAGATTCGTTTTGAGCTGCCTATTTGGATCACGTGAATCACCTTCTCTGATGAGCCAAGGCATGTCCCCGCTGGGCTTTTGCCCCGAAGTGCTTTTTATCATCCCCTGAAGGACAAGCAATGAAGAGTGAAGATCCATGTTTGAGGACTTCCTGATGACTTCCTGATGACCCGAGGCTCGACGTCTGAAAGGATTCTCTAGTCCACCACTGCGGATAACTCAAGGGCTGACCAGCATGCGCGCTGCAACTCGGAAGGGCCGACTGCCTGAAGGCACACTGTACGCTGCAGAATCTGAGAAAGGGCGACAAAGAATGCAATCCTCCAAGTCCCCAACCCAATGAAGACAAAGAGAATCCTCGAGCCTGAGGGCAGGACGACACTTAAGCAGCTGTCCTGAGGGCACGCCTTGTTGTAACATCACAGAAAGCCATAGGCCTCATGCTCGGAAAGGAAGGCTTTGAGGCGTTCCCGCAGGGTTGGGGTCAGCGGCCGCCCTGTCGGATCAAAGCAAGCAGTTGAAACATGATGGAACATGCCCCTCCGCACGAAGGCGCTAGGTACAAGGTCAACGAAACCTGGCAAGGCACTGCACAGCTTTCTTCATTAAGGCTCCTTCAACTATAGGCTACTCCACACACACCAGCCCCAATCCCACCTGACCGCGCCCGCGCCACAATTCCACAACACCACCACCGTCACCGTGCTCCCACTGCACCACCTCCTGACCACTACTCATGAATTTCGACCCGCGCGTGTCCAAGTATTGCTCGTGAAGATGGTGCTGGTGTTTGCTGCTGCTGATGATCACGATGATCTCCCGACTGGGGAAAGGGTTTGGCCCTCGAGTGCAAGCTGAATTGATGTCTCTGCAGAGCCCCAAGCCCTATCAGTTGTGTTGCGAGCCTGAAGCCCGCCAACCGTGCAGCAAAGCAGCAACCTCGAGCTCTTGCAGCTAGTGCGTACGCCATACGTGCAACATGAACCCTGCAGTGCTGAGAGCTTAACAGATGTTGCGGCACCATCTTCAACAGTGGGAAATTCGCAGGCCTGTGGTAGCTTGTCTCTGCCACATGCTGCACATGCTGGTCACATGTTGGCACCGTGGCACCATTAGTGGCCCGATTGGTTCTTCCAACCAGGTGCCCGGCCTCTGCTGCAGACATCAGTGCCTGAATGGCCATGTGCTTGCAAAAATTGCCTAACGTTACTAACGTTACGTGATGGGGCCGGGGGGGATGCCAGAACCCTGCTTTCGATGGCTTTCGGGTTCTTTCGGACACTGCAAAGCGCTTTGCACGAGGTCCGGATCTAGTGCTTGTGGGAAGAAGAGGGAGCCGAAGTGTTGTGCGCGTTGCACTTTTAGCGATCGTTTTCAGGCTTGCTGAACGTAGGGTTGCAGCTTCAAAACATTGGGATGTGCTTGCGCCTCCAAGACGCTACGTGGTCGAATGCCGGCATCCGCCTTGCAACAAGGGGCGGTCAGCCAGCGCTTGCGATGTCAATCTCCAGCTGACAACGTTTTAGAGTCCAAGCTGCGAGAGTTTCCAATGCCACAGCCAGGTCCGTGAATGACCTTGTGAAGCACGGCTGTGGTGGAGGCAGCATGATATGAACTAGGGCAGCCATGCCGCCAACTCACTGCGCGAGACTGCATGAGCATACATCGAAGGAAAGCCGGCGGTCGGCGTTGCGAACGATCGCGTTTCTGCGCTGAGGCCATCGCAAAGAATGGGCGGAGTCTTGCAAAACCACGCCGAGGTGCCTCAGTCTTGCACACCACTTCCAGAACCAACAGTCTCCCATCCGACCCCGGTTGAAATTGGATCATGTGTGCACGTGCCTCTCCAAGGCCGCAGCCTGAGGATCGGGTCTAGCACCGCTGCAGGCACACACCTCATGCTAACTCATGCTTTTCAAACCTTTTCAGAGTCGACTTGTGCAAAATTATCGATTGAACTGTCAGCCTTGCCTTTTGGACGCGCTGCCTGCCAGTTTTGGCCACACAATCCGAATTTGAGAAGCAAAGCTTCTGCCGACCCGTGCCTTGTTGGGGCAGAAGGCCAGCATACCTTGCTAACCTGGAAGTGCTGCAACGTGCCAGTCGCCAGTCGTGCATGTGTCTCCAGCCACCACGCGAAGGTTCTCTCACAACAACAAACGGAAGGACACGGCATGCTCGAGCACAACCAGTGGTGGTTACGACAGACTGCGCGCGCTTTGGCTTGTCAAACGCGGAGCTGTTGCATGCATGGCTGCGTTTCGCATTGACTCCTCGTAAACACGTTTCTCGCACCTTCGTGCACTGTACTCACGCTGCCCACTGAGTCGCAGGTCGGCGGAAGCAAAAGCGTGACAGCATGCGCAAGAAACACAAAGTTCACATTCTCAGACCGAGTTCAATCAACGAAGCAGAGAGGCCAAGACTGGCAAGGTGCGAGTGGATGAGGGCATGCCAGAGAAAACTTCACTATTTTGATCTCTCGGGATGATGATGATGATGATGATGATGATGATGATGATCATGATGATGATGCTGAGCAAGAAAAGGACGAGGACGTCGGGGCATCTTGCACATTCACCTTGCCATGTGCTGCCACCTCTGAAACCCATGGCCATGCCCAAGCCCAAAATGCCAACTCGCTGCAACGGTGACCAACAATGACCAACACCATTGGTGAAGACCTCTTCTTGCTGGTGCTCAAGTATGAGGGCATGAGGCTGAGGTCTGCGACGGTGTCCCAGCTCGCGGACCCTAGCCGCTGATGTTCATGCAGCTGGCTTGGGGCGTCCACGAACCTTCACGAAGATGCTCATGGTGCTGGTTTTGTGGCCGTTGTCACTGCTGTCCACAATCCGAATTGTCTGACACTTGTTTTGCGGTTGGCTCGTCAGCCATGCTTCTTTTGTTTTCAAGAACCACAAAAGGAGGACATGATCATGACACGTTGTGTGAAGCAGAAATGAAAAAGTGAGGTTGGCCAATGCTTCCGGTTGAAAATTGTTCGTACTGTTCGTTGGGCAAAAATAAACGGGAGGCCCGAAGACTGCAACCCCGACCCCGTCCCTTCCCACCCAGCATACCTTTCAGGGTCCTGCAGGCTTGTGAGCCGAGCTGCTTACAGCACTGCGATAGCGCTTAAGTTGCAACAGCGCTGTCAAGCGCTCTCAAACAAACTTGTTTGTGCTGCCAAGCACTTAGTTTGACGCACACGGAGCGCTTCGACGGCGCTAGCACCGTCGCGGCGCTCGAGCATGCTAGCAAAGCGCCCGAGAGTCGTAGCACAGGCGCCGCGCTAGCGGCTGCTAGAGCTGCATGGGGGCTTTTGTAGGAAAAAACACCACTTTTGACCCGCAAAATTCGGGTTGTGGATACAGTCCCCACAAACCGGCACGCAGACCACAACCTCATGCCCTCATGCTTGAGAACCAGCAAGACTTTGCTCATGACAGACGCCACGCTGAAAAGAATCTAGGCTGTCAGGGGACAGTCTGGCAGGATGCGCGCCATCATGCCTCAGTACACTGTGCTTTCTGAACATGGGCGCCTGTGAATATTCCTGAATATTCCTGACTACTCTGCATTTAGTTGCCCACGTCTTCTGGGCTCCATGTCCACTCGCAAGCGCCAGCGACTGCAACTCCTACCCATGAACCATACTGTGCTACAAGTAACGCGTGCCTTGGCCTGGCTCCGGAGTGCTGACATGGCGTCCGACAATGATGACAGCAGTACGCTCCTCCAGAAGGAAAGCCAACAATGACCTTCCACAGAAGCGTTTACGGTCTGAATAGCTGATCTTGGAGTTTCCACGCTTAGGGGAATGTGAGCCAATGCCGATGCTGCAGCTTAGCTTGCCACTCACTCGCAGAGTTCTTTGTTTCCTCTTCATCATGGTTTCCTGCGGAATGCTCAGGCTGTCAGGAAATGCCAGAACTCGGGAGCGCGGACACGGCAGAAGGCCACAAGAACTGCCGTATGTGTCTTCCTTTACACACACACACACACCAACCGTGCAATTGCCGAAGCTAAGCTGTAGGACTGCGTCTGCCAAATGTCTGTCACATGGAACGGAAGCCCAACCGCCCAGCGGGAGCATCGTGGCAGTATGACAGCTCCAGTGTTTTCATCCTACCGCCATCGAGGATCTACCACCCTGTAGCGGAGCAGGGCCACCATGGCGGAGTTTTGGGGGTGAGGCGCTTGTGCCGTCAAATATCAGACCAAAGAAAGCCATGTTCAATATTTACTCGGCACTGTCTCTGTATCTGAGCAACTGAGTGTGGGGGGCGGGATTTCTGCGGACAGTGCCCGTCGGACCGTCGGAGGACAGACTGAAGCTTCAGCAAACCTGGCCCCTATTTCCCCCACGCGCTAGTTTCGTTTTCCTGTGGCTTCAGTGTCCAGTCATGGCTATGGGTGATATGGGCATGAAGTTAGCCAGGCCTTCCTGCCGACCTTCTGCATGTTCTCGTCCCAGTTCCTCAAGCAGGGAGCACGGGACCGGTGCAAGGGAGTTCAGCAAGCACTTTCGCCTGAATGTGGGGCGAACCCTGCCTTAGAGCCACGTGTGTTCGACATATCGCGCGCCCTGATGAAGACTTAGACATCGGCAATCGCAGCAATGAGTAGGGGCCGTGCGCCTTCAACAGTGACCTCGGGCAACAAACGAGCTGTTGATACACTAGCATTCGAAATCTCATCATAACCTTGCACAGCTGCCTCTCCCTCGCACCAGCAATGCACTGTGCAATGTTGCCAAAGCTTGCGACGGAGGAGGTGGGACGGCCAGGGCGGCAGTCTGATGGCGAGGTTGAATTTCCGGAGTAGATGCAACATTTGGGCTGTTGAAACGAAGTCTATGCCAGCTTTGTTTTGCAGCAGTCAGTTACGCAATATCGCAGAGTGCCAGTGCTTGAACACCGCTTATGCCTCAAACATCCTCAGCCTATAGGCATCCTTAAGTAGATAGAATATTTGAAAATCCGAAAACATAAAAACACCCTTTCCAAAAGGATAGATAGAATATGAAAAACCCCAAAACGTTAGATGGAATATTGGCCTAAAATTTAGGGCCAAGGGGCGCGCCAGGGTCAACTATATTCTATCTATGGGTTCCTGCAGGAGTTGGAGCTCCTCCTGTCCTCCTCTCCTCAACTATATTCTATCTATGGGTTCCTGCAGAAGTTGGAGGTCCTCCTCTCCTCCTCCTCAACTATATTCTATCTATGGGATTTTGCCGGAGTTGGAGGTCCACCTCTCCAACTCTCCTGCTCCGGAGCATTCTGCAGTCAGTTACTACAGCCTGTTGCAGCCTGCTCGTGGGAACCCCATAGATAGAATGTACTTGGCCTCAAGTGTGGACGGAAGCCCTGCAGGCCCTCGTAGAACCCCCATACATGGAATACACCAGGTTTCAAGTGAAGCCACATAGAATCTGAGACGCATAAGTCTCGCAGGCCCTCATTGTAACCCCATCTGGTGCTTGACGAGTCTTGAAACCCATAGATAGAACATGTGTGCAGGAGGCCGAAAGCGGGCGTTTTTTTCGGGGTCCCGAAAATATTCTATCTATGGGTTCCTTCACAAACGTGGGAAAAAGCCCAAAACCCAGAAAAAAAACAACAACCCGAAACCCAAACTCTATCTCTTCAAGGATGACTATATGTGAAGAGAGCGGCGTCTACGCAAGCATGAATCCACGTCCCGACTGCTACAGGAAACAGTAGAACAGATTCTCAGCTGTCCAAAAGTTTAGTTGGCGGCTGTTACCATGCTGGCAGCCCTTCAAACGCCTTGAAGAACTCACGAGTCTCCTCGGCAAGGATGTCGAACGGCGCGGCCTAGCACAGCGAAGCAATGCGCAGCGCATTGCGTTGCATGCGAAACAGCTGAGTTCTACATGCGCATCAATGAAATCTATCACTGTCAGCCCGTGCAGGGACAAAGTGCCGGGCTGTATCGAGCAACCCAGCCCTTGCGAAAGGCAAGGCCTGAAGCGATGAATCGAACTCTCAGCAACTTGCAATGATTGGCAGCGAGGTAACCAAAGTGTCAAGCGAAATCCTGCAGTTGCAAAGCGGGAAGGCTTTGGGAGAGCCTTGGTCACGTCCGCAGGACGAACGTTTATGGAGAGAATGCATTGTGTATTGGCTGTCGGACGCTGCTAGGCTCGCTTTTTAAGCTCAGCTTGTCGCCCAAGTAGGGTCAAGCCCACGTGCTCGTAGAACTCAGTCGCCTGTGATGCAATCAGAAGCATTCAGAAACCATCCATACTCCATTAAGGACGGTGGGAGCCCGCGGCTACCAACATCATCAAGGCAAAGAGCGACAAGAGCCTGGAGCTGAAATGAGGCAGGGCACTGCCTCAAGGCACGGCAACTGAATGCGCGAGGGATGCCCGCGAGTCCCTATAATTTGCAACATCGAAGAAGACGCTTGCCAGTTCTGGAACGGCGGATGTCGAATTGGGATGAACATGTTCTGAAACAGGCTATCTAGCCATCTACGGATGGGTCCCATAGTTCCGCTCACGTTACAAAAGGGGTCCTCATTTTGTGAGCAGGTGCACGGCTGCTGCAAACAAAATGGGAGGCCGGCAGGAACAGCAATGAGGTGGGCCCGTCTCGCCGACTGGGTTCTGTTGCAGTTTCTGCTGTTCTCGGTTCCTGAAAGCCAGGATGCGCACTTCCTTTAGAGATCGTCTGCAATGCAAAGCCTGGCACCGCAGCGTCTTTTTGTCCACCGGGGTGGGGAGAGAGTGATGCGGTGCCTCATGCACCTTGACTGTCTTAACTGGTGCTGTGTGAAACGTTGCGGTCAGGGGTGCCTCGGCAAGCACACGCGGGAGCTGACTGGTCATTCATCAAGGTTTACATGGAGTGCAGATGACAATGAGTATATGTGAGTACTCTTGATGTGAATCAGCTTTTTTGTCGTCGTTCGGCCGTCCATACTACCCTAAAGGGATGCCACGCCGGATATGACGTGCTGAACCATCTCGTCTATGTCAACAAACAGCTGTGTGGTGAATGGGCCGCAGGTCGACACCTCGTATCTCCATGGTGGGCCATAGGTCGAATCGCGATCAACAAGCACATGAACTGGACACTCCTTCCAGGGAGCTTCAGGGAGCTTCGGGGCAGCTCAAGATGACGACGTCTTTTGACATCTTATGCCTTGAGTGTGCAAGGTTCGCATGTGCATGACCATGGCAAGCGTAGTGGCGGATCCACCAGCCACAGGCCCAAGGGCTGGGTGCCGGCTGCGACGAGCTCCCGAGCGATGGCAAATGCAATGAAAGCTCCGGTGCCAAGTCCAACGAGAGCCAAAGGTGCATCTCCGACCTCCTTCGTGGCCTTGGTTTTGCAGACAGCATCACATAGCAATCTACTCACTTCCGTACACTTCTGTATGCGCTTCGGCCACTACAGACAGCATTTCGGCAACTTCTGAATCAGCCGCAGCTCCTCCAAGAACTTTCTGGCCAGGTCTTGGACATCAGAGTTGCGTTGCTCATCATTGATGATGTCCTGTCTTGATTGTCTGGTCCATGTGCGTGATTGCTAAAGCACACTTCTCCCCTATCGCTCATACGATCCTTGCTGAGCAATTGTCGCGAAGGAACGTCGGTCATGTCGCAATGCCATTTGATCTTCGACTGCTCTTCAGAGATGCTTACCTCAGCTGCCAGTGTAAGATTTCTATGGAGCAACCGGTCGGTCGGTGTGCGCCGCGACATGTCAAAGCCGACTCTAGACACTTGCCTCTTAGACCGCTTCAACTTTCTGAAGCGCCCGCACACGACATCGACACACCATGTCACACCGGTTACGTGAGTGTTATCTGGGACTACGCCCGTTCCCCGGGATCCCCGGGATCCCATCGACGACTGCTTTGGATGACTGCTTTGGACAACTTCCCGCAACACATGCCCGAATAAATCTGCAAAACAAAATGCCGCAGCTGTGGAATGCTAAAGCAGGAGAGAACGTAGACAAAGTGGGCAAGCATGAGGCGTGCCCAGCAATTGCCTCCAAGGCAGCTGATTCATATGTCCACACATCCAATGCTGAGGGTTCTGCCCCTTCTCGGCCCAGGCTGGTTTGGATGGCTCCATGTTGCAACTGTCTGTACACAGCAAAACGGATGTTGGTATGCCCAGTGCCCATAATGCTTGAAAACGCTGTTCAATCCTCACATGTTGGTGCGGTATACCCGTCGACTCGGACAAATCCGTAAATACTCTGCCATGGGGGTACCTGTGAGCACGCTGCTATTGCGTGAACAGTTCATGAAGATCTTCTTTTCCCTCCTCTGCCCATTCCGGCAGGCCAGCGGAGTGCTTTTGGGAATTCGTGTTGGGTCGAGTCCCACCAGTCGCTCAAATTTGGTTAGTATGAAAGCGTGAATCCTGCCAGGTCTTGGGCCGGTAACTGTTGTGTCGGGCCAGGTGTTCTGCTCTCGCCTGCTCCCTCCTCGATAATCCACGACCCGTGCGAAATCGACTCCGGTTACGGAGACGTCTCTCACAGTACAGGGAACAAGGGCCTCAGCAATCAGGGGATCCCTGTAACGGGAACAATTCGCCTCGGCTTCCGGCCTCTTGTCTGGGACAGGCCGACCAGGACACTTCCCCAATTTGCGCCCAGTTCGGATGTCGGCGCTGCCTCATGGTTTAAATGCCCGGTCAGGTGGTGCAGTAGCCTGGACAGTTCCTGCTTCAAATTGCTGCGGTTTCTGTTCCGCGCCTTGACCTGATTTGTATTCTGATGTGTTGCGGCTTTCGTTTGTCTCGTTGTTGTGTTGCCGCTTCGTGGTGTGGATCTTTCAGAACTTGCTTCCGAAGCACATGCTGAACTTCCAGGTCGGAAGCAGCAGCAGCCTTCTGAAAGATCTCAGGTGATGCTTGGCAGACTTTTGCCAGAAGTTCCAGTCGCTGAAGCGGCTTGGGAGGTGTGCCGCCACTGACGAAGGGCTCACCCTTGCTTTCGAGAGGCTCACCTCTGGCTTGCATGGCCTCCAATGCAGGGGAATGCGACCCGAAAACTCCAACAAAAGCAACAAGAACAGGAAGCCTGCAGTGCTTCCATGGTCTTCGGGAGGTCTCCCATGCCGACGGGGTCTGGTACGACCAGCAAACGCCTGTCACACTATTTGTGGCTGTAAGCGGCGCCCCAGCAGCGGAGCATATCGATTCACGCTTACGGGCACGCTTCCTGCCTCTTGCCTGTCTTGGGAGGGCATGGCCCTGATCGCAGCATAGGCAGCCAAAGCTTCGCTCGAAGTGCGTTGTCTTCGTGGTCTGTTGGGGTGAAGGTCCATCCCTTCTCCATAGCATCCAGAAATCCTGAAGCGTGGCTTGTTCAGTCTTCACTGTTACCACTATGGATTTCCATGTGTTCAGGCGAGATTCGTGCGAAGCGCCAGAAAACCTCCCAGCAACATGAGCAGCTTCTCTATGGATCCACAATGCTTCTCGTAAAGCATTTATCCAAGAAGCTGTTTGCTCTTTCTTCAGAAGGGGTGGCTTGTGCCCATCATGATGCACAATCACTTCCCTGAAGTCCCGATGGATAAACAGCGGAAGCTCTTCATATTCCATGTACCTTGTCAATTAAGCCGCATTAAGCTCACCGTGTTGATGATGCAAGGGACAAAAGGCGTGGGTGAACTCCGGTTAGCAGCGAGAACTGGCACCACAGCTTCAACTGCACGCCAAGCTGCGGGTGGTTTTCGTCAGAATTGCTCCAGCTGCAGATGGTCGGTATTTGCAAAGGTGCTTTGATGCGAGCTTTGCCCATAGGGGACAGGTGCTTCGGAGCTGTGGTGGTGAAGAGCATGAGGAAGCGGAAGGCCTCCTCACATCTCGAAGCACAATGCAGTGCTCCCATGACAACCCGATGTCCCGACAAGGGGCCAACACAAATCCTTCAGGTCGGGATCTCCCTCAGTGGCCAAGCCGGCAACGTGGACCAAGAACTCACCGCCCATGTCGAAACCCATTGCCCCGTCAAATGGCCCATTCCTCATCGTGCGCAAGTGGAGCACACTGCCGAAATGAGAACCTAACCTTGAGTTAGCCGCAAAGTCGCAAGCGTAATTCTTCAATGTATATCAAAGAGTCTCCTTGAGGAACTTCTTGAACTCGGCCAACGTCTTCTCAAAGCCCTCCCACGTCTCCCACTGACAGTTTGCAAACGGAAGGCGCTCGAAGTAAACGGTAAAGTTCGGACCGAATGGCTTCAAGGAAAAGTCTCCGTTCCACCCAAGCGGTACAGCGTGTGGCCCAGTCCAGATCGTCCACTCCAGCTGCTTCTTGCCAGGAAATTCCTTGAAGGTGCTGTTCAGCTGCATTTGTGCAACCTGAGGCACATGCACACGCGTTGAACATAGGTTCCTTCCTTAACGGGCATGCTGGTCCTGCCGTGGATCAGCTATCATGTCTCTAAGGACTTTTTACCCCTAAGCCCCTAGAGTCCGAACTGTCTCTCACTCAGCCCGCATGCAATGAGTCCAGTGTCGAATCCGGATATGATGGAGTCTGCATGAGTTACGGTTGGTCGAAGAACGATTGTGAGGTCACGGTTACAAAGCAAGTTGCTGATCCGACAGAATTCCAATCGCGGGCAGAGAGCGGGACACGAGGCACAATTAGCATGCCAAAGTCGTGAGTTTCGTACATGTAGTGCAGTGACTTCGCGAATTCCGTCCCTTCCTGGAAGCTGACGACAGCCAAGGGTCAATTTGAACCCTCCGGTCCCAAGTCCCATATCATTACACATCTTGTGCACAGTCAGGAAAGCACTGGATGCAAGAAACTCGGCGAGCAGAATGGGCAAGTGTTTGGACAGGATTCGGAGACTCTACGTGTGGATTCGAAAACTGGAGAGCGGATTCGATTCAGAACACAATGGAAGACCTGATGTTGGGAATGAGCTTCTGAGGGTAGTTCCCTTCCTGTTCCTGAGGCCTCTAGGTGTGATGTGCAAGCTGCTCTCTCTCTCTCTTTCTCTATCTTTCTCGGCATGTTTTGTTGCCGACTCTTTCTTGACCGTAAGTAGCTTCGGAAGGGACTGCTGGGTCTTGATTGTTGAATTTAAAAGGGGTTGGGAGGGCACAGGCTAGAACAGGCCTGCAGGCTCTGAGGATCGCGGGCCCATTTGGGAGCTGCAGAATTCAGCCGGGAAGTGGTCCAAATGGGTACCGAAGTCTTCTGAAACCTCTGGCATTGTCTTGGTTACGTCTCTCTCTCTGTCAGCCACGGGCCTGTGGCGGATTGACGAGTGCCCTGTTGCCCATCACGCGCGTTGGAGCCACTTGTTGGCCGATCCACCCACCCACCCCGCCACCCCCCCGCGTCCTGGTGCTGGCGGTAGGTCGTACCCCCTCTCCTTTTTGCCACTGGACTCGAAGTCTAGCCAGAACTTCCACCCCGGCGTGCATGCACCCTCGGGACTCCTAGATCGCAAACCTGCGCCCCGTGGAGAACTATCAAGTTGATGGCAGTTGCGCCGCAGTAGTTGCTTTTGCCTTTCGGTCTCTTGCTGTATCTTGTTATCTGCTGTTGTGTCACATGTCGCACTATCCTATCCTGCCTTCATCGCATGCCTTGTCGCCTTGGCTCATTGCATCTGGGAGACCGTCTTGCTGACACCTCCGCCGTGCAAATACAGCATCTTCATCTTCCCGTCTTTCCCAAAACATCGGCCCTTCGGTGCAGGAAATGGTTTGCTTTCAGGCACCAGGGGTTGCACCTCGGATGACACATCCAGCAAAACAGTCTGACGTAGCCCTTCTCATCCTTTTCGTGCTAACAGGCACACTGCATTCGCGTTCAATCTAGGATTCCCGGGGCAAAAGCACACCGCCATGTTCCTGTACACTTTATATATATATATATATATATATATCTATACCAGGACGTTGGGGGATGGTTGGGTGGACCTCAAGCCAAAGCCGAATTAGTGAAGCTGCATTGCTGTGGGAGCCAATTGGGGGCTTTTGGTAGAGCAGCTTCGGAGTGTTTTGTTGAATTTGCGCCCCGGTGGCCACCCCCAAAGCTTCCCAAGAGTCAGTGGTCACTCGGGCACCACTTCCCACAAGTTAACCCTTAGTGTGCGTATTACTTGACTATTCCACCTCTCACGACCTAAATGCGCGTTTGCAGAACTTGCCTAGTGTCGCTTCGATTTCTTCTCGAATGACCGCGGGTTTTGGGAGCCAGGTTGGGGCCTTCCTGGAGCAGCTGTTGGACTCCGTGGAGGTTTCTTGGGAGGCTTTGCTTCTTTTCAAGTCAGATGTGGACGAATTAGAAAAGACGCTCACGGCTCACTACAGGTTTTTGTATGTTTTGCATTAGCGCCCGAATGACCGCCGATTCTTGGCAAACCGGGTTGCGGTCTCTGGGCACAGGCTGTTCGTGTCGAACCTACGTCAAGGCATGTCAAGGCACCATGCATCTTCGCAATGCGTTTGCGTTTGCCCCGGCCTTGTAGCTTCGCAACGTATCTTCGCCTCCTAACTCGGCTTGGGAATGCAGCTTCTTCGTCCATTGCGGCTTCGGCTCGGTTCAACCCCTCCCTGCCCCGGCCGCAATGCAACTACATGCTTACGTATGTGTGTGTATATATATATATATATTTCTAACCTCCCCCCCCCCATTGTCTGCCTAGAAGGACGGCCCTGCTAGGCCGGCCTCTGAATCTGAATGGCCTCTGAATTGTTGCGGGTTGTTGGCTTTAAGCTCTTGCAAGTACTCAGTTCAAACTCAAACTGTTTATGTGATGGCGACCCCTAGCAACATTCCAGGAACGAAGCCAAGCGGCGTTCTCTGGCCAGGGTTCTTCGAGCGACGGTCCGAGCAAGGCGGATGCAGGCTGGACCAAGTCTTTACCAGCAACCTGATTGAGAAAGCGAACTGCGCAAGCAACGGGCAGCGGGCATTGCATGCCGGATTGTGCCGACAGCGTGTGTGGCAAGCGCAGTTCTCTTTGTTATGTTGTCTTGCTATAAGAAAGGAATCCTGTTTGGCTGCTTGTGTCGAATGTGCGAGATTGTGGCCCCGCGCCTTGAAGCTGATCCAACCTTCGGGAGGACCTGTGCCTTTCAACAGGCAGTATCTGAGACGGTCGCCCGTGCGCTCGAGTTCACCCAGGATGGCCCCTGTGGACCTGACTTGCAGCGACCAACGTCGACATGCAGTGACGCGCAGCCTTTATGGAGCAATAAGATGAACAGACAAAACCGTAAGCTGAACTGGAGTGTCTGGAGCACTTGCCTAGGATGATATCAGATGCAAAGGCACAATCGCCCTGAGAGTTCGGTCGACTTCAAGCTTTGTCCTTCTCGCACCAGTATGCCGCCTTTGTCAGCTCCACCAATGACTCCCCAGAAGGAGGCCATGGTCAGGGCTGTGTATAAAGATGTAGGATTGCATTCAGAGGCTGTTGCTGGCATCTGCAGAGTTGGACGTCAATCTTCGATGTAAACGCCAGTCGGCTGCGCGATAACAACGTTCCCCTTTGCCTACTGGGATCGAAACGGCTGCAGATGGCTGGACTTCTTAGGTTGACTCTGTACGTCCACACCATGCCCAGGAAACCCTCCCATGCGCCATCTACTTGAAGCTGCGGTGCTGCGTCGCCAGGCGCGGGCCCTCGTAGCTGTCTGGAACCTTGAGTCATGTCCATGTAACACAGGGACACAGCTTGGAGACTGTGCAACAAACCTTATCTGAAGTGCGGATGCCTGATGAGCCAATGCGCACAAGCATCGAAGCACCTTGGCGCAAGTCTCAGCTCGAGTTGCAAAATGCAAAGCCAATGACCAACCAGGGAACACTTCTGAAGTTCTTGCCCTCGGCCAGGTCTCCGGGGACAAAAACGCTGTTGGCCATGCCTTCTTTTGTGCACGCCTGGACGAATTGCCTGATGCATGCGCCACTTCCAGCAAACACTGCCGAAACTCAAGGCGTGTACTGCAGCTGCCAGAGCTGATGCAGCAAAGGTGCGTGATGTTTGCCACCCGTCTGAACAGCATGCGAGTCGCAGAACCTTTGCAAGCCGCAAATGAGCGACCGACCAGGCATCAGCACAGTGTGTCATACCCATATCACTATGTGCGGTGACGGGCTGGCCTCTGGCGATCCCCACGATGCGCCCTGGCCAAATGGCATTGATCAGGTCGCACAAGACCTTCAGAGGCTTCATGAATTGATTGAGCCGCCTAAGACAGACATATGGCCTCACCAGACTGCAATGCGTCCTGTCGGGAACGTGAGATGAAACCAGTCCATTGCAACGCAACCACATGAATCTGCATGTAAGTTCATCTCCTGCAGGGACCCGCTTCCAACCTTGGCACGCAGTCTGTGTCCATTGTCAAAAATATGTCAAAGTGAAGCCTGCATTTTGTGTCGGCAGTGGTGCCAAAATGTGCCAAAAACAGCCAAGAATCCGATGCACGCCCGGCCCCTGAGGACGAGATGCTTTGGGGTTCCGCCACGGGAGGTGCTTCACAGTGCTTCACAGTGATTGGTCAGGCTACGTTTTTGAAGCTTATCTGGGCACGAGCATTCATGGCTGTGGCAGCCAGACGGGCAGAATTAGAAATCAGCAATCAATCAAGCGAGTGCGTGCAGAAGGCGTAAACTTGGGCTTTGCACTGTGTGCGAGCCTAGTGCACTGCAAAGGACTTAGGGGGTGGGGGGGGGGGGCAAAGCTACTGGGTCGGTAATGGGGGTGCCTGGATCTCCGGTGACCGCGTGGATCCACGCAGCCACTCTCAGCTCGTCCTCTCCTGAAGGGTTTCCGGCTTTTACAGCTTTCAAACTGTTCGCTAATGCTTGCAGTTGCTCAGCAAACAAGACAGCTGTGCCAATGTGCCAGGGGTCTCAGTTGCTGCTCTTGGTGTGCTTGTATGGAATGGTCCAATACCTCCACGGTTCCGTAGTGGAGTCGCTCAGCAGCCCCCGATGCGGACTGGCAGCAATGGCGGGGATTAGGAGGGTGATGGAAGATGGCACGACAGTCATGCGCCAGCAGAAGGCATCACGGAAATCACATACGTCTTCATACGTCTTCTCATGGCCCATTTTTCAACATGAATCAATCTGCCAATTGCTGCAGATGGCGTAGGCTAGATGGTAAGTGATGCTTCAGGATGAGATGGAAGCTCGCAACTTACATGCCTACATTGGCCTGTGTCTGACTGGGACTGCCGTTCGGCGCATTCTTCAGGGCAAGAGGATGGCGTCACCCACGAAGTTACGCAAGCAGCTTTTCACAACAGCCAGGCCTTCGTCTCCAGCCGATCGACCGGCACAGATCGCCTCTGCCCATCTCGTTCTTCCCAGCGATGTGGTGTCTTCTCTGCTGCGAGACGTTGCTTCTCTTCGATTTTTCTTGCCTTAGACATGCAGGTTGTGTCAATGATGGAAGCACTGGCACATGACCCTCGCGGCACGCGTGAAGTCTGTGAAACTTCTGGCCAAGTGACATACTCCAGGGCTACGCTGCCTTGAAAAGAGATAACCTGCAGGCAAGCCAAACACAGCATGCTCATGCATGAATCTCACACGGGAACATTTTGTCGGCTTTTTGCTTGAGGAAAGTTCTGCCGACTGCTTGGGCTTACAGGTCAAGTTTCTCCAAACTGGGCGGCACGTTCAGTCCCTGCCTTGTGGGCAGGTGAGATGAGACTTCGCTTTCTTCTTCGCATCGAAAGTGTCTGAGCATGCACATGGACTGCATGTCCACGACACATATCCAAATCCAGCCCACGCTTTTCTTCTGCGTTGTGGGGCTGCATGTTGTGCAACCGGCAACAGCAATATTATGTCAATATTTGCCAGACGGAATGATGCGGGTGCAGCCTGCCCATCTGCTGTGTGTTCATCGACTTCATCCAACTCCTCCTCCCCTGTCCGGCGAAAGGAAACCCCTAGAGGCAGCCGACACATGAAGTGCGTCGCTTTGCAACCACTTGCCTGGGCTGATGCTGTCTTCGTTGTCTGAAAGCTTTTCAGCGCCTGCTATGGCAACGTTTGCCGCGCAAGTCTGATCTGCAGCCCTGGTTACAACTCGACTACCGAAAACATGGAAGGACGAGACAATGAATGAGCATTGGGCAGGGTGCTTCTTACAGTCCAAGCACTTTCATGCCTTCTTCCCTTCTTAGCAAAGCACGACCACTTCTGCATGACTAGGTGTATCGACTAGGACATCAAGGAAACTCAGCCATGGTGTCCGTGGCTATGTGCACCAGGACCTGTTCACCAGTGTTCGTTGAACATGCTTTCCACCAGCCGTTTGACCAACACAGCCGATTCTGACTGGATCGTGATAGAAGGCTGTACAGTCGTGGCCATAGTAGTGACAGTGGGAATAGTGATGGCAATAAGTACAAAACAACAGGAAGAGTAGTTCATTCTAAGACGAAAACCACGAAGGGTAAGGCCCCAGAATCTAGACGCGGTTTTCATTGAAGCCAAGCGCGTGAGGCCTGGGCAGTTGTAGCACAAGTTGGCTGCGCACAGTTGCAGGACAATTTGTCTGCGCACTTCGTTAATGCTTTACCTACCTTGGCAAGAAACCAAGTCCAACCAGCAATCTGACAAACTAAGCGAAGCGCAGCAAAGCCTAGCAACAAAGAAGCCACGACTGACAAGTCAGGAAGCATTCAGCCGAAAGCTATATGCAGGCCAGCCAAGTGGACACATGCCCGGAGTTCCATGGCAGGGCCTCCATCGCTGAACACTGCGATGTCAACTCCCCCTGTCTCTTCCGCTTCTCCCGTAGGCGGTCCGTGTGCAAAAGTCGCCTGCGTGCAGGGCCCAGTGCAAACCCGTGTCATGCTATGCTCTTATGTTCTAAGGTTTGTGCCTGCCTTAGGCACGGACTCCAAATCAGCTTCAGTCGGCGCACGTATCTGGATGCACACCGGATTTCCAGTGGTGCCATCTTGAGCAACACCGACGGCGGCAACCTCCAGGTTGTTGCAAGGACTGAGCGTCTTAGGTTGTTCAAGGATAGGGGTGAGCTCTACAGTAGCTGTTGTTTGTTTGTGCGCGTGAGTGTGTGTGTGTGTACACATATACATATATAGATACATAGACTATTCTTTCTATAGATGTGTGTATTTTGGTTGCCTTCCTGGCATCACTTGGTTGGCATCCACCCACTCAGCACGCATGCGGACTACTTCAGGCCCAAAAATACCATGTCAGAGTTCCAGGAAGCCTTGCCACCCAAGCTTTTTGTAGCAACAACCTAAACACCCCTACGATCCCCTACGATGCGAAAGCTTCTGCAGTTGGTACTGTTGGAATGTAATGGTATCCTGTGGCATGTTTGGAAGCCAATTACCCCTCCAGAACACTTGACCACAATGCCTTTGTCTCATCTGGAAACCTTTTGTCTTTGACGACCTTGTGTCTATTCCCTACTTCGCAGTCCATGCGCATCCGATGGGCTTGTCCTTGAAAAGTCTCCCTTCATTTGCCGCACGAATATTTTGGGAAGGTCGCAGTTCAACGTCGGGGGTATGGTCGTGCAATGTTTCCACTGCGGGGAGTCTGGCGAGGTCCCCAAACGGTGGTCGATCGGTCTCTGTCTGTATGTGTGTGTGTGTGTGTGTGTGTCTGGCTGTTTGTGTTGGATTTTGTTTATGTGTGTGTATATGTGTGTAAGTTCGCTGTGCGTGCCATGTACTTGCAGACATCCGCGATGTGGCATCTATGCTGAAGTCTTTTTGAGGAAGCCAAATATATCACACCTGCAGGGTGTGCATGCGAACAGCCGTCGAACATGCGATGACAACTTGCTAGTTGAAAACTCACAGCAGGGGGAGGGGGGGAACGAGTATTTCTGGATTGCGTGTCCTCCTACGTCACACGGCGGCTTCAGCGCAAGAGCACTCACAAGCTTGATGGCATCTCCAATTCATAGCATGCAGTGTGGTCCGCGGCCGGCCAGGCCTTCCCTGCAAAACATGTGCTTCTTTAACACTTAACCATGCTCTTATATTTATATCATCCCATTCACCCCGTTTTGCTTCGACATGATCGCATTTTGCTTCCGCCAATTCACTACTCCCTGTTGCAGAGCATTTGCCCAATCTCTCCACTCCAAACCAACACTAAGTGCAAGGGGACCGAGGGGAGGGTGACTGTTCAGCAGCTCTGAACTGACGCAAGGCCTGCCATAGCGATCCAGGGTCCAAATCAAACCGGTGTGTGAGCTCTTGACTCTTCGATGGGTCCAAGTCCAGCTCCAGTAGCCTCTCCTCTGCATGTTTGCCTACATCTGAGATTTGAAGCCTCTGCATATCTCTGCATGCAGCTGGTGCTGACTGCCAGCCAAAATTCCCAGGGTTGATCAGTGGACTCCAAGCTCGGTTGAGTTGGATGTGGCACATCTTCTAGCTGCTCATCAGCTTGAAAAGGTCGGAGTGCCAGTCGCACCTGACTCTGCATCAGAATACCAAAGAGCAACCATGTAAGGCCTTGGATCTCCCGTGCATTCAAAGGCACAGAGCATCGCGCGGGCGCATCGGCACGTATCACAACCTCCGAATGTTCCAGTACAGCATCTGTGCAGCATCCGGCATGTGTTGCAGTGGGCCCCACAATGCCTCAACGCCACCAGGATCACCAGTGAGGCGCACTCGAACCTTGGGTACCCTTCCTCTTGCATCGACATCATGAGCTCAGCTTGCAATAATAGGGTTGAGAGTTGAGCCACCGCTAGAACACAACAAATGCCTACAAGGTTTCTGGAGATTGCGACAGCAGGGTGCAAGAGGTTGTCCAGTCAAGGGAAGTAGCAGCTACTGAGGACGTAGGTGCCCCCAGACGCAAATGCCTTTCAGAAGATACGCTATCAAACCACAGCAGGGGCACGCTGCAAATGATTGCGATGGCCGCGGAAGTAGTGGCATCGAGTTCTCGGTGCCGGGATCTGCGAGCGCGAGGAGCATTGAGAAAATCCAGCAGGGCCTCGCTGTGGAGCACTCCTGCCGAAACAAAAATGCAGGACTCCCACAAACTACCTCCCTTAGCAGCGAGCTTTTGTGACTATGATGGACGGTGACTGCACAAGAGTAGTTTCCGATTCTTACAGTCTTACACAGTGTCTTGAGGAAAGCGGGGATGGGGTACTGGATCATCTTGTGCTTCAGACATAACACCTGTGCGGCAGGTTACGTCAGGTGCTTGCAGAGTCCTTCCATGTCCAACAGGCCCACAAGATATCCTGCCAAGAGCCGATCCACGGCATGCATGGCATACATGCTGTCAAGGGGTCATGCATCGTTCAGCCATGGGGAGGTCCGAAAAGCTTGCCATAGCGCTCTTCCATCCAGTCGCTCCGCGCATCATCTCCCCCAAAGACTTTTTGCCAGAAGGGCTCCTGCGAGAGTGAGCCAGCATTGGACAGGATCTTCGTTGCGGAACATGAGGAAGGGCATAAAGGCTCCTTGGGAGGAAACGGCGGAAGCTGCTTGCGGTCAAAAAGCTCCAGCAGCTTGACGTGGCATCTGGCCAACAGCACTGTGGGGATGCACTGGCACATTTCAGCTCCAATTGAAAAGAGGATGCCCTGGCCTGAGAAACTCACTGTACCGTCGGGCCACCACCCAGCACTCTTTGCCATTGCTCAGCTGCAAGCTGTACACAACCTCATGTCATTCTTCAGACTCTTGCCCGGGCGATCCTTGCATGCAAAACCGTCCAAGCCCTTCCAAACTCAAGCTAGGCCAGCTAGGCAAGTTGCTGCTGAACCTGTGGTGCACATCCGGAAGTCCAGGAGTCTGACAGCCTTGGAATGCAAGCCGTCGCAGCAACTAGGCGTGTGTTTAAGAAGGTGAATCATGAGCAGTTCGTCAGAAAGGGGCCACATCTCCTTCTGACGTAGCTGTCATTGCCCCAGAAGTCTAGCGTTCCTCAAGCTGCAGGATTGTCGCATCGTGCGCGTATTGCCAGTGGTATGAGCACAAGGACGTCCTTACAGGTTGGGCATAAAGCGCATGCGGCCGCGCCATCGCGGCATTTGGACTGAATTCGCTTTCCACTTCTCGACTCAATGCATGTTACATGTTACCGGTATCGCGTTCGAGGAATCTGCCCATCTCTCTTGCCGCCTGTAGGAACTGTAAGAACGGAGCTGAACAAACAGCTGGAGCAGAGTGCCGCTCAAGAAGACTGATTCCCTAAACTTGTGCTGAGTGCTTGAAAGTGAATGGCAGAGGTCGAGCCTGTGCGACGAGCATGGGGTCTCATCATAGAGCAACATTCATGTTCAGAATAGCTGAGGCATGAAAGCTGCTACGCATTGAACAACATAAAGCTACCACGGTGCCTGTTGCACTTCCCACGTCCTTACACCTCAAGCAGACAAATTCCACAAGATGAGCAGTACTACATGCACATGTGATTGAATACGCCGCGCAGGCCGCAGGGCTATGGACCAACTGCTGGTGCCGCCGAGTTGGCCTCCGGCGTCAACTGAAGGCCACAGGCTGCCACCAAGCATCGGGCAGTGCGCTGAGTTGCAGGCATAGTCGAGGGCAGCAAGCACGCTGACCAGGCAATCCACAGGCACCTCGTCAAAGGCATCGAATGGCCATGGAAAGATTGTAAGGGAAACTGAAGCTCACATGACGAATTGTTGGCGCTTCCATGCCTGCAGATGAGCACAGTAGCATTCGCACATCTCAGGCCCTAGCTGATGTCACACCTGGCTTTGTTTCCCGTTCAGCTGTCGTCAGGTTTGCAGCAAGACAGTGCGAGTTGTGTGGCAGATAGGAAGAAGCACGCCCAAGCACGGTCGCCCGTATCTGTTAGGTTTCTCAAACACATTGCCGGCATCCGTCTTTTGTCCACGCCCGAAGACAATCTCCCTAAACCCTATTCGTCCACAGCTGTGACTTTCAGTACATGGTTTTCCTGCGAGCAGTTGCGCCCCAGAGATCCCAGAGCCAATGGCCAACGCAAAGCAAAGAGAACAAGGCGGAGGAGTTCCAGACCTTTACAGTTTACAGGCCCGTCTAAGGCGTCGAAGGGTTGTCCTGGTCCCAGGTCTCCACGGCACCCGGGCGCGCCCTGCGCACTCGTCGCAAGGCTTCCTTCGGGTCGGCGACGCCAAGCTCGATGAGCAGACGCGAAGCAATGGTGCCTCGAACAGCTGCAAGCACTTGACAGGGGCATGGCTCAATCTGCCTCCCTTTGCTTGCTGGTTTCCGGCTGGGCCTGTCCTGCTCGACCAATTCCTCCTCGGCAGTGCACGACCACCTTGCCACCTTTGCGCAGAATCTGTCGCACTTGCGCGCCATCGCCTCGCTGGACCCAACAACCTGCGTGTGGGCGGCAGGCTCAAAACATCTTCGCAGCTATTCCCCCGCCATTCCGCTCTTCCGTGGCACCTTCAAAGAACATTCCTGGAGCACTGAAGTCCGGAACCGGGCAATGAAACCACGTCATCTTGCGGCTCTCCACGCATTTCTCCATGTTCTCCACACCCAGCATGCGCAGTTCGTCGTCCTGCAAAGGAGGGCACTTCATCACAGAGCTTTGCTGGTCCCCGCGCAGAGTGGCATGCTGCTACGTGCCTCGGGAGGTTTCGAGCCATTTACTTACGGACAACTGACCCTCTATTGAAGGCTGTTAGTCGCTGAAGGGAGCAAGACCTCTATTGAAGGCTGTTAGTCGCTGAAGGGAGCAAGACGCAAAATGACCTGACGTCCTGCACTAAGGTGATGACTGCTTGCGCGCCCCAGGATTTTATAGTATCCAGGTCGACTCCTAGATCACGATCTCGCTTGCCCGGACACGGCGTGATCGCCTTAACGGCAATGTGCAATTGCGGTATTTGTTATGCTTGTGTCAAGGTCGAGCAAAGCCATGCTTGCATGCAGTCTTGCATGTGTAATACCACTCGCAACACCGGCAAAATGCCTGTCCAACCTGAGCCCAAAGCCAGCTGCGCTGAGAACTCCGGAATATCAACTATGTACATCTCCAGGGTGCGCTGCCTCGCGCGAGGGGAGCGGGAAGCCAGCCGCCAGGTATGGGACTTCCCCGACCGAAGTTGCAGGTCAGGTAGCCAACTTCGCCAATGCCCCACGTATCCTTTCGGGCATGGGTGTTTTTCGTTCGCTACATCTATAAAGGCCTTAAGTTGATCCAGCATATCCAGCTGGAGCCTCTAAGCCTTAGAGTCCAAGGCAATGTTCGCACATCGACTAAACTGCTCAAGGCTCCCGTCCCTAGCCAGTCTGCTAAGAGGGCCCAAGCCATGGCACAAAGGAAAATGTGCAGCATCGACGTCCATGGCTTCATTGCCCTCTTGAAAGGGCAAACGTTTGCTGTTTCGTGCGGGCTATGATTCGCATGCCAGTAGCATCCAAGAAACTTACATTGAGGATCTAGTGTTCTTTTCATCCCGCGGGATGAGCTGCGCATTGCACGCCGCACCAGAAATTACTTGGAATTACTAACCCCGTTCAGGGCGCATCAGCACAACATAACTTGGTGCCCATCTTGTTCCCGAGTGAGCATGTCGAGATCAGATAGGGGGCTCGGCGATTCCGTTCAAGGCCTCTCTTGCGTGGATGTGAGTGCATCTTGTTTGGGCTGCTGGAGCAAGCTGCAAACGCATCTACAGACATGCGACACACGCACGGACGCACACACGCGCGCACACGCACACATATACACAAAGACACACCGAGACAAAGACTCACAGAGACAGAGACAGACACACACAGAGACGGAGACACACAGAGACAAACACCCACACCAGATGTAGCGCGAGCAAATCGCCTTGTGATTCTGCTGGTTGTGGCGTAACTTCTCAACACTTTTTCGACACGCCTGCGGTTTGAAATGGGCTCTTTCCACGAAGCAGGACGCTGACCTCACGTGCGGTAACTTCACCATTCCTTGTCCAGCGAACGCCAGGAGGAGCATTTGGAGACGTTTGAGCGGCATGAGGGATGCAGGACATCGCAGGGCACAGCACGCAGGTGAGGATTGCATGGAGGTGCTTTCGTCTCGACACCTCCGAGCATTCGTTGGGAGGAATCTTGCAAGAGATTGTAGAAAGATGAAAGAGGTTTTGGCAGGATCGGAAGTCCGCGAACTGCAACAAACAACCAACGCACCTAATCAAGAGCAGAATACTTGCACCGCGCCACCGTTGGCATCAAGCTGGTTGAGCACCTCAGAACTTCTGGCTCGTCGCTTGCTGCACGAGCACCAGCTCTTCAGACCATAGGCATGTCCAGCGAGGCGCCCAAGAGAAAAGGTCGATGTCGAAGTAGCCCAGGGCCTTGCTGATGGGTCGTTCAGTAGGAGTTTCCGAGAGCATGTTGCATTGGCCTAGCTGCCTAGCTTCTCCAAGTAATCAAGGGCATGTGGAGGCTCGCCACGCGAGATCTCAACTTTCATGACTTCTCATTGTCTACAGCCTACAGTTCTTGACAGGTTGCCTCCTCTTACATTTTGCATTCCCGATACGCAGCCTTGCACATGGTTGCCAAACGCAGGCTCGGGCATCTGCTTCCAACGTTCTTGGGCTGGGGCTGCATATGCACAAAGAAGGTCAGACCTCGGATGCCAAAACGAGAAAGCATGAGCATCACGAACCCCCATCGCACTGTTCTTGAACAGAAGCTCGGAATGGGACAGGTTTCGCTTAGACAGATTTGAGGGTGCGCCGCTGCGAACCTCAGGGTGCACTCCCATATAGCTTCCCTTCTGACATGTTTTGAGCATGCATAAAGCATAAAGCACATCAGAACCGCATCTCCGGATGACGTCTTCATCTAGATCGAAGATGATCGAACTAGAGGCCAAGCATGTCACAGCCGGCCGTGCAACAGAGCCGACGCACTCTGGACTCACATGTAGAGAGCTTCAACAAGTGACGCCATCGCCTGAGGCTGGCAAACTTTCTGTGCAAGCGACCGTCTGGCTCACCAGGGAGAACAACGTGGCGGAGCTGTGCCTGAAAAGTGAAGTCGCGCTGTGCAACTACGCTTTGCGGCTGTGCTGGACATCCCAGCGCAGGGCTGTAGGCGAGCACAGGAAACGGCAACAGACGCCTTGGCGGGAAGCATGGGCAGTGTCCAAGCTGCTTCAAAAACGATGCCGCGCCGCAAGACTCGATCTTTTCTTGGCCGACGTGCTCCGACTTTCGGGTTTGATCTGGAAGCATCGTGCAGGTGACACGGCGCGTCGGAGCTTTCACTGTCTTCGCGCAGAGATCCCACACCACATGCCTCGGCCGCTGCACGCTCCAACGTACAAACCTCCAACCACATTTTAAACAACGGAGCAAGCCACACGCGACTCCAGGAACTCCTGGAATGCCTCAAAGGTGGCCTTGGATCAACTCAACTCAAGCCGCGCTGCCGCCTCCTGGCATCGAACATGTCGTGTTCTGTCCCAGCGTCCCCAAACTGCTCCAGGAGCTCTTTGGCATCCTGAAGCCTCACGGCATTCATACGGCTTCAAACACGCATCACGCAATGAAGCTCAGATGGCACAGACAAAGAGCCCCCAAAGCCTCATCGTGTCGTGAGGGTTCAGGTCTGCCTCACACTCCATTTCAACATTCGACATCTCTTTAGAAAACATGAGCCCAAAGCTGCGCGAGCGAGCCTGCTCCATCAGAAGCATTTGATCAGCCAGGTCGGAGGAAGGAGAAGTGATATCTGGGACGTGCAAAGTTAGGGGTTGCGTTTGTCGAACATATCGCAACATCCCAAATGCATGCACAGACTGGGGGCCTGTGTAGCTGCCAACCACCTCCTTTCATGGTTACAAAGAGAAATCTGCATTGGCATCCACTGCAGATTGCACGATGCGATGCTTGCTTTTGATTTGTTGAACCACTAATTACTTGTCGGTAAGTCAGTATTCGGCCGAAGCAGCACTGTGCAAAAAACTGAGGATGTCGGCAATCGACACCTGCTCCACTACAGCAACTATCCAGGAGCCCCAGGAGATGCAAAGTTATGCAGTCTGATCGCTGAGGCCTAAACCTCTCCGTCCGAAGAGATTTGAGGAACTCGAAATGAAAGCATTGAGGTGTGCACGGTTCTCCGTGACCCCCAACCAATGCCTGCAGCCACGGGCTACAGCTCACAAGTGACCCTAAGCAGAAGCGCAAAGCAAGAACATTACAGCCATAAGATGGCAGACCTGTGTGACGTGCTGTGCTGCAAGACGAAAGCATGTTAGGCCACAGCGCCCCATAGGATCGCCTCGCAGCAACAAACCCGGCCGGTCGTCTCCGAAAGTGAGCGTTCGACTTCGACCCTACTATACCCCACTGATTCTCGTGCGTTCCCGCAAAGCCGATGAGCTGCAGCTCTAAGCTCGTGGCTCGTGTCGCAGTGCTGCTTGAAACACTCGCCGCATCATGGTTGCGGAAGTCCCGCTAGTGAGACCCTCCCTGCTTTAAAACGTCATCTTCATCTCTGTCAGGTAGACAGGTATATGTCTGCGTGGCTCAAACTGCCAGCGCCAATAGCTTACGAGCCTTGTGACAATACTGCAATACGCTCATTGCAGCAGACATGGCATGCGCACGCCATTGCAATCGATCCTTCTAATCATGTTGGCAAATGAGACGGCTTGGCCCCGTGCTGCACACTTGCGCCTGATTCTAGGACGCACCGAGCTGAGCTTGGGACCATGAGTTGCGGATGCTGTGCCCAGGTTGGGCCTGCATTCTGGACGCATGCTTCTGGTGAGGTCCGGTCGGTATTGCCGGTAGCAACTTCATATTCTGCCATGCGCAGATCATCGCTGCTGCTGCTTTGTCCACTATCAGCTGGCACACTTTTGTTCCTGCCTAACTTTTCCACGTGGTCTATGAGAACCTGCACGACTGGGACCGGCCTCGCTGCACTGTGTGGCCAAGGCACAGGCGTCAGCTGACAGTGCAACATGAGGCAACTGCAAAGGAACCGGGTGCAGCTGCACAGGCGCCTCACAATATATTCGCAAAAATGCACATTGAGGACATGCCTTGCAGCTGGATTAACAGAAGCTGGATTCAGACTACTTGGGGCCCGGGGATTTGGGATGTCTGTGGTTTCGTGCGAGCCCTCCCTCCCTGCTGGAACCAATGCTGCACTTGCTTGAATGATTTGAGTGTGTTCTGTAGCATTTCTGCTCCACACTCTCAACATGTGGAGCTGCCGAACAAGCTTTTGGGTCAAAGCAGCGGCAGCTGAATCGTAAATTATGCCGTTGTGCCATCTTTGTCGGGGACATCCTTCGTCGATCTCTTCGGGCTCTGCCGACGAACTAGCGGCCGTATGAAATATCATAAGTATAAGAGCGAGCTTAGCGAACTTGTATGCAGCCATGCGTGCTCAACCCATGATGAGCAGCAATGTTAACTAAGCTGTAGATGCATGGACAGGAGGCGTTATGACAATAAATGGCAATCGCCCACATGCATATGGCATTTCAGTTGCCACGCATCTATGGACAAAAAGCCCGGCCCCTACGACAAACAGTGGCAATGCACATCGAAAGGGGGCAACATGAAAACCCAGCCCGGCGTGGCCTGGGCAAGAGATGTGCATGATCAAGGGTTTGTTGCACGATTTCATGCACATAAGCGGAAAGTGTGGAAGTGCTCGTAATATCTCGTCATCGTAGCACCAGCACCAGCAACACGAGTAGGATTGAGTGGACCCGCCATGAGCTTCCGCTGCCCAGCTCGTTCTGGCACCCTGGGAGCTTGGCGCCATCACCATGGATTCCGGCAATCGCATGCAGTGAGTTGGCCTTGGCACTTTGTATCACTGTGTTTTTACTTTGTTCTCTCCGTTTCGCAGTGATGCCAAGCTACCTTGGGAATGGGTGTGCCAAGGTCTCAGCCAATTGCTGCACTTCGAACTCAACGTCTTTTCTGAGCAGGCGAGCCTGCGAACCAATAGTTACAAGTTGGCGATGCACATGCGGCGCTGAAGAATTAATCCAATCGATCTCGTTTGAGCGTGTCCTGCAGTGCAGCGAGCAGTGCAGCGAACCTGGTCAGACTTATGCCACTTGTAATATGATACGACTCACTTCCGCCCAAAACGTGCAATCACACAGCTGTGATCCCGGCTCGTCCTTGCAGAGTGAAAGCCGCGAGATTGTAAGCAAACAGTTCGCTACATGCTGCGAGGACCTGCGCGGCAAATTTGTGCTCACTTCAGCTACTGCCCTGCATGGCTGGCGGATGTTGTGCCATGGCAGGCAACAGCGGCCGTACACAGCATTAAGTAACGGGCAGTGTGGCCACACTTGTACGCAATGATCCTGCCAAAGCTCGGGTCAACGGCTCCTGCTCGCAGCATGACGGCTTTCCCGAGCCAGATGGTGACACGGTTGGAACTAGCAGCCGCAACCTTGTGAAGCGCAAATCGGCCGCAGGCATAGAAGAGCTGCACCTTGAACATGTTGTAAGGGCGAAGCAAGCCGCTCGTGCAACGATGAGCTACGAAAGCCGGCTCTCTTCACTGTGGCTGTCGCTTGTGTGTGCTGTTCAGAATTGGGAACGGCATCCACCAGCCTGAGTGTCCACTGGCCCGATGGCCTGCTATTGTTGCGCCATTGGTGGTGTGAGCAGCAGCTGCAAGACCAAGCACGATTGAGCACGATCCTTTTCAAGGAGATGCGATTACCGCAAGGATGCGAGCAGTCCGAAGTTAATGTCACTCGTCCGGGAAAGATGAGACTGAGCTCACATCCCGTGCGCATGTCTTTACATGCGCACTTGCGGTCCACTCCAGGTGTCGAAGATGCTAGGTGTTTAAACAACTTTCCATTCTCAAGCTGCAGGTGCAAATGAAGCTATCGCTTAAAAGTGGACAGCGTGCGTGGCAGCTTGCTTTCAAAGCTGTGTAAATCGTAGCCAAGGAACGCATCTGCCGTGTGGCTGCCGTTCCAGGATTAAGCCTAGCTTTGAGGCAGCAGTGCACATGAGGCTGTTCTTGCGGCAAGAGGCCAAGAATTTGTGGTAGGACATGGGTAGAAAGCCATATGTAGGAAGCCATATTCGACACGTTTGCTCAGCCTTCACCTAAGCCCGAAGCTGCCCTTGTGAAACTTGTGCATGCGTCCATGCATGCCTGTGGGCTGTGCCATCAAGAATGGCGCTGCCGAGTGGAAGTGGGGAATACTTACTGTAAAGTTCAGGCTGGGATAGCGATAGGTCGTCCTCTGCAGCAATCTACAGAGACTTGAAGTCGCTAGATGTCACCTGCACTCAGAGAATGTCGGCCACGCGAACGCGGTACGCCATTCTCCACCTCCAGGGCTCGCACATCTCACATGCGATACATGGTAGCATGCAGGTGCATGTTCTTACCTACTATACTTCTTGAGTTCCGAAGTCTCGACATGACTGTCCCAACAAGCACGGACCAACGGGCCTGGGATCGCCACAGCAGTTTAGGCGCTGGTGGCAAAGTCTTTGTCCCATCCGGTCTTGGGATCCTTGTACGGAATCTGCGGGGGCATGTCCTCCTTGTTTGCGCTGAAGTTCTTCATGTCCTTCTTGCTCTTCACTGTGGGCACCTTGATCATTCATGTTCGGTCCGATTCGGTCCTGCCTGCATGAGTTCGCTTGTTCGGCAGCCAGCTAGCTTACTTAGCTCGCGATTGCTCGTGTGTGTAAGGCTCACGCGTAAGGAGGCTTCATTGACAGACCTTCCATGTCACTCCACCCGAAGCTTGCGAACCATTTCTGCGTTTTGATGTTCTGGATGCCTGGCCAACAGAGGAGGCATCTTGGATCGTACACGGAATCTGACGGACTCGGGTATCTGCGTGCCGTAAAGTATGCAAACTTCACACAAATAGGCCTCCCTTCTTCATTGCCAGGCGCTCGGTGGGATTGCTGTTGCAAAGACCCTTCACCTGTACATTCACGAGGCGGCAGCACCACACAGGAGCAGTTTGCATGCGGCTGTAGCTTCGGAGATGCTTTTTGCGCAGTGCTTTGCTGCTCAGCTTTGGACCAATGTCTCCACATCGCCCTTCAGCTTCTTGGGGAAAACGACTGCGTTGATTCCCTTCTGTACCTTGACGGAATTATGCTACTTGTGCCACTGGCCGGGATGGACACAGGTGTCAGGAGCTTGCTCTCATTCAGTTGACTGTTTCGTGGCCTTTGCATAAATCTGCATGGGCGTGGCCGACTCGAAGGGCGGGTGTCCTGGCAGGGTTGGCAAATCGGAATCCTCTGCCGTCCTTTAGAACAGTCAGGGGAGAGTTTAGACGAGTTTGGGCTGCGCATGGCTGCAGAGGTGGCCTGACATGAGCTCAAAGGTGAGGATGCCCAGCGTCCACCAGTCCACTGCGTGAGTGTGCCCTTTGGAAGCAATCAGCTCTGGAGCAAAGTAGTCCGGAGTGCCGCAGGTCGTGTACGTCTTGCCTAAGTTGTCAACATGTGCCGTTTGTAGACTCACTGTAGACCCCATCATCCTTCCGTTGAAAGCCAGATTTTGCTGAGGGGCCAAAGATCACTTTCGCTAAGCCCATGTCTGTGAGCTTTACCCTGCCCTCTTCTGTCAGTAGGAGATTCTCGGGCTTCAGGTCTCGGAAAACGATCCTGGGTTAACTGACGAAGCTCTGAGGAGCTCCGAAGAATAGCAATACACACACACACACGGACATGCACACACACACACACACACACACACAAAGCGAATGGAAGGGAGCCCCTATGTCACCCTTCCACGGGCCATTGTAGCAAAGCATCTTCTTGCCATGCAAGTGCTCAAAGGCAAGAACTGTTCCAGCGACGTAGAACTTTGCACATGCTTCATTGCCCCACATATTGCGCTTGTTGTAAGTGGCATAGAGCTCGCCACCGAGTGCCAGCTCCAGGAGGAAGTACAAATGCTCTGGTGAGTTATACGTTTCGAAAAGCTTGACGATGAATGGGGAGTCACACATCCTTGCGGCACATGCGCAGCTGCTTGTCAGGCTAATTACGCTGGATTCCTGCTGCTAATTTTGCGGGCAACTGCTTGCCAAGTGTCAGCTGCACATTCTTCTCGCTCATGACGCTGGCTTGCATACCGCTCTTGACAACCTAAATTCAAGATGGCTGTGCCATCGAAGAAAAATATTTCTTAAGTCATTCGCCAATGCTGCAGACCGACTGCTGCGATCAGTGCGTCTTGGCAGCGTATCCCTTGCTAAGGGCCTTCAAGGCGAACATGTTCCCGGTCTTGGTCTCTTCCACGAGCTCCACAGCTCCGAAGCCTCCACAGCCCAACAAGCCGTGCCTCAGTGACATTTGGCAAACATGAGTGTCACGAGCCGGCAGTAAAAACTGAAATCGGAGAACAGCATTTGTGGAATGTCTGGCAGCTCAAGTTAGGTCAGTTGGGCAAGGCGGGGTTGGCTTCCTACAAGTGGCTTCTTGAGATCCGCGAACTTGATGACCCCGAAGCGCTTGGCATCCTTGCAAAGCTGATGGTGCGAAAGATCAATTCACTGACAAACAAATGCCAAAAGATACTGAATGTCTCTGACAAATAAAAGCGAATATTTTCAGAATCTTGTGCTAGCCGCCAGCTCCCTGCCCACCAGTGTCTACGCCCACTCCCATTTACATGTTTGGACTTGGGTTTCTCTTGGCTTGCAAAAGCTGTAACTCGCTTGCCGGGCGAGGCTCGGCTGCGGTGGGTGCGACGGACTTGGCCACAACAGTGTCGCCATCTTTGCCGCGCTTGATGAGCTCACTGAGGGAACCCAGAAGGACCTGAACAGCACAAGCTGGAAGCTCGCGAGACCTGCAAAATCCCAATCACCATCTCCAGCAACCCCAAGCTTGCAGACCTCGAACGTCTCCTTATCCACCCACAACCTGAGATGGCATAGTGCTGTGAGACGTCGTGAGGATTCTAGGGCGTGCTGGGTGACGGGAGTCGTTGGACTAAGGAGTCTCCAGGGTTCCGCAGTTGCGAGCAGCCCTTACGGACAAGATAAATAAGATAACACCATGAGCCCTGCATGTTGCCTGTATGTTGCAGCACCCCCTCTGCGACATCCAAATGCGTTCTTGAAGAAACATGCGGCCCCGAACGAAGCGCTCAAATGGAGCACACAGGGGCTACTCAAGTCCGGCATGTGGGCAGAGGCCGGCGCCCCGTAAGTTCGGAAGCATGTGGGCAATCCAGAAAACATCATCTAAAGTTATCGAAAGTATCTAAAGACACCTGAGACATTCAAAAGGCTGCGCTGAGCGGCGTCCTCGCTCGACTGGACGTGACCTTGATTGTGGCTGCCCTGGGCTCCTTGTTCTCGAGGGCCTTTTGCCGGGCTTTGCAAGCTGAACCGTGCTTAAAAGCGGCCAGTGTGACTCGAGAGCAGCCGTAGCGAGTACAAAATTAAGATATTGCCCTTTGCATGCAACAGCTCCTCAGCATGACAACAGGCAATTCGACTCAATCCGGATCTGATGGGCGTAGCCTACTGCCTGGACATCGCGCCTTCTCTCCAAAGTACGGCGCCTTCTCTGGAGTGGCTCGCAAACTTGCCACTTCCTGTTGCGCAATGAAAATCATCACATGCCATGCAAAGCCGTGGTGACTTCCGCAACCCAACAACTCGGCCTTGCCTTGCCATCTTTCAGGACAACCACAGATCCCTCGACTAGCAGGAAGAACTGTGTGCCTGTCTCCTTGATGCAAGGATCAATCTCTTTAACAAAGCTTGAACTCGATGATTGAGTGGGAGGATCACTCAAGAAATTCTGCTTGCAGACTCCCAGCTCGCTGCGCTGCAAGCATTTGCAGCCTGAGGCTTTGAGGAGGACATTCCATGTGTCCGAACAGTCCCAGTGGCGCCCTGCTCGAAGATGGTTTCGTCCTTGCTGAACGTCATTTCATGCATGGCCGCAGCCAGCTCCTTCTTCTCGGAATCCTTCAAGGCTGCTGAGAACCTGGGCAAGACACTACAATGATGGACGCAATGCAGCCCTAGAGCATCGACCCCCAAGTGGAGGGCTACTGAGTGCGCGCTAGCAACCTTTGCCGTCTAGAGCTACAGCAGTGCTATGTCTTCAATGTCTTAACGAAGTTTCGAGTGGTCTCAATACGTGCCTGGATGAAGTCAGACTAGCAACACTTCGCAGCGACCCACGTAGTCCAAGTTTTGCTTGGTTTCCGCCTCGTTCGCGCGAAGCAGAATTTCCTTGGACATGTGCGCGCAGGGACAGGCGTGTGTGGAATCGCACGAACAACTGAACTGCAATTTGGCCATGGCTCTTTGAATTGCTGTCGCGCAGTCACAAAAACCTCGGAGTCGACGTTCGCTGTGATCGTTGCAGCCTCGTGCACTGAATGTGCGGAACCCTGCAAGCATTCGAAGTGTTGTGTACGTACCTTAAGCATGCTCTGTTTCAGCTATTGTTCCACAAAGGTCAGGCCACTCGAGGTGCGAAGTAAAGCAACGCGAGCTCGCCAAAGCTGCCTCCAGCCTCGTTTGCAGGCTGTGCACCGACCACAATCATACGATGTGAGGCATCTGAGGACCTGAGGACCTCTTCTCTACTTTCTCGAACACCCCAAGTCCGCGCAGTCATATAGCCCCCAGAAGAGGGAAATCAAATGACACACATTGACACACAGCTTGAGCTGATGTGAGATGGCGTTCTGATGCGTTCTGAGAAAGTCCTGGCCCCGCGCCTCCACTGAGCCCAGCTGCGCAGCAGCTGCAGACTCGACACCTGGAGTTGTGTTGGCCGCACACTGCCGCGAATGACTTGGAAAAAAACAAACAAACACTAAGCAACAGGAGATAATGAGTGCCGCCACATGTATTTTGAAGGGATAGTGGCAGAACGTGACAAATATCATGCCATGGTGTGGTCCTAGTCGCACACAGGACTTGCCCTTCACCCTTCGCCGGATTTTGGCCAGGCCATGGACTTCTTACAAATGTAGGGAACTGAAGTTGCAGAATTCCCTTGCTGCAGCCACAGGACTTTGACCTTCCTTGACATCTTCCGCCTTGCTAATGGAGAAGCTGCCGGATTTTACGATGTAGAAGTAATCTGCCTGTCAGGACCATTTCAGGAACGTGCGTCGAAAGGCCAGGACAGCCAGACGCGAATGTGGGAGAGGCTTCCGACCCCCAGTCATTGTGTGTAACCATGCAAACGCTTCTCAGCGTGTAACCATGCAAACGCATTTCAACGTCCTGCAGGCCATGCCTGCAAATCATTTTGCTTGATGATGGCAGTGCCCTTGGCCACGGGTTCCTTCCACATGACATCGGACATCGCCTTGATGCGAGCCTGGTCGGTATGTATCAGTCTTCAGGACAGCAGGGCTGAGACAAAGCCAGTGCTAATTCCTCAGGACTCTCAATGCGATATCTCCAGCAGTTGGGGCCTCATCCAGGTTTGCAATGGTGTTCAGGTTGGTGTTTGCTTGCAGAGCTTGCTTGATGAGCCTTAGCTGATACGCGCGACAAGTCGGCGCGACACGTAGTCATAATGCTTTGTGCGACGCGAAGAAGCAAACTTCGGCAAACAATCACTACGCCGCTCTGCATCTCTGTGACTTCGCAACCATCCACAAAAAGGCATTCCCGGGTCCAAGCAGCTGGACGTCCTCGGTGGACTTCTCGCTTGGCGGCTTAATCTCGGCCTGCAGAAGTCTTGGGCCGTGCAGCTGTTGCACGATTGCACCGAAGTCTGACACAAGTTTGTTTGTCTTGGCTCCTGCCGCTAACACCTCAGTTCCCCGACCCTTGCTGGGGGCATAAACAACAGGAAAGTGCTGTCGAAAGGTAGGGACATTGCTCCCGAAAACTCTCTCTTAAGGGCCCAGAGGAGAAAAAGAATCGCCTACCTCTGCTTCTGGGGGCGAAGTCCGGAGCCTGAACAGCAACTCCGCCGCCAACAGCTCCACGCTTGGGGAACTCCAGCTTGTCTTGCAAACCCAAACCTTCCACTTTCAACAGCAATGGCAATGTCCGATGAAGGTGGAAGTGTAGTTGTCCGGTTGTTAAGTTTAAATCAGTCTTCAACTCGCCTCCCCCCATGCAAATTTCGGAGTCCAAGAACATGCTCAAAACAAAAACCGCTCCGTTGCAGGAATGGGCCATTGACGAAGCCGGGACACTGGAAAAAGCCTGGCGTGTGATCTTCAGCGTGACGACCTGCGCCGACACCGAGCCATGCTGGTTCTGCCACATGCGCTGCATGCCCAAGAGACTACTCGACGGAAGGCTCAACATTTCCAAGGGTTGGAAAACTATACCCGAAGCACAAGGATGTTATGCAGCTCTCGGGGTTATCTGCGAACCAGCCGACAGTGACAAGTCTTATGGCCTGGGAGTTGGCCTTGATTGTTGCGTTGCGTGGCTCGTTCCGCAGCAAAGCATTCTCCCCGAAGTAGTCGCCAGCTTTGAGACCGGCGACCTGCATTCAGCATCATTCGCACGCCACGCCAAGAAACATCAAACATATGGAAAACATGGAAAGCACTCTGACACCCAGTAGATGAGTCGGATGGGAACATAGCACACTGCGCATACTGACCAAAGCCCGCCATAAGGGAAACAAAGGCAACATCAAGTCATGGATCCATTCCCAACATGGCGACAGGAAGTGGATTGTCATGCATGCCTCGCTATACTCACGAAAGATTTTGTTGCGACATCCCTGTCATCTTAGCAGCACCTTCTTTCCATTGATCTCAACATCAGCCGTGCCCTTCCTCGGAGCCACCGGCGCAGCATGCAACAACCCGGACGTCACAAGCAACATAAGCTTGTAGAGATTTGCATCACACATGAAGATCATGAAGATGAGAGGCTTTATCATGAAGAACTCATTTCCTTCCTCGCCCTGCTTGATGATGCTCTGGCCGGGCTTGAACTCCACTTCTGTTGCAGACTTCGCAAGGGCCGGAAGCTCATCCTGCACTCCGCATCTTGCGCAGAATGTTGCAGCTGTGGCATCGGCAGTGGTCGAAACCGACATCTTATCGGAGACAGGCCTGGGGCAAACGCTTCAACAGCTTGACCTTGCAGAGGAACCTCGGCTATGTCATGTTGAGTCACAGACATGCGCTGCTCACAAGCTCATGCAGGCAAGGCTAGGCAAGGTCAAGTCGGTGCAAGTGGCATGTAGGTTTGCTCATCGACATTTGCCTTCGATTCCCTGCCAACACTTCCGGCGCTGGTACTCTGGTTGCAGCCCATTGTCCTTGGCCCCGGCCCAGAAGATACCAACGATTCTGTGAGCGAACATGCGTGTTTGTGACATGCTCGCTATACGTCTGTCATCTGGTGCGAATGCGTCGCGATGCCAGTGCTGCCAAGCATCACTCGGTTGTGGAAGTTGGGCGATGGGATGGGTTCGCTTCTTTGCTACTTCGAGCAGTCAGGAACACTCCAAGGGGTGACAGAGTTTCATGCAGCGAGCGCAACATTCAGTTCGTAGTCACGATCAACGATCAACCCTGGACATGATTACACTTCTGAAGATGCTCATGCCACGTACGGCAACTTTGCACCCAACTTTAGCCATCTACTAGAGAATCAAAGGGATCGTGGTGGACTGTGTTGCTAGCCCCACGTCCAACGTGCAACACCCATGGCTGAGACGTCTGCTTGTCCATCAATCCTTGAATGACCTGCATCCAAGACAGGGTCGTGGGGGAAGCGAAGCTTCTCAGCCTCGAAGCCTCTAAGGGCACGCTTTACGCGGCCACTCTGCTCTGGGTGAGGCTGCAAAATCTGCAAAAAAGAAACCAAGTCCGGGCGGAGTCAAAAAGCATGACTGGACAGACGAGTCAGGAACAGCGGCAGCAAATGTCACAAACGCTGGCCGAAAAGTCGGAAACAACCCCTAGACATGTTGAAAGCAAGTAGAATACAGTATATAGCTACATCATAAAATCACAGGAGGCATCAGAAGTTTTGGCACCCCCCGATTCCCCTCCTCTAAGTCTACATCCCCTTGCAGCGACCCCGCAAGCCGTGCGCCTCCGCCCCCTTTTGCCAAGTTTGCGGGTTTCGGTGGGGCACGAAAGTCGGGGAGGCCCACCCCAACCCACTGGCCCCTGAAATGTAACCTGCCCACAGTCAGCAAGGCTGACAGAAATCTCTGTTCTCTTCCGGGCAGAGAGTGGCCCATTGCTGGAACCGACCGTCGAGCAACAGTGGTGACAGGACGGCCAATTTCATGGCGGGAAGAGCAGGCTGAGACCCCACCAGCTGTGGCATTGGTCGCTTGCAGAGCACATGCTGGGTAAGTCAAGCCCCAGACCCTGAAAGCCTTTTGCGTGCCGGGCCTGGCCGAGGCAGCTCTAGACACGAACGTAGCCCAAATGTGACCTCAACCCCTGTATCCAGGCCTACAACCCTGTTCAGGCTTAACCTTTGCCAGGTCTGATTGTTCATTTGCCATGGGAAGGGTCACCCACTGTTGTCTCTTTGCCAAGCTGATTTCCAGATGAAGCGACTCCAGTCCACTGAAATGCCACCGTTTCTAGTGTTAGGCTCAAATGGGCCTTAGCAAAAAGGGCTTCAATCCTGGGAGAGGTTGCATGTCTATGTTTGCAGCGTACCTTCTCATGAACTTGACCAGACCGAGCATATGCACCTTAGGGGCACTGTAAGAACCACAACAGAAAGCGAGCGAGAGAGAGAGGAGAGCGAGAGAGGGAGAGAGAGAGAGTGAGTGAGTGAGAGAGAGAGAGAGGGAGCGGGAGATGGGGAGAGGGGGAGAGGGATGAGAGAGAGAAAAAGCACGATTGTGCATGCTAGCCAGGCTGCAGAACAGCATGGCGACACTTTGGTCGTCTGCCTCGAACTTGACTCACTCTCGAGCGCGAGCCCGCTGTAAGGTGGTCAGCTTCGTTCTGAAGCGTGCAGACTTGGTGGCATACCAAGTTCAAGGTTGCCAGCACCTATCACCAAGTGAGACAGGCCTGTTACGTAGAGCCCGGCAGCATCCACACAGCGAAAAAGCAATTAGATGCAGCCGCCTGTGGCGCCAAGTGTTGGAAGATCTTCCCATGGCCGGCAGAAAGCATGCTGAATGCATGCATGGTCACCCTGAGCTTCAGAGAGCAACTTCGTGGCACTTTGTGGTACTTCGACTTCTGGGACCATACCAAACTTGGCGGCGAGCGCAAGCTGCCGGCTGTGGAACTCCGATGATCGTTCTTCTACAGCCTGTACGACATTTAAGATGTGTGCCAGCGCTCAGCACAGCAAGATACGCCTCTGCCAAACAGAACAAGGCTTTCTTGTGCTCGGAGGCCTCAGTTGCTTCCCGGGTGGTTCGAGAACAAGGATGGAGTTAAGGCTTGGGGCCACGCTGCATATACAGTTGTCTGGAGTCTGAAGGGCGGGCGATCCCGAGTTTAACCAGAGCGTGCAGCGACTGGGACAGCCTTCGTTGCCGGGTTGCTGCAAGCACCCTCTTGAACACAACTTGGCCAACTCTGAATGCATCGGAGATTCTTCTTGCCTGATATCTTGCCAAGCAACTCCATGGCAACGAGATCCCGAGCTCGGCTTGGAATTTGCCGGGCCTGCCATCTTCCCTTGTTCCTTTCTGGTTCCCGCTGTGTTGGTTTCTCGATTTTCGTTCTATCTTTCGGCTTCTCCGCCTTCTCCCCGCTCCTCTCTCCCTCTTCTTCTTCTTCTAGCTTCCTTAGCCTGCTGAGCTTCCTTCGGGGGCCGAAAAACTACACTAACTCTCAGCTATTTGTACCATCTCCCAGATCGGCTCTGTGCACGTGGACTGTTTTCAGGTCTTGCAGACAATTTCGTCCACTCTTGACAACTTGAGGGCATGCTCTGTCATCTTACTGTCATCTTGCTTTCGTTCGTTCGCGTTGCCCGGTCTCGGGGTTGCAGCTGAGGCTTGCTCGGTCTCTATGACTCTCTGCGCAACGGGAGAGTTGAGTACATGCCGGTGAATCCAGCTGTCCTAGCACTTCTGCGTCTTGCAGCCTCAGTTAGTGCCGTTGGTGGACTCTGCGGGAATTTGCTGGAAACTGTAGCCCCCTGCTGCAGTTTTGCGTAGGCGTTCAACCTGAGCTGGTAACAAGTCCATCAGTCTATCAGTTCACCCCACATGATTGAGAGCCGAACAGGTTTGCAACATGCTGGGCCTTGAAGTTTGCTAGATTGCGACCTGGGCAGAATTATCTAGAATCTAGCACATGAAGCGGCACATTATCCCTACAAAGATCATTTCATGCTCCGTGGAACGGCTGAGATGAAAGGAGGCGGTCAGCTTCTGGCCGATCGCAGTGCCAAGCGCTGAGAAGAGGTTTTCATCGCGAAATGCTACCTGCAAACTGTGAGAGAAGCTCTTCGCTGCTTCATTGTGATGCACCATCTAGCATGTCGTGCCAAATGCAGTACGGATGTGTCCTTCGCCCAGGCATTGGCAACGGCTGCAGTTCCTGACGTTCCCCCCCTCCACTTAGCTCAACTTTGCTCCGCTCTCTTCTTGTGTAAGCATTTCAATTGCCTTGTGGGGTAAGCTCCACCGCCTTCTCCGAAGTCCAACCTTCCATCAAAAACCAAGTTCAGGTCTTTGCTCCGTGGTGCCGTAAGGCGCTGGCCACTGAGCTTTTGGAACAGCGGTCCATCTGCGATCTGCGGTGGCTTGCAAGAGTGTACGCTTGGGACTCTGTGTTGGTCTGATTCCGGGATCAGAATGAAGCTTTTTTGACTCTCTCCAGCGGGTCTTGTGCGATTTAGCACGAGAGTCTTCAGGTCTGCGCCCCGATGCCTGACCGAACTTGCTGCGCTTGTTGGGCTGGAGAACTTGACAGGATGCAGGATTCGCTACTCTAGTATAGTGTCTCTATGGGCAAGCTTTGGAAAACTGCTGCCATGACTTGCATCGAGCTGCTGAGAAATCAAGCGCAAAGGCGCTTTCCAATCTGATTGTAGCCAAGTTTCAGTGCCAGGTGTTCAGCGTTGCAACAGCCAGTAGTCTGACCTCTCTGCATCGATCCTCCACGCCCCTCTTGCAGCCAGCCTGCCCGCAAATGCTGGGTGCTGCTGGGTTCAGCCTGAAGAGAGTCACCTGCAGTTCTCGGGTCCAGGCCTGAATCTCCTTTTTGAAAGGAGACAGGTGGCCGAAAGCCTGTTGCATCCCAACAAACAACAATTCTGCTCACAATGCATGTCGTTTCAGCTGCAACTGCACACCGCCTGCTGGATCAACGCCATAAGAACCTGAAAGCACCCGAGCCGCACCTGCCATGATGAAGGCACCACCACAGGTGGCTAAAGTGCGTCGCGCGGTTGGCAGGTTCCGAAGTCAAGTCGCCAATGGTTTGCAGTGGGCGCCGCAGAGCTCGCACAGCGGACCGACCTCAGATTCAGGCTTCAAAATTCGCCCTTTGCCCCTCCACACTTTGTGCGTGTGTACACTATGCACAAGCGGGTGACTGCACTGGCTTTGGCCCCCTACTATGGAGTGAAGCTCGTCCTCAACCCAGGATTCTTTCTGCTGGATGGCGCGCACCAGGAGCTGCCTCGGTGTGTCAAGCTGCTACAGTAGCCGGCCTGGAGCATCCTGGACATGCTTTGTGACGTTCAAGTTTATTCTGCCGAGAGACAGGACCTGCACCGCGAAGATGCCGCCCTGGGCTGGAAGACTACATGACTGCGTTGCAAGACTAGGTTTTGGATCTGTTTTTTTTAGTTGCTGCCGCCGCATTTTTGCAGCGTACAGAGCTTTTTAGGAGGCTCAGACGTTGGCAGAAGACAAGATTTGCAGTTGTTGGGAAGCTCAGGATACCGTGCAGCACATTGCGGCTTGTGAAAGGCCGGGCAGACTTTAAAACAACACCGCAGTTGCTAGCTAAGGGCTGCAGCAGGACCCACTCACTCCAGCGATGTGTAAAGGCTGAGCAAGGTTGAATTGCGGCTATTCAGGCTGTGTTTTGGGCTTTGGACATGCTGTCCGTTTGAGTGGCGCACCTCCACATGCTGCAAAGTCAAAGCAAGGAGCAAGAAAGACTTCCAAACCACTTCTCTCCCACCCTTTACTCCCTTGGCCATACGACATCATGACTTGAAGCAGCAGCCTGCCTGCTCAGCATTTGCAGCTGGCGCGCTTTCTTTCAAGCGCTTAAGCCCAGTCAGCGTGCCTGAGTACATGAACTACCACCACAGAAGGTTCTTCCATCAGCGGGCACCAGATTCTGTTTGGTGCCAGCTTGAACTTGCCTTTGGGAAGGGTTGTGGCTGGCTCTTACAGTCTGCCTGCATCTTTCGACTGAGTCCTGGACACCACCGTACTTCGTCACCTTGGATGCAGGGAAAATGCAAGCTCAAGAATATGCTCGACCTATGCTTGACATGACTGTGAAGCCTGTCTGAGCAGCCGCAGCAATCATTTTAACGCCATTTTAGCCAAAGCTGCTGCAGTCGCCACAAGCAACCTTGCAACTGCGATGCGCTGTACCGCAGCAAACTTGAAAAAACCTCTACTTGGCACTTTACCCCTGCTTTGCCCCTGGCCTCCACAGACAGCGCCGCCAGCAAAGCCACAGCGCTCTCTAAAGCTGCCCGCCGGGCCCAGGCAGCACCGCCCAGGGCCTTCCCCAGCCCGAACAACGCGCCTTAAGTTCCTTTCGTTCCTACAAAGCTCCTACAATTCCCATTGTGGAAGTGACGCTTTTGACAGACTGTAACCAGACTCTATACTTCTGCATGACTCCGAAGTGCCCGCTCCTGATCCCAAGCATCCATTGCAGGTCTATCGAATGTTACGTGGGGCCTATTCGTGGACAACTTTGTGGAACCCAAACTTGCTTGCTGGCCTTTGCTCTTTTCACCAAAGATGGCAGAACTGTTCGTGAGAGCCTGCTGTCACACAAGAAGCCATTGGCTGCGCAACCAGTAACGCCAACACTGAATGTGCTATGTCATCAGAGTGGCTGCTGCAAAGCGATGGGTGGAAGTGTGGCCTAAGCCCATTCACTGCGCCGCTGTGTGTTTGCGAAGGGAATGCTCTCTCTCTCTCTCTCTCTCTCTCTCTCTCTCTCTCTCTCCTTCTTGTCCAAGACACTCTGGCTTGTTTCGCCGGGTCCACCTTTGCAATGCTCTGATCGGCTGATCAGCCCCTAGTTTCATTGCCTTCAGAGCCACGAAAGCAAGAGCAATTTAGAAAGCAGAGTCCAGCCTTCACCGGTGCCAAAACCCGAAAAGCTGCCGGAACGTGCGGCCCTACGGGGGCTTCCTCGTCCAAGGCTTGCAGGAGGGCTTCGAGAAAGCTGCCAGCCTGTGCCAGGCTGCGGTTGCCAAAACATGCCGAAGCCAACCCACAAGAAACTTCACAAGCCTTGCCTGTTCGGAGCAACTGCCCCGTCGCAGCAGTGCCTTGAAAAGCCCAGTGCAGTGTGGGAAAAACTCCAAAATACTGTGCAATTCTTTGACAAATGTCCTGAGAATGGTGTCCAAGGCGAAGGCCGCCGTGGCAGAGGCCCAGCACGTTGCCGCACCCCGGCTGGCACGATCACTCCCCGAGCTCTGGCCTGCCATGGTCCCATGTCAGTTTCGCCGAGTTCGCTTCAAGCCGGATGGAAGACCTCGAATCCTGGCTTGCAGACGATCAACTCGAAACTCCGACTTCCCAAACCCATCGCAGATACTCAAACATACTCAAAACCATGATTGCTTGTGTCATCGCTTCCGCGGGAGCCTCGGCATGCTTCCGCAAACCCTTCCGCACGCTTCTGTGCCCAGAGCCCCGGAAGAGTTTCCGTACGCAAGCAATTGTTAGTAAGCGCAAACATGCTTCAACGCCCTTTAACCAGAACCAGCACGAGAGTCACTAGGGGTCGCTAGCAGTGCGAGCAGCATCTAGCACCCTTCACCAGTGCGCGCCGAAGTGGGCAATTCAATTTGGGCCCAAGTTGTAAGCCAAGGAAGTTTGGCCGAGGCATGCCCGGGCCTCTCAGCAATTGCCCGAAAGTTTCCCGGAAGTTCCTCAGCTGCAGGGTCTGCTGAACGTCTGGAAGACATGAAGTTGCAGATCCTCTGTGCGCAGCAAACCCTTCCGCAGCCTGCAACTTGGCTCATTCCCTACTCTCTCTCACTCTCTCGCAGACTCGGGTTTGTCAGCTGTCCGTAGCCAGAAAGGCAGTGATCTTGGAGCTGTGCCCCACCGCTCAAGTCAAGCGGTGTACTGTAAAGCTCTTTGCTGAAACATTTTGCTGACAGGCTTCTGCAGCAGTGCCGTCACCTGAGGTACCCACGCAGCAGACAAAGTGGTTAATGTTGCATCATAACTTCAGGTGTCCTTTGCTCGGCCACTGTAGTCACAGCAAATACTTGTCAGTGTTCAGGGATGCCCCGCTGTTAGCCTCATCGTCTGGGCAGGACTCGACCAAGGACTCCAGGGCCTCGCCATCTCACAATCAGGACGGTAGTTGGCGTCCACGGTGCCAAGTTGCACTGTTTGCCACAGCGAACATACAGCCAATTCTGACATTCAATGCGAGAAGGAATTTGCAGGACAAGTTGCAGTCCGGCCTGCAGGGCAAGGGCCTCTGCACCTGGCGAGTTGACAAGGTCTGGGTCAGCCCCAGAAGCCAGGCGGCACACCTCAGCCAATGCTGCGCATGCTTCGAACGTGCGCGACGGCTTGTGGCAGCGAGCTCAACGTCTCCTCATCGTGCTAGAAATCCGCCGCCGTACTGGGTCCGGTGCCGAAGCTGAACGGGGGGAGGGGTTCATATGGTTTCACATTCCCGAGCACCCAGCAGGGCCCAGCAGCGCGGCATGTACCAAGGCAAGACTCACGCGAATAACTTCCAGTCTAGATGTGCCAGGCGACTGCAGGCATCGTCTTGCGACAAAAACTCCAGCTATGCCCCGCAGCTTGAGGCAGCACACCGGGCAGTAACCTCAAAAATCAACTTTCAGGGCATTGGCCGAATGTATGCCAATGTGTGCTGTGTGGTCTCTTGGAAGACGGCTACCCGGCACAGGTCTGAGGTCCAGTCTGTGCAAAGGCAAGAGGGGTTGGAACTGCTAGCCGACTCATGCCGGCCCAGTCGCAGCATGTTGAGAAAAGTATGAAAATACATTTACTAAATCTCCATTTTTAGAGACATCACGTACCCGGAATCCGACAAGCGGCGCCGTGCAGTTGGCCAGCACGTTGTACGAGCTCAGCGCCACCGACTCCAGCAGACGACGTTGCACAGCCGTAGCCTGGACAAGATCGATCTGAGTTCCACTGAGCTCCACAGTATCTCCGGGACAGCCGCCCTCCGCCATGTGCACCGAGCCTGCTGCTCAGGCAAGTGGCGGCAGAGCACGCGCATGAAGCGCCGAGAAGCCTCAGAATAGCGTGTTCAAACCAGATGACCTGTCCAGGCCTTGCTCTCCCGGCGGCGCCCTTGCTTGATGTCTACAGTCTAAAGTCTAAAGATCTCTTCAAACCCAATTTGCCGAACCCAATCAGGAACTTCAGGTCCTGCGCACCTCCGCACGCCGCAGGACGGTGTCAACAGAAGGCAAGCTTCCTTTGCCAGGACGGCAAAAGATGATCAATTTATGCGGATCATGCGTAGACAACAACACAACGCGGATAAACAGAACGCCCAGCGGAGCAGCACCAAAGCTTGATGGGATGTCAGGATGCCTCCCTCCAGATCCGTCGACAAACCCTCCACGAGCTCTGGGATGGTGTCTGGCAATCCCTCAGGCTGACATGTCGTGGACTTGACATGTCGTGGACTTTCTTATCTTTCTTCTTGCTTTCGCAGACATTGGCACTCAACACTCGTGCTGTATGATAGCGCGTGCAAGGCGCAAGAGCTTTCGCGAGCTGCTCCGAAACCCAGCTGCAGTCGCCCGGCGCCTCGAGCGCATCAGCAAAAGCTCCCAAGACCTGCCAGCACTTGCAAAAGAAGGCGAATCAGAGAGGAGACGGGGTCTCACATAACTTGCAATTCGCTCCTCGAAGTGCCCGCTTCCATGCTGCTTGAAGATTGTGGCTGCACCTCGGTGCAGTGATCAAAGGCGAAAGCAAAAAGCCTCAGGTCATGACGCTTTGGACTGGTCGCATTGTTGTTATGCTACTTGCCCACAGCCAAAGCGTCGCTGCAGCAACTTGCTGCTGAGGTCTTCTGCTCCTTTGCAATTCACACGCATAAACATATCTTTGCAGCGGTCGGCGCTGCATTTGGAGAACCGAAAGGTCTGGAAACCTACAAGCTTACAAGATCTTACAAGTATTGTGAGACAAGCATGGTGTCAATGGTTTTCAACAGGGCAATTGGCCCGATCAGGGTGTTCAGGGCTCCGGAACCTTTGCCCGAGGCCCGCCAAGGCCATAAGGCTGGAGTGGCAGTGTTGTGGCTTGTCGTGCGTTGTTTGAGGGGCAGGGAAAAGGCATGCAGGAGACCGGAAAGCATTTTTACCCAAATCGGCCCTGATGATCCCCCTCAACGGCAGCAAGCCAAACTGGCATCACGATGTCCTTCGTGCTGGTCCGGCTGAGCTTGCTTGGCTTTTGCCAGGCTCATTGCTGTGTAGGCCAGCAGCTTCGGAAGCACATATGGGAGCCACCTCAGCAACCAGCGACGTTTAGAAACATTGAACTGCCCGGGACAAATCGAGGACGACTCCTGCTCTTCGTGCTCCGGTTTCCTGCATGGCCCTTGCTTGATTTTTCCATGGCCATGCAAGGGTCTTAGCAAAGACACACTTCGGGAAGGGCTTTAATTCACGGCCCAGCGGAACTGTTCCACTGTCCTTGTTTTTCTCGCTTGAGTATGTGTCATGGTCTCCATCCGACGACCGGCAGGTTGAGCCAAGGCGCGGTGACGCATTCAGCGTAACATTCTGCAGCGATTTGGCAAATTCAGTTGCTCTGCCTGGCTGGCTGGCGACAAGTTTGCATACCTCAGCTGCCACGCCGGTGCCATGCATTTGGCTGAGGCTGGACTGTGGGAAGGGTCGGATCGAGAACAGGGAGTGCAGCAGCCGCCAAAGCCACAAAAGAAACCTGCTCCCTTCGCATTGTCCCTGGATTGCACGGGGACATGGAACAACTGGCCAGTGTGGACTCAGCTTTGAAAGAGGGCAGGGGCGTCAGACTGAGGCATCGTCCCAGATTGAAGCGTGTCATGCTTTTGGTGCTACGGTTTGCGTTGGGGGACATGAGAGTGTCGTAGAGGTGCCGGGCTCAGCAATGGTTGGGTTGCTCGGTTCCGGGCGTCTTGGCTAATAGGCCTGAACATTGACATTTGGAGTTGCTGCAATGCTGCAGAACACTTCAATATCGCCCCGACATCAAGGGTCGACCCATGCAAAAGACTACAGCGCCAAGCATCCCCGCAGCCACTCCTAGCTGAGGCGCCACAACGACATGCGAAAACAAGAGTTTAGGTCCTAGGTTGAACACGCCGAACCGCAGTTGCGGCGTCCACAAGTGCCAATCTACACAAGTGCGGATCTGCTTCAACGATGTGTAAACTGTAGGTGGTGAAGATCCTGCGTTGGAGCGATATGCTAAAAGGCCAAGGAAGCACGCTACATTGTAAATTGCTGAGTATGTCTGTTTTCACCGTCGTAGTACATTTACACCCCCTCGCATTTGATACATGCAGCTGAAGCACGACATCTACCAACGATGCCACGCACTTGTCGGTGGCTGGTTTCACCGACCTTATCTTATCTCGCAGCCAACATCACATGGCAACAGCGGCACCCAGCCAGGAGGCTAATTACGCAGCAACTTGGAATACGGCAACTCTGCATACCATGTCTGTGCCCAGGCAGCGTGACCTTAGAGCAGATGCTACAGTTCTTAACGATACAACCAACGGTCGCATACTCTCGCTAAGGCGCTTCCTCCGTCACCATTCGACCCACCACCAAGCAGCGCATCCCTCAGAGCCATAAATGCTTCTTTTGAGTTGCCATCGCCCACGCCAAGGGACAGGTGCCTTAGTTTCATTAGCTCCGCAATGTGCACAGAATGTCCCCCAGCACTGTCCATCGGAGTGGTGGTATGGTGGGCCACTTGTGACTGCAACTTCCTGAGGTGATTAGCCGAAACGCCCAACCAGCTCCACCGCCTTGCAGAACATCTTTGGTCTTTCGCTTTGCATCTCGTCGTCACCAGCTTCTCTGTACGGGTGTATGGAGAGAAGGCTCGCGAGGGATCCAGCCAGCGCTGGCTGCAGCTGCTTAGGCGAGAGGCTGCCCTGACAAAATGCAGCGCCGTGAAAGATGCACTGAGAAAGGAACAATGGCCCGCACCGCAGTCCTGTGTTCTCGAGCTCCTATTGCCACTTGGCAGGCTGGAAGGGTGACGAAGGTCGATACATTGAGCCTCAATGTTTCCACCCTCTTGGAGCCAACCACCGCCACATGGCTTCCCGCGCCTGGATTTACAAATCCGTCGTTTCAGTCGGCTCCGCAAAGCCAGCAATTTGAGTGCCCTCCTCCCCCGCCACCGGCACCCGGGCCACTGAAACAGAGGAAGTGCTTTTTCTGCACACGGCGTTTTGAAACTTGGTCCTGAGATGTGCTGAGCCTTCAGGTGAACTAATTGAATACAGGCTTATCACAAATTTATACGAACCCTGTTACTTCTAATTGCTCGGGGGGCTCGCAACATCAAACTGAAAACAGTAAGACAAAGAGGGGCCCGATCGCGCTAAACTGGATAAACAAAATGGTCACGAAGAGAGGAGGCTTTTGTGTAGAGCGGCCGTTGAGACTTTGATGAACGAGTCATCACACGTGCAATGCCAGCCCCCAAAGGCACGTGATGCCAAAGCTTTTCTACATTGCCGTTCAAAAACCATTGTCAGAACAGGTGTTGCACTCGTTTGGTTCCCGCATACTACAGACCAGTTTGACATTTCAAACATTTCAGCACACAGGTCGTCACCAAGTGCTGTGCATGTGCACATTGGGCCGAGCTGATTCTTGGGTTCAAAGTCTTCCGCATCTCGCCAGCACCCCGGCTTCTAAACACAAGCATGAGAATTGAGTGTGGTATCAACAAATACGAAAAAAGGGGGCGACTTTTGCGACTTGTGTTGCCGCGCCTTGGGCCTCATCAGAAGGAGGTCCACCAGGAAGGACAGTGCATCGACGCCGAAGGCGCTTTCGGTACTTTCAGGCTTGGGTGGTACAAGAAATGCATCCATGATTGGCCGCCATGTGCACTCAAACATCACCTCGGATGCGGTCGAGCTAGGATGGTAATGGCTGGGGGTCATGTGGGGCGTTTTGTGAATGAACTGCAGCAGCTGCCTCCCGATTTTAAGCAGTCTCGCCACTCGGTGTGCCCGGGCCATGGCAAGCAGAAGCTGACGAGCACCGTCAGAAGCCAAAGACATGCGGCCTGACACATTCCATGTGCTCCAAAAGCCCCGCAAGAATCTACTGTACGATGGCCTCGGGAAGCATCCTCTGCAATCTCCTTCAATTCCGGAGATACCTCATCTGGACACGGTGGGGGGATGTGGTTGGTGGACGTCGGATCGCGCGTGTACGGTTAAGAGCAGCGACTGACCTTGCATAATGCCCGCGCATTCTGTTAGGATTGCCAGGGAGCTCTTCATTGTCTCCCTCCCGAGTTCGAAGTTTGAAATTAGCAATCCCATGTGGTGCATTCGAGTTCTCTTTTTTGATTGACTCCGATTGCCATTCTGCATTTACATTCTGCAGGCCCGGGCCGCTCACTCAAATGTTCGCCTTCGAGCAGAATCAACTTGGCACTTCTCTTTGCTGTGCGTGCGAGGGCGCGCTGTATGTTTGCTCTGGCCGCTGGCCGCACTCACCCCGGCACCTGAAAGGGAAAAGTATGAAACACGGGCATGGAAAAAGCTCGGGCAAGGGGGCCCCCACAAGATCGAGCCATGACAGTGGAGCTGCAAGAACTCAGAGAAGCTGAAAATGAGTGTAAGTTAGTATGGCCGCTGATTTTGGCTGTCGGACTTCGTCTTTTCAATTGTCATAGACGCACGCATGCGAGAAACACTGTCGCCCACAATTACGCGGACTACGGCCTTCACTGTCTGTCACGTGTCATCACGTCGGCTGACATGGAGTCGAACTGTCCCCAAGCCCTGTGCGCAGCAGTTTGGATTACACATGATCACTCTGCCAAAGCGAGCGGCATCCTTTGATAACCAATGGGGATGCAAGCCGGCGGGGACATCTTTCATGGCAATCTGCAAAGCTTTGGTGACCTCGATACTCTGCCAACTACGAGAGGATGGGTCCATGAGTATGCGGAACGTCTTACTACCGTTTTCTGTAGTTTGCTGCTCAGGTTGCAAGCGAGCGGCTGCAGCACAGAACTCCGACCCGCATGTCGTCTTTGTGCGGCACACCTGGTCTCTGGCGGTGGCTATGATGTCCTTGAGGAACTTCTGTGCGGTTTGTGGCCCATACTTCCTTGGCGCAGCGGTTAAATATGGAGAAGGGTGCTGTTGGACAAATGCATTTCATGCTGCTGCTGCTGCTGCTGCTGCTGCTGCTGCTGCTGCTGCTGCTGCTGCTGCTGCTGCTGCTGCAGCTGCAAATGATTTCATGACGGTTTCAGTTCCTGCTAACCTTCTCTTGCCACCGGGCGTCTCCAGGCAAAACTGCAGTGTGCTCATGGCTTGTTCGACTGTGGCGTCGCTGTCCGCCTCGATGTCCTTGCCTCGGCACAGATCACGCAAACGCGGACAGCACTTCCCTGTGTCGAGGATTGCCGATGTGAGTATCACTGATGTGAGTATCACTAAGTTTCTCGGTTGGTGACCAGCACACAAAGACACAGCACGGCACTGCAACGCACGGCTGATTCAGGAGAATGATGAGCGAGAACCAGGACAAACTACGGTACACTACAGCAGGGCTTCTAGCTCAATCTATCCTCGAGAAGGCACCATGTGGTGCCACATGGTCAGGATTTCCAGAATCCAAAATCAAACCGTAGCAACCACCTCCAAGGACTTGCGGGCAACCGTGAAAGGAGTCTGGGCCTGTGTCAGAGCTAGAGCCGGCGCTGTGGGGAGGCAAGCCCCCTTTGCAACCCTCGTCAAGATGCATCGGTGCGCATCAGCATCAGCAAATATCAGAAAAGGAGAGAGGTGGCCATGAGACAAGACAGGCTCCGGGCACCCGACCGCCCCCCACGCGCGCGCGCGCGATGCTAAGAGGCATCAACCCGCGTGTATGCGGCTGCGCGTGAGTTTATTCTGCTGCAAATGAGTTGAGCCCTTGGCCTCAAATGCTCCGGCGTGCTCGCGAGGTATTTAATGATTGCGAGAGTTGGGGCCGAGGTTGGCTCGCTACCTGACATGTCGCCTGATCCGAGCCGTGGCTGGCTGTGGGCGACTTATGTTCCTGCAAGCCAGACGTTTCAAACGTACAAGGACAGGCACGCAGGTCAACGCAAAGAGATACTGGTTGCATTTGGTTGCCAAGCAGCTTGCATCAAGAAGGAAAGGCACAACCTCATATCAGGTCGATTCTACATGGGTCCTTTTGAACACATCTTGCCACTCCAACATGCACTGCATGATCCTCTGGTGATTCTAGCGGCATAGCTCGCCAATCGATCGCTGGAACACAGCGCCTGCCGACAAACAGCCCAAAATGAAATCCCCCAAAGCAGTGGAATGTCAAGAACGCCGCGAACGTTGACAAAGTGCAGACAATGCCAGTCGTACCAGCTACTATAAACTCTCAGATCTTTGATTTGGGCTCCAAGCACACCTGTGACAAACCTTGGCGAAGATCTTCCCCTGTAATGCCAATCTTGTCGCCCTTTGGGGGCTCAAACCTTGGAGCAAAGAAAGCACAAAACGTCCGCAAAACATCTCAATTTGCATCTGGGAACCGAAGCCAGTGTGCTATGGCTAGGAACCAAATCAACCAAAGCAGAATGAAACATCATGGCATGCTGCGTGATCGGGAAGTATGACGAAAGTGTCTCAAACAGCGTGATGACTGCTTCATTGGTGATGCACTCTGGTGGGAAATCTTGGAAGGCCTGGCAAGAAGGACATGCAATCTCCCACACGCTGCATTGTCGATGAGGCTGGCCACGCACGAGAAACGCAATGCTCGGCACTGGCCTTCTTCACGACTATGAAAGACACCAGCAAATTTCGGGGATCTCGCTCTTCCTGTGCCCATCCGCCACAGGAAGATATAGTTGCGACCGTGTCAGGAGACACATGGTCATGTCAAGGCAAGTCTCCTCAATGGTGGCTGCCACGCCCTCGCCAAGCTGTGGCCCAAGCATGGCCAGGTCTGACTGCCATTCTTCCATGAGGAGGATGGCCTCTGCGCAGCAACGCGAACCGGCCTTTTTTGACAATGCAAACCAAGACACGTCAAGTGGCTGTGTCCAGCACCATTTTTCTAACAGCCTGCGCACTGCGGATTCAACAACAACACAAAGCACAACCCAATGAACGCTCGATAATCTGTCATTGGTGTTGTTTGGCCTGCGTGTGGGAAGGCGTGTGAACCTCTGCAAGCATGCAAATCTGTCCACGATGTCCAAATTCCAAGACTCGGCACTGCATTGAGGGCGATGTGGGGCTTCCACCTCCTTGAAGATTGATCGCGCCAGGTACAAGGCAAGCGGCCTCACCAGACGCTGTGAACGGGATCACTAGTCATGTCCTATTCCCAGAGTCTGGGTCCGATGCTCCTCGGCTCCGTCCGGCAACTCCTTCTTCAGAGTACGCACTAACGCTCCCTGCCGCCGCAGCAGAGCCAGAATTCCTTGGGAATGGCTTCGGTTTGTTTGGATTTGAGTCTGACCTTCTCTACATTGGCAGTTGGCAGATGAGAGAAGCATGCAGCTGGAGGGGGCCCCATAAACCGTTACAACCTAGCTGATCGCCCGACGTTCAGTTGTGCAAACCCACAGCGATTGAGTGGAGCTGCCCAAACTCATTGCGGCCGCTTCGGAACTATGCAACACAAATGCTGGAATGACTAGTGTGCGCAATATGATTCGAGGAAAACCACACAACTCACACAGTTGCCCATCTGAAGCTGCTCAACCAACTCCTGCCGCAAGGATGCCGCCGACAGCGCCCTCTACGCACTGCCAATCGCTCAGCTTGGAAGAGAAGAAGCTGGCAAACGTCTCCTTGCAAATGGACCGTGCGGCACAATAATCAACAATGACTGCCGAAAAGCAGTAGCCGCACTAACAAGAAGAAATGCCAGACTATCTTGGACCGAAATCGAGAGCTGCAAGGTCAGGACGTGTGCAGCACCCGGCTTGGTCCTCTATTGTAGATTGTAGATAGGGTGCTTTACAGAAGGAGTTTTGGCTGTGTTGTAGATGTCTGAGCGACTATGATTCCGATGAGGGGCCAGGACATCTTAGCAAAAATCGCTGAGGCGGCTTTTTCATTTCGGAGTCATGCTTCAGAACCAGTCATTGTTTCCATAGTGTTGCTCAGCACTGGCATCAACAGCATGAGCAGCATACCCCTCAAAACAAGCATGCCATGCGCACGCGTAAGTGGTTTTTGGGAGGCTACACCCTCCTGCACTTACGGGTATGTCGAAGCACAACTACATTCAAAAGCCTGCGGAGGTTGAAGTGGCAGCTTCACAACACACAAACAAGCAAGCAAACAAACAAACAAACATTTATAAGTTGCGACATAGGCGCCACATGCTTGAAGTTCATCTTGAGCTGTGCCACGTCTCTGAGGCACTCCGCTAGAAATTGAATCGCATGCCTCGCAGTCGAGGAACGAAATCAACGAACCAAGGCATTGAAGTGCACTGCTGAATGCACTGCTGTTCGCTGTCCGCTCGCCTACGTCCAGTCGGATTGCTGGCATCATTCATCACCTGACACGCTCCGAACGTCACAAGGGCTTGCGTGACTACTGCTGGCACCATGTGCAGCTTTGAACTGGTCAACTCGCGGCAATGACTCAATGGCTTTGGCTCAGGTAAGCAACTTGTAATTCTTTCTGGTAGCGCATCGGCTGTTCATGGAAGTGTGGGTACAGGGGGACGGTTCGCAGGATGCCCGGCCTTCTCCAAGTGAAGGACAATGTCCAGCAGCTCGATGCGCTTGGCATCCAAAGCTTCCAAAACTTTTTTAAGCGTCACCTTCCATGCTCTGATGCTGTGCAGATGCTCTGCTGGGGAAGAGCTATTCACGTTCTTCATGGTGGGCCAGTCTTGGAACTGAAGACACATTGCGATTCCAAGTCCTAGCTGCATACGTTGCAGCACTTCAGTGTGGCATCTTCGTGCCGGCAAGCATTCTGTCCCAGCTTCGTCGTGCCTCTTTGAGCTCATCGGTTATCAAATCAGCATCCACATACTGATCGATAGCCTTCTGAAAGCACGTGGAGACTCTGAGCTGCACTGACGAACTACACCGAGATCAAGGCCTCCCTAAGCGTCTCATCAATGCTTGCCATGTTGTCTGGCCTTGGACTCGGATGTGATTTCAGCTGTGTTCCAGTACATGTGACCGCAGGTCCGTTCCAGCTGGTCGGCTCGTAAGGTCTGGGCACAGCACGACTGGAAAATCGCTCTGAAAAATGCTACATGTCCTATGAAATAACTTGAGGGGCGCAGAAGCTGAAAAAGGCGAAATCTGGGACAACAAAGACTCAGTGGCGTGGACGATCTATTGTGCATGGGCCATCGCGACAGTGGAGACATCGATCAGTTAAGAAGAAAAAAAGGTCGGAGCCATGAATCACATGAGTCAAGACCGGCCGCCTCAAGTCGAGCATATGCGTTGGAAATCAAGGCCTCGCAAGTCAGCCAAATGCAAACTACCGGTCTTCAAGGTCGCTCCGGTCTTGAGCATTCTTGCATGCAAGGCGTTTCGCATGTTCTCATTGCTGACCTGACTAATTACTCGAGGCCCTGAGCAGCAAGGAAATAAGGCCGCTTGCCAGCTGCTGTTCGCCAAACCCCGTCGGAGCACTCCTGTTCACATGTTCCTAACCGGAGCCTAAGCCTACCTAAGTGCCATCAGTCCCGTTTGCCTGCGGATGGATTTTGAGAAGACCTTGAACAGCGCCATGTCCCTGAACTGAAGCTTGGCAAATGCCTTACACCATCGGAGTAGGCTCTCTGCAACTGAACAAAATGCTGTAGCACACTGCTCAGGACCCAACATTGAGGAACAAAGCCAAGTCCTTGTAACATGGAGTCGCTTGGTTTTGGTGCAGGGTGGGGTGGCAGGGCATGGCTGTGATGGGGGGTGTTGTCGGAACCAATACCAGTCCCGCAGCCTTCGCAAGCAAATCTGGACACCTCTGGCTCGTTGTGTATTTCGTAGTGCTCATCATGGAGCAGTGGTCTGTCCAAGGAAACCTCCAGATCTCCCGTGATTGGTTCCATGGTTTCCATACTCCTGTTCACCGATGCATTTGGCCGAGGCTGTTGCTGCCAAATCTACGCAACAGCCCGGCGGAGCCCGGGTCGACATTCGGGAACTTCGGAACCGTGCGCAGCTCGTGGAGACGCTCAGGCCCGTGCTCGTGGCTCGAAATCGTCTGTGCAATGGATAGCCTGGTCTGACCTTGAAACCGTTGCTGTTGTCATTTGTGTGGCTTTCTTGCGACTGAGCCATGGCCTATGACCTGCAGCACATGCGGCACATGCTGAGGTGGGCTAAGTTAGAAGCATGCGATGGAAGACTTCCCGGTCAGGGACTTCCGCCTGGAGAGATGGGAAGATGATGAAGGCTCCAGTTGGGTCACTGCAATTCACTGCATGACCAGGGCCGTCTCTCTGGCAAAACCATTGGCAATGAACGCCATCTGCTTCGGCCTCACGCTCTATGCTCAAGTGAATATTATGGAGCTTGTCAAAAAGGTTATTAGGGCTCGCGCTGCAAGGAACTCGCATGGAAGAGCGTGGCCTCAAGATGAGTTGCAAAGTGACCGAGGCACAGAATCTAGAAGTGGCGCCGGACTTCAGCATACTCGCGCCAGAGCCGCATGTCCTGCAACAATCTGCGGTATTCTGATGTATGCTGCGGTCACGTCCCAAGAGCTCGTCCAGCCTGCTTCTTGGGCCCCTGTGAAGCAATCCGGACGGCCTTGCGTGCAATCCAAGGCATGGGATTGTGGCTTGCATACGTCGTTTGGCAGGCAAAGGACATTCTCCAACAATCAAGACCAGGACCGTGCTGAGTTCCGAGGGCGACATCTGCCTGCGAGGTTTGTAGTTAGGAAGAGCCACAATGCTGCTGACACGGTGCTTCCAACAGAAAGCATGGCCAAGATAAAGGACTCCGACTTTGCACATTTTTCATGCCTTTGCTGGCCTAAGCTTCCGGGAACAAACGCCAGTGTGGCCTACTAGGATTGCGAGAGAAGTGCTGTCCTTTGTCGGAAGTAAAGTGTGGTCAGGTAAATGATCGAACCCTTCCTTGCACCACTCGCCAGATGCTGCATCCTGCCCTGACCAACCGTGCCGGGCCATCAGTGAGTCGTCTAAAGCTGCTCCCTTGGCCCAGAATACAGCAAGTTGAGGCTTCCACCGGACCCTATCGACTCATTGGCTTGCACGTCGGCCATGTTATGCCCTGACATGCACCTCTTTCAGGCATTTCATGCCGAAAGAGGCTGCCATAGGCTGCCCTAGTCCCCCAAGCGCTGCATGATCTCTGATCAGCGCGCAGCGGCTGAAACACCGTGTGAACCAACAACACGAAAGATGCAACGACTAGCCACAAATGTCGGTGAAGGGAGCCAGTGGTTCAGCAAGTCTTGTACCATTAGTTGTTGAATTTAACTGCAAATCTTCCCATCCCTGCTAGACAAAATGGACAACTCTTCTGCATGTCTGCATGTCGACGCTGTATGTCAACAGAATGCGGGTCTGCCTTACAGCAGGGTTGAGAGCCTAAATGAATTCGTAGAATATTCAAAGAGCGGATCTTTTGATCAGGCCAGAGGCCGCCAAAACAACTCTGCACAAGGCAGGCGACTTTTGCTTCTTCGCACTGCCAAAACAGATCTCCCAAAACAGATCTCACCAGCGTAGCCGATTTTAGCACATGCCATCACAGAAGCTCGAGAAGCGCGCCACGTTTGCCAAGTGAACCTGCATCTCCTGAAGCCGAACAGACAGCAGTCTTAGGGCCTTGTAGGGCGAAGAGTTGATAGGGGTGTTAGGCCATAAAGCTTGCAGGTTGCGGCCAAGCAGAGAAGAACCGAAGCGCGAAAGAACACGTCACATAACACAAACTTGGGTAACAAGCAGACCCGACCTGTCCTGGCGTTCGAAATCGACTGTCCAGCAGCACCCGGGTAGCCGCTTCGTCATGGTGCGAAGGGCCCGATTGGCAAGTGCACGTCGCTGGCATGTGTTCCCCTCATCTGCAGGAAGCAAGCTCAACCAGTCGGACAGGGTCACATTCACACGCTTGCCTTCCTCCAGCTTGGGGCGTTGCATCAACACCTGCTCCATTAAGTCCCAAATCGCGTGCTCCAAAATGGAGTCGAGCGGCTCATCTCTGTGCAGGGCATTGTGCATAGCCCTCGGCAAAGGAAAGCCCGTGTCAGCCGAGCGGTGCGTGTACCTTTTCCGAGGATGATGGTTGGGGCCTCGCCCGTGCCCATGTCGAGGATGCTTGCAGCTGGCAACCGCTGCGTGTTTCTGCCCTGATTGTGCTGTACAGGAAGCACCATGGCAGTCGACGGCTCGATTCAACTGCAGGTGGGCTTTGCTTTCTGAGGAGTCTGAGCGCTGCTTTTGATCAGGCCCAAGGCATTCCAGCTTAAGACGTGCCCTGTTCTGCCCGCTTCTTTCCCCGATTCGGTGACTTGGGAAGCCCGGCACGTCAGAAATATCCTTGTAGTCAACCTCGGATGGCTGAGGGAAAGATGGCATCGAAGATCTGAAGCCTATTGGAGATGGCGTGGGAGCCATTTCGACATTGCGCCGGCGTGGCGGCGGAGTGCACGGGGCATCCATCTCAGATGCCTGAAGTCCAAAATCAGAGGCCCACACAGATGTTTGTGGCGATGCCTGGGAACTCTCACATCCCACTGTTACGGTCTCTGGTATTGGCATCAAATGCTCTGCTAGGCTAAGATTGTGTGTGCCTCTAGAGGAAAAATGCTCTGTCTGCAGGTGGGGCAGAACCCCCTGACAACTCATGTTGCCAGTGGGCACATTGCCGGCAAGGCTGCCAGAAGCGGGAGTTGCCACGCCTGCTCCGGTGTAGGAAGAGTCTGCGACGAGCACGCACCACAAGCCAGGCGAGACTTGCTGGGCTGCCAAGGGCATCGAACCAGAGCCAAAGGCTGTGGTCGCACCAGTGGCCGCCTGCATTGCCTGTGCAACCTGCAAGCCTGCAAGGCCTGCAGATCCAGTATGCATGCTTGGGGTAGGTTGAGAGCCCCAAGCAAGGCCCATGTTAGGGTAGTTTGGAACACCAGCAGCAGCTTGCACACATTGCAACTCGCTGGCCGAAGGCTGAAAGCATTGGCGGTCAAGCATCATGGACGGATGATAGTGGATCTCGGATCCAACGCAGGGCTGTGCCATGCTCGTATCTGCTGGGGCCATTTGCGCGGCAGGGCGGGCCATGACGACAGAGCCTGCGAGCGACTCGGGACTCACGAGGGGCACATGTGCCTGCGACAGCTGGTTTGCTGTCAAACCCGCACAGCCCTGATAGGTTTCGCAAAAGGCTGGCGCAACAGCAGATTGAGGTGCTGAATCAGCGATGGCACATATCACGACTGGCATCAAGGTGTTGTCAAGTGATGTGCACCAGGACATCGCTCCGCCCCCACAGCTTGTGCAAATTCGAGGCTGCAGAACAAGTTCTACCCGATTCTACCCTTCACAGGCAAGTGTTTGGGCTTTGTCGCCCTGAGCCAGAAGAGGCAGTCGAGAGAACATTGCCAGTCAGGCGAGCTGCCACATGGTCCCGCATCCCACTTGTCCTTTGATCCACCTACGTTGTCTGAAGCATGCCATGTAACATGGCTTTAGCATGCAGTGGTCCTCGCAGATCTTGCACTGTTCTCCCCTCGATTGGCCTGCATGCAACGCACCTCTACGCATGACAAAAGAAACAGGTCTTCGCATCACGCTCGGTCATGCCTGGCGTTGGCTCCTTGGGAGCATGAAGCCTGCCGCAAAGCGCCGTGCCTTGGCAATCAACTGTCCAAGCAACCCCATCCAGGTTTGACATGTGTAGGTAACCCGAAAGCAAGAATTTCGCAAGCCTGCCATCGGCACGGCAGCAGCTTGGTTGGCCCAATCGAGGGCGGCGGTGAAAATCGTGCCATGGGATGGCTGACATCGAGTTAATCGAGTTTTACATTAGTCTGCCTAAGGATCGTGGTTATGGTTTCCTGCTGTCCTCTGCCCTCTACAGCAACAACATCCTTTTGTTTTGCTTCCCTTTTTCGAGAAACGCGGGTTGTTGTTTGTCTTGTTTTGCTGGAATATGGGGCATTGTGCATGAGCATCTTCTGCCTCCTTCTTTTTTCTTCGGCTTCGCCTACAGTCTACAGGTTACAGGTCGCCCCCGACACACAACGCAGCGTGGCTTCAAACGCTCCAGATTGTATCAGCACAAACCTGTTCTGGAAAGGGCGCCAAGCAACACAATGGCGCGTGAAGAATCACGTGGACTTCATAGGATTCCAAGGAAACCCTGTCAGGGAACCCCCTTCCAGAAGCGTGTCAAACTATCGAGGCCCATTGAGAACCACGGAGTGTTATTGAGGCCCATTGAGGCTCATTGAGGTTGATTGAGCCTCGTTGGGCAACAATGGATTTCGTTGAGGCGATGGTGAGTATCCGACTCGCGCTTGGTCAGGAACGCCTGAGAACTAAACCGCCTCAACGCAAACCACTGGCGCTCAATGAGCCCTCAATGGGCCTCAATTCGCTTCAACAGGCCTCAATGGCCCACCATGTCCCTTCATGCACTCCTTGAGGGGGTTCCTTGAGGGTGTTGCCACAGAATCCTGTAAGGACTGCGTTGGCAGTGTGTGACGATCGAACAGCTGATGCGAGAGACTAGCTTTCGGCTGGACACTCCAAGACCACGGTGCTGACAGCGAGGGGAGGTTCTGTGAATGCGCAGGGTGCTATGGCTTGGGGTATGCTGCAAGGGGCGGAAAAGTTCCGGAAAAGTTCGAGAACTTGGACTTTATTCAGGCGATCGGGAGCTTCCGACTGTGAGAGTGAGGACGTGAGGTCAAAAGCCTTCGCACACTTTTCTCCGTTTTTAAAATTCCCTACCACGATGGCACACCCTGGGTTTTGCGCCGCAAGTGTGCGCTCTGTCTTCATGCTTCTCGCTGTCCTCCCTTTTTCTCCAAGGTTGGTACACCTCTTCGTCCTTCTCCTCCCCCTCTTGGCTTGTTCGGGTTCTGACAAATCCCTGGCTCCGGAATCACATCCGGAACGTGGTCTTCTTCGAGGCGTTACGCTTGAAGAATCCTGCTTGCATGTCTCACAATGTCTCCATATGTCTCTCGAAAGCCGACGTTGCCACATTGCATTCGCATCACTTGTGCAGTCAAGGCGACGGCCTGAATCATTAGCAGTGTCAATTCGCTATTTGAAGCTCATTGGAAATCGTAGCTAGGTAGCCCCCTCCAAGACAGAAAACTCGGCTCTACGCAAGGGGCGCTGGACATTCCTCTACAAAGATGTGGCAGCAAACATGGTCCATCATTCCATCATCTTCTGCGCCAGCTGAACTGGCAGGGCGGCTGTTCTCCGATGCTTCCACCACCCCCACTATCTCAAGACACTTGAGATCGGGGCCACGAAAGCTAGAAACGCGGCTGACAAGCAAGCTTTTTTCGAGTCAGGCAGGAGAAGTGCGGCCGCAGCAGCGCAGCCGAGCAGGACGGGACTGCCGAATCGGTGTAAGCAAAACGAAACATGATGGGACACGCAGCTGTCAAGAGCTGTCGGAAGCTGCGCATTCGAATGCTCGTCCCGGGGCCTTTCTGCTCGACAACAGGGCCTGCCCAAGACGGAGGGGGAAGCCTGAAAAGGGGGGGGGGGTGGGGGGCCAAAAGGGGGGGGGGGGGGGGGGGCCCCCCCCCCCCCCTCCCCAGAAATCAATTAAGGCGACCCTGAAAGGAGGGGGGGGGGGGGACACCTTATGATTGATTTTGTCAATCCTATAAGGGGGGGAGGGGGGCCCCCCCCCCCTCCACAGCCCTTTATCTCTCTGATTTTCAGACCACTTAAGGGTCGGAGTCGCTTCTTGACCCAGCTGAACACTAGAGAGAATTCTTGTAAACGACAACTCTCGCGAGCTCCAAGGAGCTGGATTTCGTGATTGATGGCACTCTTTTTTGCCTCCGCCGACCATGGCCTGGCTGGCCATGTCCTGATGAGAACTCCGAGTGAACTCGGCTCGCTACGCCATCTTGATCTTCAACAGCTCCGACACCGAGCCAGCCTTGTCGGGCTCCTCCGGCTCCTCCGGCTCCTCCGGCTCCTCCGGCTCTGTGCACCGGAAAAGCTTGTAGAAGTCATCTCGCGACCAAATCGGGAGCGGTCATCGGTACTCCTTCGGAAGTTGGGGTTGGGGTTGAAGAGCTGATAGCTATTCGGAAGCTCGCTGAAGTTGAAGTTCTGCCACTTTACTGTGAGTTGTACCTGCCCTGTGAAAGTAGTGTTTGTCGAAGAGCCTCCGCAGCAGAACACCTTCGCAGATCTGTTTCGTTTGTCGGCTGGGCCCCAAGTTTGCCTGGCCTGGTCTCGGCGGCACAGATATCTGCGTCCACGGGCGGCCGGCTGGCCATAGGTGTAGATCTAGGTCGACTGCGCCCACGCGAGCAGGTGCGGTTGTCTGCTTGCGTTGGAGTCTGCGCAGGACTTCTGCTTGGTGACACTGCTCGGCTCTGCCAGCTCATCAATTCTTGTAGGAGCCTGGTTGTTGTGATCTCTGAGTCGGTGGCGTCGCGGAAACAATTTCTAAAGCTGCAATCGCGGAGGCGAGCACGGAGAAGCTTCAGATGCTGCTCTCGCAGAAATCTCAACGACTTGTGGTTCGAAGAGTTCGAAGCTGCACCGGTGTGGGTTTTTGTTGTGCGAGGTTCACCCTTCGGCAAGCGGCTGCAAGTCCCGCTTTGTGGACCCTCCAGCTGCTCTGCTGCCTGCAACTCGCAGCCTGAGCCATTTCAGAGACGCTCCAAGGCATGATCGAAGTTCACATGTCATATGTCTCGAACCCCACCAGGGCTGCTACGCAATTGCGATAGAGCATGTCCCTGACCTTGGCCACAAATTCTGAAGAACAAAACATCACAAAACATCACAACACAAAGTCTCTAAGCAGCGTTCGTTCAAGTGCCTCTTCGGCAAATGCCTCCAGTCGTTGTGTGGCAGTCCGATGCATTGGATGGCTTTGGAATTGGGAAGATCTACTTCTGAGTGGCGCACCAGTCTCACACAGGTGGCTTCACTCGCGTGCTCTTCAGAAGACAAGTGGCGCTGCGCTGCCTGCAGCCTGAAGCACGCCCTGTTAATTGACCGTGACGCTATCATAAGACAGCTTTGTCTGGGCAGAAAGCTCTCGGTGAAGCCACTGAGCGCGTGCCTGCCGACACATGAAGTCGCGAAGCAAGTTCGATGCTCCGATGTCATGGTGTTTTGATGTTTTTATCATGGACCATGAGCCTGCCTGGCTAGCCTGTTCTTCCTGCAGCTCATTCTGCAACGTGATCCTGTCCTCGATGGCCGACTCTTGTGCTCGTCTCACCTTGTCAGGCTTGGCTTTGCCACCGCCCGCTAAAGGTTTTTAGGGTGTGGTCTGACCCGGCAGGCCTGGATGCAAACGGGTTTCGACCCTCACTTCTGAAAATGTCATTGTAGGGCATACCACAATAGGATGTGCCGAATGCCTCACGAAGCTCTTTTGCCTGTGCATGGTTTCTCTGCTCGGCTTGCTCCTGTCAGAGTTCATACTGCGACCAGAAGCACAACCTATCACAACCTGCATCGCTCACCCTGTTCCTCGACTTCCAGAAGCCTGGCCAGCAAGGAATCCTTGGCTGGTTGAAGGATTGTGAAAGAGATGCCCGCCAGGGAGCTGACAAGAAACCTCCTCAGGCTAGCACGTGATCTTGCCCGACTTCCGCGACTCTCTGCTTGTATTTCTGCACCTCTGCAATCGCACATGTTCCACGAACTATACCATCGTCGCAGAAACGTGGCCCTAAAATTCCCCTAAACTTTCCTGAAAAGCTCTTGGGACCTATTTGGGGTCCTCCATGGCCGTTGCAAGCTCGTCAGTTTCTTGGGGAACTCCTGCTGGAGCCTGCTGCCTTTTTTCCTTTTTTTCCTGGGCGCCTTGGAAACAGTGGCCAAATGATAACCTCTGCTACTTCCTTGGATCCGTTTGCCCAAGTGGCCCCTCCAGGAATCCCTGAGACACCCCTGACAAGCTTCAATTGTCTTACACTTGGACTTGTTGTTGAATGCCAGCACCCCAAAGCTCCTGAGAGAACCTTGGGAAATGTGTCACATCGCTTTCATCAAACAGTTATGGTCGCACAGCGAAAGCTCCAGCTCCAATAGCAACCGGACCAGCGTCTTTCTTCAAATGTGCCACGGACGCTCTTGAGCAATGCGGCAACCAAGGGCTCTTGTGGGGCACATGAAGCCCGCTGCAACGCAACCAAATCAGCTTTAGTATATCAGAGGACCTTGAGCTCTGAGCATGACCAATAAGGCCGGCAATGCAGGTAGCTCCAGCCGCAAAGGTTGTCGGCTCAAACCCCGCTGACTCGCATCAGCACGTTCAAGACTCAGAGACGACTCCCCTCCCCCCAGGTTGTGTACCAGGTGCCCATTTTCTCCGCATGACTGCCCGGAGATCTGCAAGGGCACGCGATGACGATCTTTGTAATCAACGGGCCTGTTCCGCAGCGCGAACACTATGGTTCCTCCCCCCCCTCCACCCAACCTTTGCCGCACCCGGGGGAGGGAGGCTCTGCCGCTACCAGGTAGAGCTCTGCCGGTCTCCTGGGGGACTGCTTGATTGATGTTCGGGCGCTAAACCAAACTGTTGTGCCCACACATCGTGATGCAGTGGGCCTTCTGTTATTTGGGGCCTTTAGTTTAGTGACGACTGGATCTTCAACTTTGCAAGCTGGGAGAACTTGACTTCAAGCAGGCTAGTGGGAACATTGGCACTCAGGGGGGACTTGGGCTGATAAGACCCAGCTGGTCGTCCACCCTGACATGTGGCCTTCTTCCGAGACCGCGTGGAAAACACCTTTGTTTGAAGTGCAAGTGGGTCGTCAAGGGTGAGTGCAGTGAACCTACGGGAGCCATTCCGGCGTTACTGCGGTGCCTTCGGCTTGTCCGACTGGGTCGTTCCGCCCGTCGTGTCACTTAGGCGGCTAGGTGGGTCATTGTTATCATGGTTGCGCCAACAGAGGCCGCCGACTGGATTTGCCCTCGTGTCGCGATTGCCCTGCTGAACCGGTACACCTGTAGCAAGTCGAGCTGGTACGGGGCATTGAGCCTCACCATGCTCTGTCTTGTCCTCGATCGTTGAAGCGGGGCTTGCGCTTGTCAGGATTGGGAGTGGCGGAGAGGGGGCGAGGCACGTTGCATACTGGCAGGCGCAGACCTTACAACTTAACGGTGGAGACGCAAGGGTTAAGGGGGGCATGAACAGCGGGGTGGTGGGGGTGGAGGGGGGGGGCGGTAATTATGAAAATGAGATGGTCTCCCTGTCCATTGTTCTGATTTAGAGGGTCAGGGGTCGCCGCTATTTCTTCGCGTGCTCCCTTGGGTTCTTTGCGTGCTTGCCTCTTGCCAGTCAAGGCTGCGGATCTGAGTCAGACACTTAAGCCACTTGCCTGAGCAGCTCCTTCTGCCTAGAGGATACTTGTAAAATGCATTGGGAGGCCCTAGGAAGGGGTCATGAACACCCACGAACCCGGACATGTCAGGCCATTGATGTGTGTGCACATGGACTCCACTGGGATCCACTGGGACTGGGTATCACAAACATACAGAAACCAGTTCGGGCACCTGCATCTCAGCTGCCTCCAACTTGCTCTGCAGCTCTTCCTGCTTTGCCAGCATGGCCTCCTACAAAGACAAAAACAAAGCATGCTGCAAAGCTCCGTTGCTTCTCACGATGGATCGGTGATGCTGGATGGAATTGCAAGTCGATTCGGAGCATGCGACCCTGCAGCTTATTTGAGCTGTTTCCCTTCGAGCCTCCTGGGTTCCAGATCCGCCTTCAGTCATAGTGTTATAGTCTGCAGGATTGTCAACCTGTTCAGCTCGGCCATGGTCTGGTACGCTTTCCAGAACTTCGGATTTGTCAACCTTGCACGTCCGCTGCTGCTGCACAGGGGAGAATGGTTGCCTTTCGATTTCTTGACTGTCTTCTGACGGCTCATGTGCTGAGCACTCTGAGCTTGCGCTCTCCGAATCGTCAAGAGCTGGAACCGCTGCTTCGGGTGATGGAGATTGTGGCGACGGTGGCAGCTGTGGCAACGTATCGGGCGAATCGGGTGGCTTCGCTGTCAAGTGATCCAGGTCGTTTGGGCCATTTGGCTCCGACAGGACAGTGGAGCGCGCGACATTTCGAAATCCATTCCCGAGCCCCTCCGAACCAGAGCTTGTCGAGCTTGTCGAGCTTGTTTCTGTGTCCGACGGCTCCAGTGCTGCTCCTCTAGCAGGCTGAGCTTCACGAGCTTCGCACCGAAATGCCTGCCACGACATTTGGCAAAGGTACCCTCTTGATAGCATCCACAGGACAAGCAAAACATGTTGGGGATGTCACACATTCTCACACATTGTCAGACTGTACATGGCACACGCCTCCAAGGGGGCCTGCGGGGCCTCTGGCTCGGTGAATGGCCTCTGTCTCTCTGTTCAAGCAGACCGTAGACCGCCACATAGACGGCCCCGCTTTTGCTGAGGCGAACACCCTAGGGCCCTGGCTGAATCTCCGAATGTGAGGATGCCACTGGGCTTGATGCGGCTGAAGGAACATCTCGTGCCTGCAGCGCCACACTCCTGTTCAACACGAAAAAAACCTTGTAGTAAAAACATCAGGGAGGACATCAGAAAACAAACTCAGAAAACAACGGAGACAAAATCAGAAAGCAAAACAGCGCAGTCAGGAAAGCTCATTGTCTGATGTGCTGAGCGAAACCAATCTAAAACCCTGAACATCGAAATGGAACCTTTTTGTGCGTCTGAGAGAGTAGCACGGAGAACCTACATTCAACGAATCAGAATGATGTTGCCTGCATACGTCTGCGAAGTTGGTGCTGAGAGGCGGACCAGCTGGTCTAACACTTCTGGGGCCTGTGCAGGTGGCTGCTTTTATGCACTTCCAGAACCGTCCAGACAGCGCATTGCCACACTTGCACCTCTGCATCATCGCTGTCTTCCAATTCCGATATCTCTTTCAGTAAGCTGCCGACCTTGGTGGTAACTTTTGCTGCCAGACCTCTCATACCCACTATCGGACCCTATCGCCGTCTGGCGACGACGAGGCTCAGTCTCCGGCATCCACATCGGACATGCCACACACAAAGCCACATGGCTCTTGGGCTCATACATGTATGTGCCGGTGTGCTGGTGTGTGGTGTTCTTGATAGCCGAACGCGGCTGACACTTTCTTTCGCAAGTTGAACTCCTGCTGAAACGGAGCTGAGCTCCAGAAAAGGCTGCCCAGCAACTCATGATTTCGTTGGGCAGGGACTGGTGTGCCGACAGTACTCCGTGTATAGCAAGTTGCGAAGTTGCTCCCAGATTCCACGACCATCGAGGCCACACGTGTGCGCACAGCGCGTGCAACTCGTGCCAAGGCTTATCCCGCCTCCCCAGGACGGCCAGTCCGCTTCGCCAAACGGCCTTGCAGCCTCCCGTCGCAACATCCGGAACCGGTGAATTGCCAGGACATGAGTGGCTTCAGTTCTTGTGAAAACTTGATTGTGAAGAAGGGAGTGGGCTGGTAAATGGCTGTTTTACAGGGGTTTTGCCCGTGGCGTTCTTGCAAACCGCGGAGGAAAGCACTTCCCAGGTTGCAGGGATGCCTCTATACATATATGGTTATATAATGTGCATCGTCCATCCACAATGGGCCCACAAGGGAAATTGCAGCCCACGCATGCGCAAGTGTTGCTGCCTTCGCACTGTCTCTACACACTGGGGTCAGCGTCATGATGTAAATGGCAACGAGGCACTCTGGCAAGCTGTGTAGTGCAAAGTGTCCAAAAGCAGGTGCAAATCATGCTCCCCGTATACAAAGCTAACTCGTGCATCATCCCTATTTACCAGCCGAGGGCAAGAACTGGGTGGCTTACACCTCGCGCTGGCCCCATTTGTCTTTTACGACGCGCCCGCCACTAATGCAGCAGCTTGCGGCTTGCGTCTGTCAGCTGAAACGCAGCTAAAAAAAAGTTGCACTGCGAACTTGGACTTTGTAGGCTCAGCCTTTCGTGTGAAACAAGCCATGTTGCACGCCAGCTCATGCACCGAGACAAGAATACACACAGCGGTGAGTCTTGAGTTGAGGAGGAATGTTGAACTGTTGAAGGCATGGCGTGCCCACGGCCTCAGCTGAAAACTACTTGGCAGCTCGCCTCTGAGGGGACCTTACCACCCCGACGAAGCTTGAATAGAAGGTTGTACGTAGGTAGCCTCCGGACTCACAGAGTATCAAAAAGCTGTGTCACAGGGGCTTTTCGTGTCCGTATGCCAATCACCCACGGCAGCTGATCGTCAGCATCGCTGATTATTTCTGCGGCGGAGTGGGCATATTGCTCTCGCAAACAACGCGCTTGAGCATGGCGAGATCTGCCTCGATTTTCTGCACCTTGGGTCCATCGGGAGCACTCGGGAGCACTCGGGCGAGTTTATGACCTTATGGACTGAGTCTGAGAAGAATTCTGCAACTCTGAACTGAGGCACTCCTGTCCGCAGCATCCGCACCATCTTCATGACTTGCATATCTGCCACCGGAATATCCAAGAGAAATATGTTCCTCAGGATCCGAGTTTTTCTCATCTTTCACGCCGTGAGCAATGACTGAGCTCTTGCACCCCATACACCGAAACTGCAAAAAGAGATTGAAAGCAAAGGCTCAGCAGCCCTTCAGTGAACTCCTCACCTCGGATGTGATCTGAGCGTGCCCAGATGAGAAAGATATTCTGCAATACAGTGGTGGGGCTTCTCCAGTTCGACGCATACTACAAAGAACACCCCAAACAGACCAGCGAGCCACTAGCGTCACTAGCGAACTTATATTCTGCGTTAGTGCAAGCTATTGTTTTTCGCAGATGTCAGGTCAGTTCAGGTCACGTGTGAGGATTCCAGAGTGGTCAATGTCCAGCTTGGCGAAGAGCTCCGTCATGCCTTGTTCGGCTGCACATGAAGAGCAAAGGAAACGCGCGAATCTGAAGGACCAAATGCTGTCCATGGCACTATCGACTGAAGCCTTGTCCAAGATGTGCGAGGGGACCGCAACTTTTTTCTCGAATTCCGCTCGCTGAACCCTCGGTGCATCTACTTCACCATGCATGACCCGCACCGATACAGGCAACGTGCCATTAACGGAAGGACATTCCAAGCTCCCTGCTCTGACACTGACAACATCTCGTTGTTGTCCTTGGGAATACTGACATTGACAGACATCAAACGAAGCCCCTTCCGGAAGCAACCGGTGCGAACTAACACGGGGCAAGTGCACATCAGCTCTGGCTTTACAAAGGTGGAACAAAAGACAAAGCGGAAAGTCTGTGAAATTCGTCTGTGGATCATGGTCCAGCCCTTTGAAAAGATCCGAGATCTCGGTCAGCATGTTTTTGGCGCTGGCTGTGAGGAGCTTCTGCTCTTCCCTTATATCTGCGCAGCAAGGTCATGACAGTTTTTGGGCTTCCCAGGAAGGTCATGACAAGAAGGATAAGATTGTCGGCGTCTGCCGGGGGATGCAGTCAAGTAGCTCCCTGTCCTGGCGAGCATGCTCCAAGGCTCCCTCCACGATCACTGCCGTCACCTGACATTCGAAGTCTGCGTGCGTTCTGCAACTGTTGGATTCAACAGGCGCTGACAGCATGAAAGGTGGGTCAGCGCAAATCGCAAGCAACAGGAGTTCCCGAAAACGAAGATAGATAGACTTTTTTTGATCAGGGCCAAACAGCGCAAACTGACAAAGCGTGACCAGGTTCGTAAGGACCACACCAGGTTCATGAGCGAGATGGATACCTCAGTGGGTTTCGACACACTTTAAACTTAAACTGCAGCAATGCATGCAGCCACCGCAATGAATAAGGCAGACGGGCATCGATTATCATCAACAGCAAGAAATAGATTGTAAGTTCCGGCTTCTTCTTCATCAACGGCAACTTGGCTTGGGCAGCAGACTGCTTGTTCGAAGACATCAGGACAACAAAGAACATGCCACCACAAACATCTTGACGAGCATCGTAGATGGCAGCTATTGAGTCTGAAGTGACCTTCACCATATGCGTATTTCGCAACTGGTCTTTTGTGCTCGCCAAAAACCTCAGCCTTCACAAGTTGCTCAGGTGCGGGCGAACTGTGATAAGGTGATCATTGACACATACAATGAACCTGTCTTTCAGAGTGCGTGGAAAAAGCTGGCTGGCAGAACAGGTTCAATAGCAGCAGCCCCAGATAAAGCACCCATAATCTACCATGGCATATCCATTGCACGCCTGAACCTGGCACATCTTGTACCGTTGGGGAGAAAATGTTGGAAACCACTCATAATGGCAACCGTTGACGGTGCTCCACGGAGTTATGTAGGAAACGCTTCGCCTCTGGTTCAGCTGCGCGAAACGTTCCACCGGGTGTGCAAAAGCCAGGAAGTTCGAGTAGGACAAGATGCGGTTCGCTCTACTCGTGATGTCTGATGTTAGTGAGTTAACGCTTCCGGCGGTGCGGACTGACAACACCTACCCCAGCACCGTGATGTTACCAGCAAAAATGTGTGGGTGATCAAACATGCATTTTGTGGCGCTCATGCTGCCAACAATGCATGCAACTCTGTTTGATCGGTGTTCTGCGGATCTGAATTTGCCATCGGGTGCATACCCTGGAAGCACTCCGCATGTTGCCACGCCTGGCCCGCGGCCTGCGCGTTTTGCGCACCTTTGCCGCCCCAGTTTGGGCTTCCTCGCCCTGACTCCCAAATTCGTCTTAAGGCTCAGCCGACGCTTGTGCCCAACTCCCAGGCGCCAGCTCCCACGCGCCAGCTCGGATGCGCCGGATGTGTCCTCATCGCCTGAAGTGGGAGGCGACCCCGCCAAGATACTGCCAAGGGGGATATCACCTGGCATCACTCAAAGCCGCCTGCTGAACAGCTGCCGATGCCACGAAAAGCGCAGGTGTGGAATGCGCATCCAAGCGGGTTGCAGAGAAAAACTGACTTCGAGCAGGTCAAACTGCCGTTCGCCCAACTCGTGATGCTACAACACAGACGCACATGCTACCAAACAGTGGTGGCAAAGTGATGCCAGGAAGCTGAAATGGTCTTCGACAATTTTGTTGGTCGCTGCATCGGCTATGATCTCAGTATCTTTGGCAATCGATTCCAGACCTGACATTGCATATCCTTCTACACATGAAAGCAATTGGCGTGCACTCTGCACACAAGGTTCCGGCCAATAACAGCGAAGACGTAGATCACCTTACATGGGACTGCCACGCCGAAGCATGACGGTCCCCAATGCAGTCAAGTTATCGGAAGGCAAGACGTGGCTGTGGTCTTCAAACTTTCTGAGGACATGGACAGCAAGCAAATTAAGCAACAACCTCCGGATTGGTGACTGTGGTTGACTGGAGACTTTCCGAGACATGTCTTCGTCATAAAAAGGCACCGAGAGAAGAGTGATACCAGTGTGATCCAGTGTATCTTGTCAGCTTCTAGGCATTGCTAGGCTCACCGGCCCGCAATTGCAGCAAGTGGCAAGACCAAGAAGCGCCAAAGTGGAAAGCATGGTCTCACCTTGAACCACTGTCAGTGCTGCTGCTCAGTGTGTTCAGGGCTTCTTTTTTTACAAACATTTGCCAACCGCAGGCTTTGGGCCAAAGCCAAGATGCCAGAGGTAATGAGCCCATACACCAGGCGCCACACAGTCCGAAGCTGCTTGATCCTAGGCAGGCAGTGATCAGCGGCGACCTCCGCTAGCTGCGCACAGGAGCTGAGGCCCGGACGCTTTGAATGCACGTATGAGGCGCAATAAGCGGATGGCTCTTAAAACCAGCACCTTTCGCACGGATTTGCACGGGGAGTCCCGGGGAGTGGTCAGATTCTTACCGCATGTCCCAGCCAGGTTATTGAAGAGCCAGTACAACTCCCAGTGGATGATGGAAAAAGGTTTTCCGAAGGAAGGACATGAAGAACCAGCACCTAACGCAACGAATTGAAATCTACAGCGGGATTGTGTAAACGGAACATAGCGGAACACGCAGAGCCTTCTGTTTGTGGTCGAGGTTGCAGTTGTTTGCTGCCACTGTAGAACTTGTGTTGAACTTCGCAGCTGGCTCCGCATCACACTCCCTGTCGTCGGGGGCTGTGCCGAGTGCCCGTGGCGTTCCACATGCGCATCGATCATTTGCAGGTGTTGGCAAGCGCTCCATTCGCATCCTTGCCCGTGCGGGCTACACGGGTAATATGATGTAATTTGCTGTAATGCTTTGCAGGTCGACGGGTGTGCTGTGCACCTGGGAGTTGCTCCCCAGTTGTCATTACCATGATGCAATGACTTGCGATGGTGTCCCAGTATGCCGCCGCCACATGTAGCGCCGACAACTGTTGTTAATGGCGGTCGCACACAAGAGTGCCTTGCTGATACTGTCGAATTCAACGTACAACGCATGTGCGCAGTGCGCATGCCTACACTAGGAGGAAAGAACCGCATGCCCGAGCCACAGAAAAAGAGCAACAGCATCACGAACACAAACAGCAATACAAACACACACACACACACACAAACACAGAGAGAACACAGACACACGGACACGCAGACACACAGACGCACAAATCACAGACACAAAGACACCCCCCCAAAAAAAACAAACAAAAAACAAAAAAAAACACCTATTCTAATCAGTTAGGCGCCTTATTATTATTGAGTACGACTAAGCCAAAGTAGTTGTGGCTGGCAGACTTCGAACCATCGGACTTACAAGGCTCGAGGCTGGTTGGACAGCGTGGGCTCAACAGTAGCTAAACCCTAAACCCCAGATTTTGTAGAAAAAACTCTCTGGGCCTTGATCCTCTCCGGTACTTCCTGAGCCTGAGGCGCCTTCAACTCAACTCTTCCCAAAACCCCATATAAACCCTAAAACAAATCCAGGATTTAGGGTTAAAACTTGGGATGTTCCCCTTATACTAACAGTCCTTAAGATTATAGTACCCCCTATTCAAAATCCTTGTTAGTATAAGGGGAACATCCCAAGTTTAGGGTTTAAACTCTATACAAACCCCATAATTTAATTTTGTAGACCCTATACTCACCCGATAACTAGAAACCCTCGGAGCCTATAACTATAAATCCTACACACGAACCTATCAACGCCCCCTACCCGCACAGACAGAGAGAGAGAGAGAGAGAGAGACACAGAGACACACACACACACACACACACACACACACACACACACACACACACACACACACGCACACACAGGTTCGCACCCTCTTTCGAAGGAGTCGTAAGTATCCGGTTTTTCTTTCTTTTGGAGTATCATTGTGACACTCTCAAGTACAGCATAAGAACTGCCATGCACAGGTATGAAAACAAATGTCTGGCCCCAGCTGCATAACTCAATGCCCAGGTCGGCCTTTTGTGCAAGTACGTTTACCTGGCTTCACCACATAGAGCTTCGTTGGCCCGAGCTATGTGATGAGCCCTCGGGCCCCCTGCAAGTTATATTAACTTAATCCTTTGCAATCAGGAGTGTACACACACACAGAGACACAGAGACACACACACACACACACACACACACACACACCAACACCAACACCATCACAAACCATCACACACCATCACCCACCATCACCCACCATCACACACCATCACCCACACCATCACACACCATCACCCAAACCATCACACACCATCACACACCATCACCCACACCATCACACACCATCACACACCATCACACACCATCACCCAAACCATCACACACCATCACACACCATCACCCACACCATCACACACCCATCACACACCCATCACCCACCTACACCCACACACCATCACCCACACCCCTACACCTAGACCTTCGGCACTGTCGCATCGCGCCTGCTGCATGGCATTTGCTACCTGCTCTGACAGAGAGGCGATGCTCTGGCCCAGGATTGTGACCACCACCAAAACAAAGTCAAATTGAAACCATCGATCTTGAAAGCATCTCCTTGGCACAAAAACGCGTCAAAACATGCACTGCGGTTGCTGTCAAAACATGTGCACAGTAGTTTTTCAGGGTTGCAAGCTGAAAATCCTGACTCTGGGCCTTGGATCCCCTCGTTTGGCAATCACCTTGCTAAGTGCCTTGTTGTCTTCAAATGATGCTTGCGGCCGCGGCTGGGCTCTTGCTTGTCAAGCGCCCCCTCGCCACTTCACCAAGTGGGTTGTTGGGTTCAACCGCCTTGTTCGTGGAACGAGAAAATAGGTTTTTTGAAAGCAGGGCTTGGTTGGGTTTAGGGTTGGTTGGGATTGGGCTGAGGCCTGATGCAAATGTGCAGGCCTGGAAAATATGTCTTTCGCCCAAACAGCGATTTACTGTGTTCCTGCTTCTAAGAATTCCCGCTCCGGGTCCCCGGCTTGCCTTTGCCTCCCCCTTTTGTCTTTCTTTTTCTTCACGGCCGGGGGCCGGGCCCTGGACTCCGAAGCCTTCGCTTTTGCATTCCTCTCAAGACCGGTTCTCTCTCTCAGAAGCGTGGATGTTGGGTTTAGGGTGTGTTTTGGGTCAGCATCCCCTCGAATGTGGATGCTGGGGCAGCATCCACCCCTGCATCGATGTTGGGCCCAACATGACGAAGGCATGAAATTCCGCATGCGGCTTTTGCTGTCGTAAGCGCATGCAAGTCACCACCCTTTGGCAATGAGGCGGACCACTACTTCCTCAGCCACATGCAACATGACTTGCTGCCACTCTGTTCATGCATCAAATCCTGATTCATGGCAAATTGAAACGTGGCTTTTCATTCTTCTCGATGCTTTCACAGGAGATATTCACGAGTTGGAGGATCCAGGTGGCAACGCATGTCTCACAGGGGCGGTGATTTACCACCTGACTGCCTTGTGCATCAGCCAGGCAGCCAGTGTATAGATAATCAGAAAGGTAATCTCCAAAGGCCTGACGCTGCCAGCACAAAGACCGGCCTTACAACAGCCAAATTCGCGGATGGTTTGTGCAGGCCTCGACCAGCTTGACGTGTCACCGCTCAGAGAAAGCTCTGACTCGATTCCAATCAAGATGGAGTTTACCTTGCAAACTACAGGTCTGCACCCTCTGCATAAAAGGAATTCTCAATCTTGCAAAAAGGAACTCTCAATGATGCCCTCGTTAATTTCAACCTGCAATGCACGTCGTTTGTGTTCAGTGCCCCGTAGCTTGTACATGCTGTTGCTTGTACCCCAATGTTGCGGCTTGATTTCCCGTATGCCTTGGAAGTTCGGGGGTCACTGAAAGCAGCAGGGCAAACATACGCCAAAGAAGAGAAGCAAAGACGGTAAGCACATGTTCATGCAGGTTCCTCGGCCGACAGAGTGGCCGAGGTTCCAACAAAGCTCGTTGGAGGGCTCCCCCGCCACCGGGGACACCGCGCCGCACCCCCCGCCCCGAGCACACCACCATGCCATAGCGTGCTTGCACCCTTCGACCTCGGGAAGGGCCACGCGTGGCATCTACCAAGTGCAGGCAAGCACAGGGCGTCGCCACAGCAGCAGCCGACATCGACAAGAAAAAAGCGAGAGAGGGAGAGAGAGAGAGAGAGACGGGCAGTGGAAAGAAACTGCGAGCGCAAGTGCCTGCAGGTGCGGCGCCCACGCCGTGTTAAACCCGCACACAAGTGTGCTTATCAACGTCAGACCTTTCGCGAAAAGCTCAACATCTTCGACAATATATTTCGCCACGCTCTTGTGCAATGCAATGCCTGTCTATACCCCTTTAAGCATAACTGCCCAAAGGTCTGGAATCTGGGCTGTGACAATCCAGACCCTTCCTCTTATCAATCCAGGCCCTTGCTGATAACCATCAGACGCATACAAACAAACACGATAGCCAATTTAAAGGGCGACTCATTCCTGCCATATACTTTGTGTCCTCATTTCCACGCGAGCCATATCTGAAGTCCCTCCCTCGCACGCATGGACAAACGCGAAGACCAAGGTGCCACTATCACCGCACATACTGTGAACTCAAAGCATCGGCCGATCAGCGCTTTCTCGTCCACCAATATCCTGAAAAAAAAGTAGCACTTATGGATCGCTGCTGGCACTTGATCACTATTGAATCTCATGCGAAGGTCCTGCACCAAGCACGGATGAAACTCCAGAGGCCAAGGTCCATGTTTGGCAGGCTGACCACCGGAGTCTGCATTTGAGACTGCAGCTTTGACAGCAGAGTCTTGGGGTTATCATGGTCGGATGACCTGAGAGTTCGGAGACTTGGCAGGACTCCCTTCTTTCATCTTCTTCCCCATGGTTTCCCAAGAGTGAGTTATTGGTGCACGTCTCATCGTCTTTTGGCAGAACTGCTGCAGTGTTCTGCAGCTTTCTGCGCTTTGGGTGTTCCTCTCTCCCAAATCGACAGAAATTGTCACACCACCCAGGAGGAATCTGCTGCCTTTCGTCATTGCCTTTGCTGGCATCGTTTTGTGGTTCATATTCCTCTCGAACGCCCTGAAGCCACAGAAGCAGATGTTAACCACTCTCAGACTCTCGGACATCTGGTCTTTCGAGGTGGCACATCCGCGCATGTTCCGCACCGAAACCATTCAATGCGCATTCTACAACTAAGACCCTGGCTGGGTGTCGACGGAAATCTTCTCCTGGAATTTTTTGAGAGAACGGGCTGTGTGTTCCTGCCTCCCGACTCACATTTCATCCAGGAGGCCACGTCGGCCACACCGACCTTGAGATCTCCAACAGAATTGAACAGCATCTGGCGGATCACAGAAAACTTCAGAAAGCTTTCACATTGCTGCGGTGCCACCGGAACTTCAGCAGTACTTGGTGGCGAAGCAGCCCTCTGATGAGTGGTGCTTGCTGCTTCCTCGGGCCGAACCGAAGTCTGAGTCTGGCCGGCGTGCTCCTATGAACATAACCTTCCAGGCTGACCTACTGTCGCTAAACCCCAGCAAAACCTAGCCGCCTTTACTCTGTTGATGATCTCCGATCTCTCATGGAAAGATGCCAGCGCTCGAATTGGAAACATAACACCCAAACATCCCGACGCGCTGAAGATGTCAGTCGAGGCTGGCAAACCACTTCACGGCAAACGCTTCCCCTAGCTGCTGTACTAGACCGACTTGCTAGTCTGCATTGGCTGGGCGACCTGGTGATTGGAAGGCTTGAAAAGATGATGAAGCCATCTAAACAATGTTGAACCTCCAACAAACATCGCCAGCACAACCGAGTATCGATGCCGGCGTCATGGGCTTCCGTGAGCAATATCTCGCAGGCCTTTCCCGGACGGACACCACACGACCCGCGATCTGCTGAAGCAACTGCGCAACGTTTGCCTTCTCGTCGTTACCGGCAGATGTCTCGGAGGTATCTTGAATCTGAAACTTACTGGCAAGATCGTCCAGAGCATACCTGCGAGGATGCATCCCGCCGTCTTGCGAGCAGCATGTGACATGGCAGCCTCAAGGCAACCTGCCTGGCACATTCTACTTGATCACCCAACTCTTGCATGGCCACCTCCAGTGTCACAAGTCAGGAGAGTAAGCACGCGTACACGGCTCATGATAATGTGACTGCCATGATGGAACCCACCTCCATGGCACTCTGATGCATCTTGACCGCATCCATCATCTGAATCTTTCTTGTCAACCTTGGAATGCCCTTGTCTGCAAAACATGCCCAACCTTCTGCGCTTGCAAGCCATGAAGAAAAGCCAAAGGATTTGGCATATACCAAGTAGCATCTCTCGGAGAGTGCGGATATCTTGCGCGACCCCCGCATCTGCTTGCAGATCTGCTACGCTGGTGCCTCGCTTGACTTGCCTGCCACATCAAGAGAGCAGGCTTTTCCATGCTTTTGGTTCCTTCTCAAATGGCCCAACATGTACGGGCAATAAGCCTGGCTCAACTGATACCCCGGTGAATGCCGGACAATGCAGGTGGATGTCTGAACGCAGGCATGCTTGAGGCAGGGGATCCTAGGCGAATAGAATCCTTATGAACAGCCGAAGCGCTCCGCATCGGAGGCGGCTTGGAAGGGACCGCACACCAAGCAGGAAGCCATGGCTAGATGCCTTTACTCAATCCTGGAAATGGCAACGGCAGCAGGCATCAAATGAAGGCACAAACCTGCGAGCAGAACACGTCACGAGACAAGCGATGTGCAACGTGCAACTTCCCCCCGGTTCGTCAAGATGTTTTTGCTGTCAGCTTTTGCTCAAGACGACATGGAGGTCTCAGATGGTCTCAGCGGAGGTCAACACGTGATGTCCACCTTCCCAGCATGATTTGGAAGCGTGCCTCTGCATCATCGCCGAGCATTACTGCGCTGAGGTGTCTCCGACCTTGCCCATCCAAGAAACGGATGAAATGGGTGCCAGGCTGCTCGGTCTCTTCCAGCGAGATGGCAACAATAGCATCTGCATCCAACTTCAGCTGAAATGAGCCATCTTGCGATCTCAAAGTCAAAACGTTCTTGCCCTTTGGCGTTTGACCAATGGAAATGGCTGCGCGGCCAGCTCGCATGTCTGAATATGTCTCCATGATTGCAAGGCCATTCACAGAGTAGCGGCACGGCGTCAGCTGCGCCAATTCATATAAAAACTCTCCCAAGTACTCGGCTCCACCTCCAGGCCTTCTGCGCTCCTCCAGCGAAAGTCCTCCCCAGGACCGGTCGGACCGGTCAGCCTGTCGCAAGAGCACCTTCTTGCTGCCCAACGCGCCTGTGCACTGTGCTTTTCCGTGCGCAGTCAGCGTACTTCCTGCAAAGGTGTTCGGCAAGGTTGAACATACCAGCGCCACAGCGGCGAGTTGAATGACATTAGCGGCACGGACAGTCTTGCCCATGACTTTTAAGAGCAGCTGCGCTTGGCATGTGAAGGGTTCTTGAGGACTCTAATGACTCTGGTTGCTGCAGGGCTATCTGTCAATCACCGGCTAAGGCTGAGGCATCTAGGCAATTCCGGCAACAACGCACACTAGCGGCGGCAACCAAGGCTATTAGTCGTGGTCTTGGCAGAATGGGTTTGGCACTGCTTGCAAAAAGTTGCCCCATGCCCTTCTGACCCGGATGTGTCGGGATTTCACTACTCGACGTGCCACACTGCAACCTTCAGAGCTCAGATTGCAACTGCGGAAATGCAAAAGACACGCACACACGCATATCTTCGCCATAACTACTCAAGGAAGCATGAGCAACACACGGACGCCTGATATGCTTCCCTCTGGTGTGCACGACCCGTTTTTTTCGCAAGCCCTGTCGAGGGTGGCGCTCAGGCAACCTGAGAACAGCCAATCTTGCAAATACAACCTTCTGGAGATTGTAGACTGTAGACTGCATAGGATCTTGATCAGCACAGGGTTGAGCCGTTGGGGTCTGGACCAGAGGAGCTCTCCTCTTTTTGCAAGTCCGAGGTCGCTGGCGAGCAAGCACCTGACAGGGCTCGACCTGCTTGCACTTCCCAGCATTGCCCATGATCGACATGCTGCGACCAGCCTCCTCCACCTCAAGCACTCGGATTCGATGGACACCCCAACGAACGAGCTGTGGCAAACTAAGCCTCAAGACTGCCAAGAGTAAGCTAGCATGACGGATGAGGGTAGTATTATGGCTTCAGAGTTCATGTGAATTCTCAGACATTCACCAATCCAACTTCTCGGAGCTCTCGGGCACAGATGGCTTGGCTTGGAAATCACCCTGCAGGCATGTTCCCAACAGGTGCATGCGAAAAAGAATGCAGGGGGGCGGGTTTGTGGATGAAAAACACACAGGACAGCAACATAAATACAGGGACCATACACGAGTAGTCGTGTAGCTTGCCTTGAGCAAGCATTCTGTCTGTTGAAGCTCCAGAGACGCGCTCGCTGCCATTTGCGCATCTTCCGCGTCCTCTACCTTCTGCAGAACTTGCCTTACTTGCTGTGCACCGGAAAAGCGACCGCAAGTAACTGTCGCTTTCTTTTGAAAGGCTTCAGGCGCGACCTCTCTCCGTCTTCTTCTGCACGCTTTAGAGCCACGGAGCACCCGCCGAGGCCCAAGCGAACATGTCCAAGTCAGTGGCTAACGAACTCTTTCTCTCTTTCACGAGAATCTTTCTTTTCGTGGCCGAATTTTCTTCTTCGAGGCAGAAGAATCTCTCTATTGTCTGCTTTCGTGGGGGTTGACGCCCCGCAGTGAATATTTCTCCCTCGCTATCTCTATCTCTCTCTCGCTTCCTTTTTTCTTTCTTTCTTTGGGGCATGGGGGAGGACCCCCGCGCTATTGCACGCCCCGGTCCGGCACACAGTCTGCACTACCACTCACATGGCCTTTTGTTTCTTCTTTCTCTTTCTCTCTCCCTCTCTCTCGCTTCTTTTTCTTCTTCTTCTTCTTCTTCTTCTTCTTCTTCTTCTTTTCTTCTTCTTCTTCGACCTAAGACATAGGGTCGCCAATCGCACTTCGCTACCGCTACTTTCTTTCTTTTTCTTTCTTTGAACTATTTCTTTCCTTTCCGTTCCTTTCCTTTCCTTTTCATTTTTGTTATTTCCTGTTCTTTTCTTCTCTTTTCTTTTCTTTGTTCTTCTCTTTTCTTCTCTTTTCTTTTCTTTCGCAGGGCTACAGGGGTAAACCCCCTGCGTGAGTGCCCCCCCCCCCCCGCTTCAAGTAGACCGGGGTCAGAAGCTGCGTGATGGTGGCACTCGAGTGGGGGCACGTATATCATCCCCTGTACCCCTCTCTCTGTCTCTGCTCGTGTCTGGCTTTTGCTGTCCGATGTTCACATCCAAGTGGATGGCACGTATTTGCAATAGCACTGTAGCTGAGCAGCTCAAATTCGGCCAGGCTTGTGGGTTGCTCAGGCAGGCTGCCTGGCCAGGAATACACGCCAGCTGACCGCACATTCACAAAGCTGCTTAGCCGTAGCCGGACCTGGAACTGCCAGGCTAGTCCCATCTCCAGTGAGGGCTTTGGCAGCGTTGCTCTGGCCGTTGGTTGGCGCTGAGTCTTCCTTGCACAGAGAGACTAAGTTGGGAGCAGCATGGAGCAGTGCTGCTTTTGAGGCAGGGCTCATGATGCCCTTCCAGTTCCATGCCAGCTTGCAACATTGCCCGCACCTGAAGCACAGAAGGCGGGCCATCTACAGTCGCTGCTGTGCATGTGTAGCCCTTTCGAACACGGGTGCAGTAGGGGCGGGATGGGCGGGCTGCGGAGTGCTTCTTACGCCTCTTCAGCGGACCATGCGGCTCGGGTAAGTCGTAGTGAAGGCAAGCTGGCATCTTCTGGTCCATGCCCAGCAACTGGGCTGGACCTACCTGAAATCAAGCTAACACTTTTTGTTCGAAGAAGCAAACATGCAAAACTCGGCCGAGTTAACTCAAGCGGATGCCTCTTGACTGCTGTAATAACTGGCAGCACAGCCGATGTTATCAATTTAGCCTTGGCGAAGCTGTTCCAGCTTCTCGGTGGTGAAGCGGCCCTCGTCCACAACCATGTCGTCAAGCTCTCGTTTCCTCACTCTCAGCTGGCTGCTCGGGATGAGCAGCCAGCCTCAAGCCATCTGAATGCCACCTGTGCTGCCATGGTGCTGCACCTGCCTTCGCCAGATGTTCTCCTGGCCGCATGCTACAAACATCTGCGAGCGCCTGGCAACGTCGATGGAACATGCTTTGGCTCCTCGATTGTGTGCTCGCTGATCAGCCGATAGATGTGCACCTCGCGAGTCTGGCCAATTCGATGTGCTCGATCCGTGGCCTGCGGCTCTTGTGCACTATCTGCCACGTTTAGAAACATCTGGTGACCTGAGGCCTGTCTATCCATCGCAGGGTTCCAGTCCGAGTCATAGAAGATGACCTGTCAGGTAGCCAAGGTTTCGCAAGACGGCAAGACTTTCGATGATAAACACACCATATCCCCATCTGTTGCCAGCCAGCTGGCAATGTTCGCGCTCATCAAATTAATGCCCACGCCGCCAGCCTGGGCATGTCCGTCAGCTGGGAGACTGTGTGTGTGTGCACCAGGCCAAAGACGAACCTCCTACTGTAATTCGTAAAGGATCTGCAAAAGGCCTCCGACTGGTCCGAATGCCGTGTGATTTCTGGCACACCCACAAAAACAGCTAACTAGCTCAACTAGCTTCAACAATGTGGATATCCCGGGCTTTCAAAACGTAAACGACACACACGGCATCATCTGTTTGCAACGCAGCTGCACGTGTCGAGCAGATAAACAGGAATATCCGCTCCTTGGACGGCAACACCAATCCCAAAGTAGCAGTATGTCTTCTGCTACTGCTATTGCAGCTGCGCATGGCTTCCAAGGCTCGTCATCATTGAAGCGGTCAATCAACTCTTGCCGCCGTTCTACCTCAAAACCATTCGACCGTCATTGGCCCATGAGCAACCTTTCCCCCGACCTTGACCGCCGAATCCATCCGGACATAGGTACAGCTATGATGGCTCACCTCGGCAAATGTTTCGCGCTGCACGTTCATGTCAATTGCAGCTTTGCAAGGGTGAATATGCCAAGCTTGGCACGAAAGCTTCGAGGACATCCAGCATCTTGCTGAACTGAGTGAAAATAATGCCTCAGGACAACAGACTTGCCATCTTGAGGAGTCGGCCGCAGCATTGAAGCTCACCAAAAACTCAGTCCAGCGGCACTTGTCGTTTCTTCTCTTGAACTCTTTCAGCATGATGGCCTGGGCATGCGGTGGCACGAGGCAAAAAACATTGTTGTTTCAGGTGATGGGTGGCACATCTTTGCTATGTGCTGGTCACGCTCTCTTTGCTTGCCGTGGGCGCTCTTTTGTTTCTGCAGGTGCACCCTGGCTGCTGGGCAAACTTGGCTGAGACAGGAAGACAGGACGACGACGACGACGGCGACGGCGGCGGCGGCGGTGGCGGCAGCGGGGGCGGCGGCGGGGGCGGGGGCGGGGCCAGGGGCGGGGGCGGCGGAAACCACCAAACCCAAACCACAACAGCCACAACCACTGCAACAACGCAAGAACTATAAACCAACCAACCAACCAGTATTCCAACCAAGCAGTTACCCGCCGCACAAACAAAAACAACAAACGACCAACGACCAACAACCAACAACCAACAACCAACAACCAACAACCAACAACCAGCAACCAACAACCAACAACCAACAACCAACAACCAACAACCATCCCCAAACCATCTGCAAACCATCCACAAACCATTCAAAAACTGCCAATAACCAACTACCAACAACCAACAGCCGACAGCCGACAACCAAGAAGAAGAAGAATGACAAGAAGAATGACAAGAACAACAACCAGAACAAGGCTCGAACAGCGGCGGTGCGACAACTCACGGTTTCTTTGTTTCTACCTTTTCGCAAAGGGGGTGCAAAGCCTCACGCCGGCCCCGGCTTTGTTTACCTCTATTGAATCTTTGTAGAAACTAACTGGAAGTAAGCTTGGTGTTTGGACGGGGTCCGCGTTTTCGTCTGTACCTTTTTCGTTGTCGATTTCATGTTGTCATTGTTGTCATGGTTGTCAGTGTTGTCATGGTTGTCATTGTTGTCACTGTTGTCATTGTTGTCACTGTTGTCACTGTTGTCATTGTTATTGTCGTCAGCCAAGGCGTGGGACAAACTCGCGCCGGCGTTGGAAATGAACAACTGTGGTTGCAGTCGTTGTTGGTGGTGCTATAGATTGTAGAGGCCAAGAAAGGCGTGTGTGATAAGGCCAGTGACACGAACGCGCTGTAATCTTGCAGCTCCAACCGTTGAAAGGCACTGAGCCACACGCGAGCTTTCTCAGCTTGCCGCAGTCAGATTCGAGGTGATGCCTCATGCATCACTCTGTGCGCATGAATTCTTAGTCTATGCTTCATTGCCGCCGTGGTTGCTTCTCGGGCAAATGGCAACGCAAGCGTCCATCGAGGGCCTCGGACGTCCCCAAAACCCCCAAGAACAGACAAACTAGTTGACGCAAACCCTGGCAGTTTCCACCCCCACTGCCAAAGGGTCTCTTTGAGCTTAGCCTTTTGAATATTTGTGTGCGTGAGCGATAATTAAGATGTGCGCAGCAAAAGCACTCTCAACATCAGATCCTTCGTTCCAGGCATTACTTACCGAGGACGCCTACTTTCCCAGCAAGGACGCATGCTGCGACATGCTGTCACCCTCGGCATCCCTCAAGTTTGCTAAGTTTGCTCGGGAAGGCAAGGGCTCGCTGCAGCGAGCTGCGTCATGCCACACGGAGAAAAATGACAAAGGCATTGGTTTCAGTAAAAGGGTCGTATCAGGACAAGGAACCCGAGACCTCACATGCTCGACGTGTGCTGAGGCTCACTTGCTTTGCAGTCTAAGGCTTAAGGTATGTTCTCTTTCGTGTGTGGAGCTAACGTGTGCTTTTCGTCCCCTTTCCTTCCCTGAATGCCAATGCTCGGGAACCAACATCCATACCAACAGCCCAATGGCATCTTTTCCGCTTACTGCAAACAAAGCTCTAGATGCACAACTGCAAGCACAGGTGCTTAGCACTGTAGACTCTAGACTCCCAACTACTGGCTGCTGACGGGCATAGCAAAGCTCACAAATGCGATGGCCCGGTCATGCAGGCATAGAGCTCTGCCAAGACCATACCTGAGCTGTGCGAAAATCTGGATGCTGAATTGATCTGACTTTGCGCCCGTGATTTCCAATAACTTCCAGGATGCGTGAGGCCGCCGCCGGTCTTGGACATCGCCTGGAGATGCGCGGAGCTCCAGGCCGGAGGTGCCATGAAGGCGCCGGAGGCCCCCAGGGCCTGCAACCCGAGGATCGTCAAACAGTGGCCCATTGGCGTTTGCGATACACATGCTACCGAAATGTACCGCAATGTACCGCAATGTACCGCATGTACTCGGTACACTTTGCTGACCAAAGGCCCTCATTACAAACTTCAGAGATGATGCCAATCCATTCAGTCTAAGCTAGTCTAAGGCCTTCATGCGCCCAACGGCTGACTAATCTTCCTCGCACCTGATTCATGGCCCACCCAGCTCGTAAAGCTTGGAACCGGCCACCGAGCTCGGGTGTTGCGTAAGCCCTTGGCTTGCACCATCACGGAGAGGCACGTGTACCTTCCATCAACCACTGTTGGATGTCCAGCTCTTAGAAGATGCGTTCGGATCTGGTGGTTCCTTCCTGTGTGAATCCGAATAGAAACGAGACTACATTCTGATCGGAAATGTGCCAGAAAACGGAACCATGTCAAAGCTGCCCTTCCAGAGTCGCTTGACTCGCTTGACGGCAATACCGCCAGGCTTCTACGTGCCACCACATCGATGGGCAAGCGGCATTCAATCAAAGACGCACTGGCGACGCCATCACAGAGTACGAGATACTCACGCGATATCGAGAAGGTGTTGATCTGCATGCGCAGGGAGTATAGACCTTCGAACGTCTTTCCAGCCAAGATTAAACCAGAGCTTGGTACATCAAGGCGATGAATAAATCCGTATTGGAAGTCAGCGAGGAATGGCAACGAGTGCGATGGAAACTCTGCCCTGAGAAATTCAGAGAGCGGATGGCCGCCAAGCTCGCTCAGCGGCCCATCCACTTCCCAACCTGGTGGCTTAAACAGGACAGTCATGCCACGCGTGTCGCTGACAATCCTGGGCTGGGCTTTCCAGCTGGGACCGGACTGAACATCACGCACTGGCGGTAGGAGTTGTAGGTCTAAAACATCTCGATCCAGTTGAACCCCAATGGTCGACAGCCTCCGCGCTAATTCCCGGCAAAGCCCAGGCGTCAAGGTGCTTGCGAATGCAAAAGCCCACCTCACTGTGCACACGATCATCAAACTGCCAGCCCGCACCAGACTCACTAGCCCTCAGCATAGGAAAGTTGCCTTATGCCCTCCCAAGACACGAGATTGACACAATCGCGAAGGCGGTGTCTTGCAAACGCGCCGTGGTCAAGAGTAAGC